CCAATGAAGAATCAGAAAACATAAAACAAACATTAAAAAAAAAACAAATATTACATCCATTAGGATAAGGAAAAAAAAACATATTCTCATTACAAAAAGGAAAAAAAAAAACAGATTACTAATATGTGTCACTTTTTTCCACGACATGTGTGATGATCTTAACGGATGTAACATGTGTGTGTGTGGGGGGGGGCGATTCCCCCGAGAACTGCAATTGCAGTCGACGTGGGATCGAAAACCCAGCCCAAATGGTCTACTTAACAATATCCAGAGCTAAACGAATGAAAACCCAAAGGTAAGGAAAATGCATAGTTTGCTAACCCGTTTGCAAGGCGGTTAGCCTCTCTATACAAGTGAGAAATACTGACTATCCAGTCCTCATATATGAGACCATAGCACAAACGCACCAGGAACGACAGCGGATTTGCCTCGCTAATCCCTGTCTGAAGAAATCCTACCACCATCTCTGAATCCACCTCGAGCTCAACGCGATGGGCTATACCTTCCACGCAATGCATAACCCAAGATAATAAATATGTTTTTAATCATTTTTATGTTGAATTTTATGCTATTATTAGAAAAAAACTTAGGAATTTATTCATACAAATAAAAACTCAACTGTATGAGTACTTTTTGCTATACAATTCTTCTTCAGTTCCATAATATAATACTCTACAAGAGATCAGTGTTGGTCCAACATATTTGAACACCCTAATCAAATTTAAAAAATATGCTTTTTCATATATTTTTAAAATTACAAAACAGTAAAAAAACAAAAAAACAAAAACATTTAAAACTTTATAAACAAAAGAGTTCTAAGCAATAAATATTTTTCCAAATTTGTTTAAAAAAAATTAAAATATGACTCTTTTTAGATTTTTACTTGCAAAATAATTCATTAAACTCACATAGTCAAGTTTTGCAACCATAGCTATCCTCATTCAAATTTTCTTGTGACATGGTAGATCTCAAGTAGTTATTATTCAATTTCCTAGTTCATTTTTACAAAATTCAAAAATACTAAAAGTCTTAACACAATACTCCCTCCGTTTCATAATAAGTGTCGTTTTGACTTTTCACCTACCCAATGTATCTAGATATATATGGATGTATTAACACTCAAAATACATCCAAATACATCAATAAATAGTCTAGATTTATTTTGTCAAAACGACAGTTATTATGAAACGGAGGGAGTAATTAACTCACATATGAGTCAAATCAAGGATGAAGCTTAAAATAGTGGGAAAAGATGTAGAAAGAAAAAAAACAAATATAGAGAATCTTTTTGAGAAATTGAAATTGGATGTGTAGCTTTGTCGACACTTGAAATGTCTAACGAGGATTTACACCCTTAATTTGTTTTTCTTAAATACTAATACTTAAAAATGTAATAATGATCTAATAATATACTTATGAATTTTATATACAAAGCTGGATGTGCGCGACGTGGTTGCGACACGTAGGATTTTTATAGTTTACAGGATCACGACATGTGTTTTTATTTATTTTGAAAGTACCTAAGATCGTGATATGTGTCATAGAATTTAAAAAAAAATTATGTATATAAGACCAATGAAGAATCAGAAAACATAAAACAAACATTAAAAAAAAAACAAATATTACATTCATTTGGATAAGGAAAAAAAAACATATTCTCATTACAAAAAGGAAAAAAAAAAACAGATTACTAATATGTGTCACTTTTTTCCACGACATGTGTGATGATCTTAACGGACATAACATTAAAAGTGACATATGTCGCGATCTTATAAATTATAAAAATCCTACATGTGGCAACCACATCATGCGCATCCAGCTTTATATAATAAAAATTTTGTGATTATTATGGTGGTCCAAACCATAAGCTTTACTAGCCTCGACCGGCCCTATTCTCACTCTTACAAATATAATAAATATAAGGGATAATTTAGATGTAATAGCACATTTTGGAAACTTATCTGAGCCCATAACATCCTCTGAAATTATTGCTACGTACCCTATAGAACTTTCTCATGTACAAAAACGAAGCTATCCCTAAAAAGGTGATAAAAGTAAGTTCTGTTATGTTTTAAGTGTTGCAGGTTAAAGGTTAAAAGTTATTAGTTGGGACTTTTGCGTGAGACGAAATGGTAAAGGTTCCGTTTAAAAAGGTTGTGTCGAGGTGCCGAGGTGGAAGTGAATGTTGATGGGACGAGCCGACGAGAATTAGTCGACATTCGATGTAAAAGAAGAGCAATTGTAGACGTAGAGTAAGCATTGTTATTTTTGTTGGTGAAAATGAACAGCATCTTATATATAATTAGGTAGGAGTCTGCGCTTGCGCGGGATTATGTTTCTGTGCGGATTCTTTAAATATGGTTATAAATATTTTAATGATGCAACATTTTCATTGAATTTTACTTAATTTTATTTTCTATCTATTATAATATTCAAAATGGTCATGCAACATTTTCTATCTATTCGAGTTTTACGTAACCCTATTTATTTTAGTATGGAAGAATCAAAATGTGGAGATGATATCTAATGATTTTGTTGTGTGGATATGGGTTATCAGTTTTTTTAGAGGTAAATTCTGACGTTTATAATCACAAGCCAAAATTTCATAGCCGAAATAAAAATTCCTTTTCATCATGAGAACTTAAAAAATCTTCTATAAACCTTTGTGAAATTATTCCCAAAATTTGCTAATAATGCATGGTAAATGAACATATACAGTTAAAAAGTGTGATGAGCATTGCAATAATTAGTGTGAAATAGTTATTTATTCTAATTTGGTAACGTTTCTTTGTTGTCAAAATAATATTCTAGCTTACACTTGGAGAAGCACCAATTAATCAGAATATAGATATAAAATTATAATTGGTCGAAATTATTTAATATATATAATACACAGTCATGATAACAATAATGACCTGAATATTACTATGTTTACAATAAAATATCAAATATTTTTTATATTATTTTTTCTTAGAAAACAAATATAGATATATAAATATATAACATAAAAGATTTATATATGTTTGCATGCAATGTAATTGATAATGGGATTACATATATTATTTTTATATAATGTAATTGATAATGTAATGGTAGAGAATTAATGTGATATTTATTGATAAAAATTATGTTTGTTAATTCTAACTGAAGAAAAATATACATGAAAAAATAGATGTTAAATAAAAAAAGATACATGTTAACAATTTAAAATGACACATGTCAGCCTCTCATAAAGTGAGAAAAGTGGTAACCACCTAATATTAGATCAAATAACTTTATATTATTTTTTCTTAGAAACAAAATATATATTACATATAAGATTTACATATATTTGCATGAAATGTAATTGATAATGAGATTACATATATTATTTTTTATAATATGTAATTGATAATGTAATGGTAGGAATTAATGTGGTATTTATTGATGAAAATTATGTTTGTTGATTCTAATTGAAAAAATATATATATGAAAAAAATAGATGTTAAATAAAAAAAAGATACATGTCAACAATTTGAAGTGACACATGTCAGCCCCTCATGAAGTGAGAAAAGTGGTAACCACCTAATATTAGAATAGATAGATAGATAGATAGATAGGAGAGTTGCTCTCTCCTCCTAGGCTATCCACATCAGCAAAAAAATCATTAATTGTATTTAATATATGTGTATTAATATTTCTATTATATATATATCCTATTTTACACATAAACAAAACTAAGAAAAATACACAAACAATTTAATTGATTAATATAAAGTATGTGATATCTTGATGTTAAAAGTTAAAAGAAAGTTGTAATATAAAATGGAGATGAAATAAAGAAATATTTAACTTGAAATAGTATATAGTTAGGTTTTAACTCAAAGATTTATCCTATTTAAAAATGTTATAATGTGCTTACAAGTAAAAAAGGTACAATATAAATTATTTAACATAGTAAAAAGCTAATAAAAAATTAGAGTTAGAGTTTGTTTTATTAAAAAATAGAAGTCGAGTTATTATTTAAATTTCATTGCAACGAAAAGCATGAAAATTTTAAGAATGGTGACATGTTTGTTTCAAAAATACAATTTATATTTACAAAACTAACATAATAGAAAATAATCAATTGTCATATGCTACACAACAAAGCATATATGTAAGAAGTTATACATGTTTTTGTTTTTCATCATATTTTGAGTGCAATTGCGATTCTACACCATGTTTACAAATTTTAACGTTGAGTCAAATGCATATTAAATTTTAGAAATAGAAAACTCGAGATGAAGTAAGGTGTTAATATTTAATAAAAAAATTGATCATATTGTTAGTGTTAATTGTTGGGTTAACTCAAAATATAACCAAAACATGGAAGTTAACATATAACTTCATAATTCAAAATTTCAAATCAATAAATATAAATAAAATCAAACAGAAAAATTATCGCAAACAACCCCGCGCTTGCGCGGGGCTTTAATCCCTAGTTGCATTGAATGAGGAAGTATTTGTGTGGTTAGATCCTAAATTTACAGCGATATTTCTTTAAATATGATCTATAATTCGTGGTGTCCTTCGGTAGGTATACCGACCGTTTCCATTTCCGCATATGTATCTTATTATATACTGCCGTTCGGAAATCTCTAAAATTAAAGCCTCTTGAATTTTTTTTGTCATTTTGGCCTACTATATATTATACTGCCGTTTGGAATTCTATATTATAAACGCCACTTGAATTTGATATAGTTTTTTGACTTTTTGGCCTAGTGTATATATATAGTGGTTTACAAACTGATATATAATATCTAAACATAGACATAAGAAAAAGAAAAATAATGGAAGAAGATAATATCTACTCGTAATCTCGTCAAGCGATCTTGTTTTAACATTTCAATTGTGTCCTCGGTTAACTTGTCCACTTTTCTTCTTTTTCTTCTGCACTCAGAAAGCTCTAGAAATCTCGTGAGTTTCCATTTGGTAGACTCTCTAATCATCTACATCCTCTCTTCATTCTCCTCATCCATATGTCAGAGCCAATAAAAAACATAGTCCTGGTAGGCCGGACTGGTAATGGTAAAAGCACCACCGGGAACACCATTATCGGTGAAGAAATGTTCTTCTCCAAACAACAGGCAGGAGGTGTTACCTTGAAATGTGAGATGCACAGAGCTGCGATACATGATGGCCCAATAATCAATATCATTGATACTCCTGGTATGTGCTCTATCAGATATTTAGATTGAGCCTACCACTCCTAAACTTAATTTCCTTGTAAGATAGAGTATTTCCAATAGCAAAGTCGAATTCATCAAAATGAGATAGTAAAATTATTCATGATACAGGTTTGTTCGACTTGACTGTGTCCGCGGACATTCTAAGTAGGGAAGTAATGAATTGCTTAACTATGGCGAAAGAAGGAATACATGCTGTGTTGTTTGTTCTATCTACAAGGGGTGGGATTACACAGGAGGAAGAGTTCACTCTTAATGCCTTGCAGCGCATATTTGGGAACAGAATCCTTGACTATTTTATTGTTGTGTTCACTGGCGGTGACGAGTTAGAAGCGGAGGAGCTGACGTTGGACGATTACTTGCTTGAAGGCTGCCCTGAATTTCTGAAGGTTTCTGCACACCTTTCCCGAAATAATATTCTGTTCAAAATTATTTTTTATATTTTCTAATAGTACTAGTTATTAAATTTCAGAAAACTCTCAGACTCTGTCATGGTCGAAAGGTTTTGTTTGATAACAAGACTAAGAATAATGGCAAGAAGGCAAACCAACTTAAGCAGCTTGTGGCCCAAATGGCGGATGTTGAAAATCAAACTGGTGGTAAACCGTATATAAAGGTAATAGGAGAGGAGCAAGCAGGCCTATGGTTGTATCACCTCTGCTGCTATGTCATGTATGGAGGTGGATTCCTTCTTTTTCTATGTGGAGTTTATTTCTTTATTGGGAGGATAATGGGTCCCTGGGCCAGCATTATTTTCCTATGTGGAGTTCATTTTTTCATTGGAAGGATAATGAGTCTGTGGGCTAGCTTCCTTCTCTTATGTGGAGTTCATTTCCTCATTGGGAAAATAATGGGTATGTGGACCAGCATACTTCTTTTATGTGGAGCTCATTTCTTTATTGTAAAGATAATAGATCCATGGGTTAGCCTATTCTGGCCCACAAAAGATGATAAGAAAATGAAGATAAAGGTAAAAGTTTTTAAAAATCATTACAATATTTATTGGTTATTATTATCTTTCATTTTCTTACAAGTCATTCACATTTCTATAAACATTCGCCCAATTGATGGAGATTTCTTTTTGAACGTCATTACTTACTGTAATTGAATTGGTAACATTATAAATAACAATTAATAACACAAATGATTAGATTATATCTTGATGACATAATAAGAGCATCTCCAACCCAGCTCCATATTTCACATTTATTGTCATTTTGGAGTCAATTTTGCTCCAACCCAACCTCATTTTCAATCTCAAAATGGCAAAATGCCATATTTTTCCCCAAATTGAGGTTGATCCCATTTTCATCTCCATTTTGGAGTTGAAGTTTTTAAATTATATAACAGTCCTTGAAGTTTTAAATTATTTTAGTTTATATATAATTAATTATTTTGATGTTTATTTTTACTCTAAAATACAAATAACACATATTTAATAGGAAATTTAATTATTTAAGGTAATAATAAATTTAAATAGAAAGGAAATTTTGTTTATTAGAAATAACATCAAAAATAAATTTATTAAAACAACTATTATTGATCAAGTTTGTGTTGTTATTTTTAGTCTTGTAATAATGTATTATTAATATTTTCATAATTAATTTAAATAATTATAATAAATTGTGAAATTTTTGAAGAAAAAAAAATATGGGGCAATTTGTAATATATATAAATATACAATGTAAATTTAGTAATTAATAAAAAGTTTTGAAGTAAAAAATGAGGCAATACATTGGAGCAAAACCCAACTCCATTTTAAGATTTCTTCATTTTGGAGTCAAATATGGGACAATACATTGGAGATGCCTTAAGGGTATCATCTTTTAGAAAATGCTATTGTACAAATATTTTCAGTCATCGGAAATCTTATTTTCTTTTCTCAGGAAAGGGATATTGAATATAAGAAACGTGTTGAAGCACAACTAGCAGTGCCGCAGGAAAAGTTTCAAAAACTTATGGAAGTGATGCTGGAGAAGTCACGAATGGATCATCAGAAGATCATGCATATACAAATGGAGAATCAAGCCAAGAACCTTGCAGAAGCGAAAAAACTTGCGAAGCAAGAACAGATAAGAATGGAGCATGCGAAAAAGGAGATGATTTCACTGGTGGTAAATTCATATACTTTAGTTTTGAATAGTTGTATACTTATGTTTCATTGCATTCCAATATGAATCGATCTCTCGTAGGCTTTTGCCTTAAACAATTAATGATATTTTTTTTGGGGTCAAAAACAATGATTTTAAATGTTGGATATCCCAGGAGGAGGGTAAAAAGCTAAGGGAAGAAAAACTAAGGAAGTTTGAGTCGTCTAAGAAGGTTGCTGTCAGCAGATTCAAATATGCCTCTTACATAGAGTTTGATTAGTCGGGTAATATATTAGTACATATATAAATCATGTTTTAAGGACTAAAGTTGATATTTTATGGACAGAAATACATGGTCTACGCAAGGGATCTTAGCATCGCATGGTCGGACAACAGCCAGTACTGGTCATGGGTACCTCTCCGGTAAGGAGTTCTATAACTTTGATTTATATATTATATAGAGTATAAGAGTAAGAAGCTTGTGAAATTGCAATTATTGTATCATAAACATATCAAATACATTTTGGTTTTTCATTTTTCAAGTGAAACACTCGGCGAAGCTGCTCTGCTGAAAATGGTTTGTTGGTTAGGAGTGAATGGAACGTTCAACACGAGAGAACTGACACCAGGGACAAAGTACGAGGTCGTGTACGTGGTGAAGTTAGAAAATACAGCTTCTGGATGGGAGATACCGGTGAACCTGAAGTTGACCGTGGCCAGAAGTGGAGGAAGGCCGCAAGAGCATAGTGTGCGCTTGAAGGAGCATATAGGGAGATTGTGGGTAGATATACCAGCCGGCGAGTTCATAATGTCCCCCGAGATTTCCGGAGAGATCAGTTTCTCTATGTATGAGATCGCATCTGGCTCTTGGAAGAGAGGGCTCTGTGTCAAAGGTGTTGAAATTCGTCCCAAAAACTAAGACATGCATGCACGTATGCCTGGATTCTATAAAGCAGCTGATGCATCCATGCAGTAACGCTTCCTTTTTTTTTTTAATCAATTCATCAATGTTTTAATAATGTAAAACATAAATAATTTTATCTAATGATTAATTTTCTTAAATTTCATGGTAATGGTTAATAGTTGTTGAAATTTAGTGGACATGAGAAATATCCATTGGGTTCGAAATCAAGAGAGAAGGGCACAGTCATTCTTTGATTCAGAGTTTGCAGATTTGGAGAAGAGGTCTCTTTCTGTGGTATTGGAGATTGGTCATGTTTCTCCGCAGTCAAAATCTCCCTCTCACTCTCATCACACACACTTAGCACTATCGGAATATGAATGTAATTTGAATCATGAAAATGATCGTATCATTCAAGTTGTTTCCAAACGTCACTTGAGGAATGCATCTCATTGTACCGGATGCATCAGCTGCTTTATAGGTTCATATTCTAAAATATTGGTGATTTTTGCAAAAAGGAAGAAGCCTTTCAAATTCATGAATTTCCTATCTCAAAGCTCTAGATTAGCCCAGCTAATTGATGGTTATATATACTCTATATTTAACATTTTTTATTATGAACTTTACCAGAATACTAAGTGCTTCTAGATGTAGTATTCTCATATGTCCTAGCAAAAAAAAAGTATTCTCATATGCGTAGTCTTGAGGGTCGTACCAAATTATAAAAAGGATGTAATATGGAGCGAATGAGGAATAAATCAATCCTCCAAAATCCAACCATTCCCCCAAGTCAAAAATATTTACAATTTCTTAACATTTACACACAAAAAAAGGTATTTACCAGTCACAAAAATCACAAGATAAGTGGACTTTCCGAATCAAACTGCCCTTAAGCACCATAAAGTTTCCATTCGTTGGATGCTTTCCTCCTAATGATTTATGATGAAATTTGATTTGAAGATAACTTTTTTTTTTTTTTTTTTTTGACAGCAAACCTCATGTTTTATTAAGAAAACCCCTGGGGATTAGCTTGGGGAGCTAACCAACTTGGGAGAAAAGAGGTTACATGAGAAAAAGTAAAACCCTGTGCTTTTGCTCCTTTGGAGAGACTATCAGCACAAACATTAAAACATCTTGGTACAAAAGATAGGTTAAAGAAGCTAAAAGAAGAGCGAATGTGGTAAAGCTCGTCTAATTCGGTTGCCAATGAAGGCCAGTCTTCTTCTTCGTCGATGAGCTTAATCAGCTGCAAACAATCCGATTGGAAGTTTAAAGTTCTAATCCCCATTTGCAGAGTAGTCCTCATCGCCCAAACCAAGGCAGAGAGTTCGGCATGTAGAGGTGAAGAAACTTGATATGAAGCTGATGCCCCATATGTGCATTCTCCGTTTTCCTGTTCAAGAACAAAACCCCTACCGAAATAGTAGCTATCGGTTTTACACCGCGGAAACGGTACCACTGGTTCTTGTTGTGAAACATTAGAACTCGGGGATTTGAAGATAACTTTTTAAGCTAACTTTCACATGTAACTGGTTTGGAGTTATTTTGAGTTGCGGTTGAGAATATACGTCCAATTTGTTGCACAAACAATCTATATATATATATATATATATAAAGTTCATACAATGCTTTCACCTCAGCAAAAGAGGGTGCTTCTAAATTCATCATTTCAGCACAAACATTTATATATCATATATATATATATATATATATATATATATATATATATATATATATATATATATATATATTTTTTTTTTTTTTTTTTTAATTTATAATATTATCATTCATTAAATAGTTTAACAAGAATATGAAAAGTCATTTAAAAAAGGAAAAGATTTTATATAAATCTATCAAAATTATTATTTAATAATAATAATAATATATTATACCAAAAACACTGTTTTTTCTATAATATTTTTGGATGAAAAGAGATGAAATTGAATATGACGAGACGAAAAAAATAGAATTGGAGAAAAGGAAAATTTTGTTTACTTCTTATGATAATAGGGAGAATTGGCAATTTACCCCAAATTGAAACTTCTTTTGTCCCACTACACCTTCCCGTTTCCTCTTTGTCCCAATACCTTTTTTTTTGACATTTTTCTCAGTTTTGCCCTTCATTTTAGTTTTCTTTCCATTTTCGTTTTTTAAATTAAAATATATTAAATAAAAATAAAATTAACAAAACTAAACTAATTAAAAAATAAACCGAAAAAAAACAAAACTTATTCTCTCCTTCTCTCCTTCTCTCGCGACGGCGCCGGAGGCGATCGATAACCTAATCTCAATCGATTTCGTCATGATGAAAGGAAGGAAGAACGTGATGTTTTGGATAGTTGGAGGAAAAAAAGGAAAGAAAGATTTGAAAAATATTCAGTTGCAATATTTTCTCGATCTTCGCAGAAGATGAATTCTACAAAACCGTAGACGACACTAGTTTTGCTAGATTGTGTACTAGAAACACGAGTACTACGGATCGTAGAAAACATGGTTTTAGTAGAACACTACTTCTGCGGGATGTAGAGTAGACAAAAACACGTAGAATACGAAAACTATTTCTTGTAGATAGCAGTGTTTCGCGTAGAACGTAAAATCTACGAGTAGTAGAAGATACTTGATTGAGTAGAATACATTTGGTGCGAATTCTACAAAATGGTAGAGCCTATAAGAGTAGGTAGATATCAACTTCTACATCCGGAAGAGGTATGAATAAGTTGTAGATATTATGTTCTACGGAGGTTAGACCTCTGAATATCTTGCAGAAAACGAATTCTACTTTGTTATTTTAGTTTTGTAGAATGAAACTTGAAATATTTTTTTAAATATCATAAGCATTTTCAAAAATGTTCAAAAATTTTACACAGTGCTAAAATGATTTTTAGGAATTATGGCATTTTTTTTCACTCCAAAATACATTTAGTATGAGTTTATAAATAAATTGAAGGGCAAACTTGACCAAAAAAGACCAAAGTCAAAAAAGGTGTAGTGGGACAAAAAAGTTTCAATTTGGGGTAAATTGTCAATTCTCCCATGATATTAAGTGACGAGATGAAATCTGAAGGAAAGGAAAAAACAGAATAAGACAAGACGGAAATTTCGCCTACCTCAATATATTTAGAGGTGGAACAGAAAAAACAAAAAAACATGATGAGAGGACAAGACAAAAATGTTGGACGGGACAAAATGAAAAGAACTGGAATCTGACGGAATTTTGCCTACCCCTAATTATATTTAGAGACGAGACAAAGATAAAACAAAATGGAAATGAACATAATAAGATATGATGGGACTAGATCGGGCAGACAGAACGAATGGGATGGGAAAGAACATGACAAGATGAAAAGAAACGGAATGCGATAGAATGATGTCTACCCCTAATTATATTTAGGGAAGGAGACAATAATAAACAAAATGGAAATAATCATAATGGGATAGGATAGGACTGAACGGGACGGGATATACCGGATGAACGGGACGAAAAAAACGTACATGATAAAAAATGAACGAAATGGGACGAGATAGAACAAGATGGTACAAAAAATTTGCCTAACTCTAATTATTTAAGTAATATGTGTATAATATCTCTGAATAAAACTAACATAATCCACGCGTAGCACGAGTCACCCCTAGTATATATATATATATATATATTGTTGCGCAAAAAACAAGGTGTACGTCCATTTTATTGAAGACATGTCCGCATAACTATAGTGTTGGTGCTAGTGTCCCATTTTAAAATAACTTATTTTCTCTCCCCTCAAGAACTTGTCTTTGGCCTAAATTGTTCACTTCAAAAAAAAAGATAAACAAACTTAAATGGCCAATATTCAAATACCAAAAGTTCATAAAATAAAATGAAAACATACTCATTTTAGGGGTTTTAGAGTTTTTTTTGTTTCAAAATATAAGGGATTTTAGAATTTTTATACAAAACTAAATATGTTATATTTCTTACTTTTAATTATTTATATTCTGGAGATTTCTTTTTCATTGGTTGAAATATTTTGAAAATGATGATAAAATATATTTTATTTTAAAAAGTACAAAAATAAATAACTTCTTAATCTGTGTGAAAAACCTTAAACTTCCGATATTATGAAACAGAGAGAGTATTGTTGTGCGGACGGTCTCCTATTTAAAATATGAATTGTGTCGTCCATTAACTTGGCCATTCGTTCTTTCTTTTTCTTCGCCCACAAAAAAGAAAGAAAACCTCGTGAGTTTCCATTTGTAACAGCCAGTTACCGAACATGGTGGCCACCGGCTCGTAACTATAGTCAATCCTCAATAGTCGTCTCACTAAATATGTATAATAACCACACTAGCACAAAAACCTTTTTTTTTTTTTTTTATCAACTGAAATTTTATTAGAATGATGAGACCTGGTCACTGTGTAATACATCTGAAATACAAGAAGGAGGAAAAGAAAGAAAAGTAAACATTGAAGATGAAGGTATATTTTGCTTAGCTAATTTATCAGCCACTCTATTTGCTTCCCTTGGGACCCAGGCAATCCTTGCTTCTTCAAATTTCGTTTTCCAAAACCAGGCTTCCACCAACCAATTGTAGAGACCAAAATGTAATGAATCCTTATTCATAAGGTCCACTAATTGTTTGCAATCTCCTTCAAATATAATCTTTCTGTAACCCCTCCTCCACGTGCTCTGCATTGCTACGATTAGCGCCTGAAGTTCTCCTTCCAAAGCTGACGTTGGTTTATCATTCCGTGCATAACCACATCCTTTAAAAACACCATTACTATCTCGTATGATCCATCCTGCATTCGAGTTTGCATTTCCGGCATTAAAGTTGCACTTCATCCATCCCTGGGGTGGTCTTGTCCATCTGAAATTCCTGTTTCCAGTCCCTGACATGATTGTATGTTGTTGGGGTTCTGTGTTTTGAGCTTGCAGATATTCGAGGGCGTCCTGTTTGCCATAACGCACCAGCGTTCTCCAATGACTTGTTTTCCTCTGAAAGAGTAACATATTTCTGCTCTTCCATAATCTCCAGAGCATCCAAACAATAGTCTGACTCATTTCCTTTGACATGTTGATAAGTAGGATTTTTGTATCAACTACTCTCAATCCATACCACTCATGTCATTGTAGTACTTGAGATGTCAATCCAAGTGGAGATTCAAACTATCGAAATAAAGAAAAGGCAAAGATCAAGTTTTGATAAAAGATTGGGTTTTGTTTTGTAAAGATCTATGCTTTAAGCTAACAAGATGAAATAAAGATTTAAACTTTAACAATAAAGATAAAGGAGGCGTCTTGGGTGAGATTAGTTGGGATCAAACGAGCTCAACCTTCCTTTCTCAACACACCAAGACTCAAGCTTTGTGCTTAGACTTTGGGTAAATCCGCCACTCTCGTGGTCAGATCGCTTTGCAAGCTGAGAATCCAAAGCTAGCTCTCACTAGTGGACTCAAAGTTACAAGCTTTCACAAGATCTAGTCTAAAAGTGCACAAGATACATCCCAACAACCAATCTCTTAGGTTGGGAATGTTTCTCTCTATCGCTAGCTCTCTTAGGCATTAACGCAAACACCTTCTAGGTGTACTAGCCTAGATTCGCGACTTCAAGTGATCAAGAAGAAGCCGAGATATAAAGCTCTAGCTAAAGAAAAGCTGGTCAAGGGAGATTAAGGAAGAGGTTAAGGAAGCTAAAGCTCTGACCTTTCCTAATCTCACCCTCGAAACCTCTAAAGAACTACTCGCTACTCATACTCGAACCGAAAGCAAAGAGGTAAAGAAAGCTAGAAATCATCATTAAGACAAGATTAGCAAACTAAGTACTTCTTAAACTTAAAAGATTCAAAGTAAAAGCTTACAAAAGATCTCCAAGAACAAACTGTTTTTCTTGGAGAGAAACTGGTTACAAGATAAAGATTGCCTAAAAATTAGGTCTTAAAGGTTTATATAGAGAAGGGAAAAGTGTATCCTTTGGTCAACGTTTTTGCTTTGACTTCACAGATGCGCGCAGCTTGAGCAACTTCCTCAAGCACTCTGTTTCCTTTTGCTCAAGGCTCTGTTCCGTCTTGCTTGTTTTGCCATCCGATTACTCCGATCTCCTTCTGGTCCATCTCCGATCATCACCTCCGGTCCTCCTTCGCCATAAGCTCCGAATACCTGATAAATGCACCCCAAATGCAATGGAAATGCAAAATGCTATCCTAAAGGCTAAATGATCCTAAGTAGACTAAAGCTACACTAAATGTTATGAAATGGGACTCAATTATACACAGAACTATGCAGTATGAGAGGCTAAATGTATGCAAATGTTGAGTATATCACATGTTCAAACCCGGGATTGATAGCAATGACTCCAGTTTCATTTCCACAGAAATAGTAGAGTCTGAAAAAAATGGGATTTGTGACTCCAATGGCTCTCCATACTTGTTGGGCATACGGACATTCAAAAAGTATATGTCCAGCAGATTCTTCCGATTGACAACACCGCACACACAGCGAATTCCGACTTATATGATGTCGTTTCAATATCTCCCATGTTGGTAAAGAACAGGAAATAACCTTCCAGAGAAAGTGTTTAATCTTCGGTGCAGTTTGCAGTTTCCAGATGAGATTATTAAGCGCCACATTAGGTGATGGAGTGACGATTTCATCATTCTCTGGCAAATGAGTAGCTAACCAATAAGCCGATTTCACTGAGTAAATCCCATTCATGTTGTAATGCCACCCTATCATATCGTGTGTCGCTCGAGAACTGATTGTTGTAGACAGAACCAAAGGAACGTCTTCATCGCAAACCAGTTCATGAACCCGATCTTCATTCCATCCTGTTTTAGAATTTCGAACCAATCTTTGAGCAAACAATGCTGTGCCTCCGCGTGTCGTGGTCTTGGAGCTCATGGTGGATGTGTTGATAACCATGGATCAGTCCAAGCACTAATGATACTGCTATCTCCCACAACAAATCTCATTCCCTCCGCATTAAGTCCCGAACTTGTAGGATTGATCTCCAAGCAAAAGAGTTTTTCTTTGTGGCCGTAGCTGTAAGTATGTTGCCATCTCGAAAGTATCTCCCTCTCATTACTCTAGCCATCAAGCAGTTCGGGTGTTGTAACATTCTCCAAGCTTGCTTCCCCAACAGTGCTAAATTGAACCTCTCAATATCTCTAAATCCCAAACCTCCTTCTTTCTTCGATAAACACAATCGTTTCCAAGCAAACCAGTGCATTCCTTTTCTCTCCTCATTCGTGTTCCACCAGAATTTGGCTAGTACACTATTTATCTCTTCACATATTCCAGTAGGTAGCTTAAAAACATTCATCGAGTAGACAGGCAATGCGATAGCAATAGATTTCAGGAGTACCTCTTTACCACCCGTCGATAAGGATTGCTTATGCCAACCTTGTGTTCGCTCCTTGACCTTATCCACAATATAATGAAACATCTCTGTTTTCTTATTTCCAAACTGCTCTGGTACTTCCAAGTATTTCCCATTGGCACCTTCATTATGAATTCCAAGGAGTCTTCTCATATGTGTGTTGACGTGAGGCTTAACTTGACTTCCAAAGGTGATAGATGACTTTCGGAGATTAACTGCTTGTCCAGAAGCGTTCTCGTACAGCGTAAGGACTTCTTTGATTGCCTTTGCTGATTTGATGTTTGCTAATGAAAAGAATAGAGAATCATCAGCAAAGAGCAGATGATTAATCTTCGGGCACCCTTGATCAATTTGAAGACCAGGGATCTCATGGTGAATTCCGGCTTGATGCATCATATGGGAGAGAACTTTTGCGCACAATATGAATAAGTACGGAGATAGGGGATCTCCTTGTCTTATCCCACGTTCTGGATTTATCAAACCTTTCGGAGAGCCATTGATAAGCACTTGAAACTGAACTGAAGACACTGCTGTCATTATCCACTGAATCCATTTCTGATCGAAACCCATATGTTTCATAGTTTCCTCTAAGATACTCCATTCCAGGCGATCATACGCTTTTGTCATGTCCGTCTTCAGTGCCATATACGACTTGGCCTGTCTCTTCCTTGATTTAAGTGCATAGAACATCTCATGAGCAATGATTACATTATCTGTAATCATCCTACGCGGTATAAAAGCAGCTTGGTTTTCTGATATTATGCCAGAAAGATGTGTCTTGAGTCTGTTGACTAGAATCTTCGAAATGATCTTGTAACTCACATTACATAAGGATATAGGACGAAAATCCACCATAGAGTCTGGTTGTGTCACCTTTGGAATTAGGCAGATGTTCGTCTGATTGTGACTTGGATCCAGAACACCTCGTTGAAAGAATCCCTGTATCTCTTGCAAAATTGGAGCTTTAATCTCATCCCAAAATTGATGATAAAACACACCAGAAAAACCATCTGGTTCCGGTGCTCTATGAGGTCCAACTGAAAACACTGCATCCTCTATTTCTTTCATTGACACTTCTCGTGTAAGATCCAAATTAGTTGCATTAGACACTCTTGGTTGAAAGCCTTCAAACACTTTATCAAAAGTCTCCGAATTCACCACTTGAGAACTGAATAGTTGTTGAAAATAACTTTCAGCAACATCCCCAATAGCATTATCTCCTCTATGCACAGTTCCATTCTCATCCAAAATAACCTTGAGCTGATTCCGTTGTCTGCGAGTCCTAGCCACTGAATGGAAATATTTTGTGTTTCTATCACCAGATCGAAGCCATTGGTTGCAGCTTTTTTGCTTCAAGAAAATCTCCTCCTCTTTGTAAGCTTGATTCAATTCCTCACGTAACCTATTGCGTTCTTGAGTAGAAGATAGAGATGATCTCATAGCTTTGTCTAATTGGTGTCTGAGTAATGTGATCCTCTCATGAGAATTACACCGATTCTTCTTCTTCCAAATAGATATCTCTTTCCGACTCTGACTTATCCGTGAAGCTAGATTTCTCTCCTCATTCGCTAACTGTTTGTTGCCTCTCCATCCCTTCAAAACTGCATCTTTGAAACCTTCCTTCTGAAACATTCGTGAATCATACATGAAATGACTCCTTCGCTCTTCACTTGTAGCCGAGATAAAAGTAACTAAAGGTCGATGGTCATACTCTCCCATCTCCAGAAAATGGGTTTCCGATGTAGGATATTGAGAGTGCCATTCACTGTTTGCCATTGTTTGATCCAAACAACAAGAGACATAGTGAGTTCCTCTTTGTCCTGCCCATGAAAATCGATAACCGATATTCTTCAGATCTGTAAATGAACAAGTCTGAGTCATCCGTCTGAAGTCCTGAAACGATGCTTCTATTCTTTGTCTACCACCAAACTTCTCATTGTTCCCTAGAATCTCGTTAAAATCACCTAGGATGAACCATGGCTCCCTTCTAGAAGTACTATATCTTTCCAATCTCTCCCAAAGTTCATTTCGGCGATTAGTCTCTGGATGACCATACACAAATGACAAGTAGAAACTGGAACCATTGCATTGCACGAAACAATCTACAAGATTTGCTGAAGAGAATAAAACTGAAAGGGAAACTGACTGCTTCCAAAAAAAAGCTAACCCACCACTAAGTCCAACCGGAGGGACTGTTACATAGTTTAGAAACCCCAAATCACAACCTAGATCCCGAAAATATAATCATCATGTTGCTTCGTTTCTGATAGGCAGATAATGTCCAAGAGATATTTTTTATGTATCTCTTTAAGGCGTCGAACCGCCGAGTCATTGCCTAGACCTCGACAGTTCCAGCAGGCTGTCCTCATGGCGGCTCTGGTGGTTGAGGGCCCACCACGCCACACACACGTTCCTCTGCAGAAACCTTCTTCTTGTTGCTCCCGCTGCCTTCTCCCCTCTGCATATTCTGAAAGTGATTCTCGTCAGATTCCGGCTCCATAGACTTCCGCTTGAGTGTCTCCTGGACCGGGACAATTGCATTCCTAAGTTCCTCCTCCTTGGCATCTCGAGCCTCCGCTTCGTCTTCATCATATAGGTACCGGACCAGTGTTGGATCAGACTCTCTCACAAACATGTCGTATGATGGTAGACTGGAAATCAGTATTTCCCCCGGAAAGCACCCATCAGAATCCATTTCTCCACTTGGGGCATCGATAGAATCCTCAGACGCTTCTAAATCTGAGTTGCCTTCATCTTCCTCCACGATCTCCTCAATTCTAGCACCCTGAGCATTCTGGTCTCCAACTTCGTTCCTCTGAACGTTACCAGCAACATTCACTTGTCTAGGGACTCCATTGGCAAGACCATCATTCATCGGAACCTCATCCCCGATGAGATCGTCATCATCATCCTCATCATCAGAGTGAGGTCGTGGACCACCATTGCGAAGCACACACGCACCATTGTCGTGTGTAAGCATTCCACAGACTTCACAGAAGCCCCTCAGCCTCTCGTATCTGAACCGGAGCAGCATATTGACCCCTTGAGAGAATTGGAAATACCTCTGGAAACGCAGTGGTTCCGAGATGTCCATGTTCAGATGCACCCGAGAGTACTCGACTCTCTCTATCGCCTCGGCATTGTAATCGACATCCATCAGGAGACCCATTGCACAACCAATGTGAGCAATCACATCTTGGGTCATGTATTGGAGCGGAATCCCACGGATTTGAATCCAGAAAGGAATGAAATTCAACATGTCCGCCATGATGTATGGGGACCATCTTTGCAAGACCACCATCCTCTCCGCAAAGGCCCATGGACCTCTCCGCAGAACCGTCTCCATCGATTCCTCCGAAGGGAAAATGAATTGAAACCGCCCTCCTTCAATGATACGACCGTGAACATTGGGCATGTTCCAGATCCGTGGCAAGACTGCAATCAATGACCTTAGGTTCTGACGGCGAGGAATGGTTGGACGACCCACCAGAATGAATCGGTTTTCAGCCGCCGCTTGTTCTACGACATCCACCGATAGTAGGATTGGTGGATCGAGAGCCCCCAAATCGAGGTCTTGGATTTGGCGACGAATGTTATCACCCATTTTGAGAAGGGAATTGTAAAACCTGAAAGGATACTGAAGTATTGCAAAGAGATTGCTTGCAAACGATGAAGAAATCAACTTTACAATCCAATCAGTATATAGGCGCTCCTTCGCCCTAATCGTTCGGATAACTGCATCACGTTGGGAAGAGGAACCCATCGTGGGGAAAACCGTCGAGTAGTGGAGCAACTCCTCCCAATCTCCCACTACGCCGACGAAAATCTCAAAAACCGTCACCAATTTGGTGATAAACCGCTGTATCGCCGTTCGTGTCGCCATCTATAGGCTCTTTTAAAAAACCCAAATGGTACAAATACAAATAATAATTGCTTCCAACTAATTTCGGGCAAGTGATCTTATATTAAAACATCAATAGTTTCGATTAACTTGTGTTTCTCACTCTAAAGGTCAAGAAAGCTCGTGAGTTACCATTTGTTAGACCATTCTAATCAACTTCTGTCATTTCTTCATTATCCTTTTGAGTTTTGAGTATGTACCATCTCGTGGTTTTTTGTTTGTTCAACGTTTGTGTGTGCAGGAATTTAACAAGGAATTGTTTGTGATCAGAATATGGCTGGTAGTGAATTTCACTCCGCGCCTGAGCCCATTACAAACATAGTTCTGGTGGGAAGTACTGGTAATGGAAAAGCGCCACTGGGAACAGCCTGCTTGGTGAAAAACTGTTCATCTCCAAAATATGGGGAGGAAGTGTTACCACAAGATGTAAGATGTATAGAGCTGCTATACAAGATGGCCCAATAATCAATGTCATTGACACTCCTGGTATTGGTAAGTCCTCCATTCTATAATTCAGAATTAGCGTATCACACTATTGAAAGACTGTAAGGAATAATAATAGCCAAAGTGAAGTTGTAACTCGGGAATTATATAGAGGCTATAGAGCCTTACCAATAGCAAAGATATTAAAATTGTATATTAAACAGATTCGATCAATTATGATTCTTTCGACTATCCCAATAAAGAAATCATCAACTGCTTAACTATGCCTGAAGAAGGAATACATGCTGTGCTGTTTGTTCTATCTCTGAAGGGTCGGATTTCACAGGAGGAAGAGTCCACATTTTAAACCTTGCAGCGCATATTCGAGGGTAAAATTGTTGACTATTTCATTGTTGTGTTTACTGGCGGTGACGAGTTGGAAGAGGACAACTACACATTGGACGATTATTTGCGTGACAGTTGTCCTAATTTTTTGGCGGTTTGTTTGCTTTCATTACGATTTTTAGTGTTTCTACACATCTCGTTTTTATTTTAATTGGATTAGTAACGATATTTCAGAGAATTGATGTACTCAACATTTGCATACATTTAGCCTCTCATACTGCATAGTTCTGTGTATAATTGAGTCCATTTCATAACATTTAGAGTAGCTTTAGTCTACTTAGGATCATTTAGCCTTTAGGATAGCATTTTGCATTTCCATTGCATTTGGGGTGCATTTATCAGGTATTCGGAGCTTATGGCGAAGGAGGACCGGAGGTGATGATCGGAGATGGACCAGAAGGAGATCGGAGTAATCGGATGGCAAAACAAGCAAGACGGAACAGAGCCTTGAGCAAAAGGAAACAGAGTGCTTGAGGAAGTTGCTCAAGCTGCGCGCATCTGTGAAGTCAAAGCAAAAACGTTGACCAAAGGATACACTTTTCCCTTCTCTATATAAACCTTTAAGACCTAATTTTTAGGCAATCTTTATCTTGTAACCAGTTTCTCTCCAAGAAAAACAGTTTGTTCTTGGAGATCTTTTGTAAGCTTTTACTTTGAATCTTTTAAGTTTAAGAAGTACTTAGTTTGCTAATCTTGTCTTAATGATGATTTCTAGCTTTCTTTACCTCTTTGCTTTCGGTTCGAGTATGAGTAGCGAGTAGTTCTTTAGAGGTTTCGAGGGTGAGATTAGGAAAGGTCAGAGCTTTAGCTTCCTGTTAACCTCTTCCTTAATCTCCCTTGACCAGCTTTTCTTTAGCTAGAGCTTTATATCTCGGCTTCTTCTTGATCACTTGAAGTCGCGAATCTAGGCTAGTACACCTAGAAGGTGTTTGCGTTAATGCCTAAGAGAGCTAGCGATAGAGAGAAACATTCCCAACCTAAGAGATTGGTTGTTGGGATGTATCTTGTGCACTTTTAGACTAGATCTTGTGAAAGCTTGTAACTTTGAGTCCACTAGTGAGAGCTAGCTTTGGATTCTCAGCTTGCAAAGCGATCTGACCACGAGAGTGGCAGATTTACCCAAAGTCTAAGCACAAAGCTTGAGTCTTGGTGTGTTGAGAAAGGAAGGTTGAGCTCGTTTGATCCCAACTAAGTCTCACCCAAGACGCCTCCTTTATCTTTTATTGTTAAAGTTTAAATCTTTATTTCATCTTGTTAGCTTAAAGCATAGATCTTTACAAAACAAAACCCAATCTTTTATCAAAACTTGATCTTTGCCTTTTCTTTATTTCGATAGTTTAAATCTCCACTTGGATTGACATCTCAAGTACTACAATGACATGAGTGGTATGGATTGAGAGTAGTTGATACAAAAATCCTACTTATCAACTTGGCGCCGTTGCCAAAGTGGAGACTTTTAAGCATTTCGTTTTCAAGAAAAACCTTAGATTAAGTCGGTTTTGCTCTATCTTGCCTAAAGTCGCTAACTTTCTGTGAAACCTCTCATCTTTGACCTCAGGTGTATGCACACCAGATCCAAAGGACGAGACAACCTCCTAAGTACAAGCGATCTTGACAAAGCAGAGCAAAACAAACGGTCACGCAGAGTTACTTCGCGAACCAGAAGACAAGAGGTTCCGGACATGGCAGCCCAACCCCAACAGGAAGGATTCCCACCCGGACCGGAACAACAAGGTGGTCAGCGAAACAACCCACCTCTGCGACCTCACCGTCAAATAGGTGCCGGCGATGCACCTAACACTCACGAAAACCGTCAAGGCATAGCCCCGCCGAATGTGCACAACAACTTCGAAATCAAACCGCACATTCTGCATCAAGTCCAACAAAAGATCTATCACGGTCTACCTGAGGAAGACCCGTTGGACCATCTTGACGAGTTTGACAGAGCATGTGATTTGATCACACAGAATGGGGTAAGCGAAGACGCAACCAAACTTCGTTTATTCCCATTCTCACTTGATGGCAAAGCTCGCCAATGGGAAAAGACGATACCTCGAGGGTCCATAACAAGCTGGGATCAGTGCAAGAAAGCCTTCTTGGCTAAGTTCTTCTCCTCAGTCAGAACTGCAAGCTTCAGAACCAACATCTCAAGCTTCGCACAAAAGCACGGCGAGAGTTTCACAGACGCCTGGGAACGCTTCAAAGGATATCAGTCGAAGTGCCCACACCACGGTTTCTCTCAAGAGTCACTCTTAAGCACTCTATACCGTGGTGTACTGCCTCGTTTAGGCAGATGCTTGACACAGCAAGCCAAGGCAACTTCTTGGCCAGAGACGTCGACGACGGTCTGTTTTGGTGGAAAACATGGCAATGAGCAATGGTACATACGGCGAAGATCATGACCGCACAAACAGAGGATCCGTCGAAGCAGAGGAAAAGCACAAGAAGGAACTGAAAGGTGCTGAACGACAAGCTTGACAAACTGCTTATAGTCCAGCAAAAACAGTCGGTACACATGCTGGAGGAACGCGATGACGATCAAGAGGAGGAGTTTTACACTGAGGACGTCAACTACATTCATAGCCAGGGTTACTACAAGAACAACCCCAATATGTCCTATCGAAGCACGAATGTAGAGAACCCCCAGGACCAAGTCTATCCTCCTCAAGCCAACACGTCTGGTCAAGGAAAGATGTACCCAACTAAACCACGTGATGGGTACAACAAAAATTTCCAAGGAGGCTATCAGAAAAACACCTCTGTTCCACCTGGATTCGAGGCTAAGCAAGGTCCGCAAGAACCTGGAGTCAAGCAGATGCTTCAGCAACTACTTCAGGACAGTCTACCGGAAACGTGGATCTCAACAAGCGACTATCTGAGATCAATGGGAGAATCGACTTCTCGCACCACGACCTTCAGACTAAGATTGAAGCTCTCACAAGTAGAATCCATCAGCTTGAACACAAAGGCGGAACAGCTTCCTCATCCAGAACGCAAGGTCAACTTCCGGGTAAAGCAGAGCAGAATCCCAAGGAATACGTACAAGCAATTACATTGAGAAGTGGACGCGCTTTACCTCCAAGAACAGGACCCGCACCAGTCAATGAGGACATTGAGGAACAAGAGGAGGAGATTTCAGTTGAAACTGAAGCCACGGCACCTGTGACTGAAGAGGAACCACCAGTTCAAGAGAAAGAGAAAGCACCAGAGGAAGTGCAAAAGAAGAAGAAAGCCCCAGCTTTCGTTCCTCCTCCTTACAAACCGCAACTTCCCTTTCCTTCGATTCAAGAAACAACAGCTTGAGAAAGCTAGAGCCTCTGTTTGATAAGCAAATAAAGGAGATTGATATTACAATGCCCTTCTTGGACGCATGTATGCTCATCCCTCCCTATCAGAAATTTCTCAAGGACGCTGTAACCGAGAGAAGAAAAGAGGTTCAGGGCATGGTCGTTCTTTCTCAGGAATGTAGTGCAATCATCACTAGGAAAGTGGTTGGGAAGAAGTTTGAAGATCCAGGCAGTTTCACTCTCCCTTGTTCTATTGGTCCTCTGGCATTCAACCGAAGCTTATGTGATCTTGGAGCAGGCGTGTCTGTAATGCCACTCACAGTAGCTAAGAGGCTTGGGTTCGAGAAGTATCAAAAGTGCGACGTTTCCTTGGTACTTGCGGATAGATCAGTACGCATCCCAGTGGGTATGCTCGAGGACTTGCCTGTGCGAGTAGGAAACGTGGAGATACCCACTGACTTTGTTATCCTTGAGATGGACGAAGAACCCAAGGATCCGCTGATCTTGGGAAGGCCCTTTTTGGCAACCGCTGGAGCTATCATCGATGTTCAGAGAGGGAAGATTGAGCTAAACTTTGGAGATGACTTCAAGCTCAGCTTCGACATCAAGAGATCGATGAAGAAACCAACCATTGATGGACAGCTCTTCTGGGTAGAGACTTTGGATCAGTTGGCAGACGAGTATCTAGAGGAGTTAGCCACAGAGGACCAGCTTCAGCTAACCTTGACTGAGAAAGCGGAGGAAAAGAGCTACTTCAACACCGAATCCTTGGAGTATGCTCGACTCTTAGACTCCCACAGAGGGACTGTTCCCAATGACGTGGTTGAGGAAATCATAGGACGCTCCGTGAGAGTTGAGGAAATCCACAAGGTAGAGGCAGAGCACGACCTCGAGCAACCTTCAGACGATGACTGGAGCGAGCTCAAAGCCCCAAAGGTGGACCTCAAGACCTTACCAGATGGGCTAAGGTACGCATTTCTTGGACCAAATTCAACTTATCCCGTAATTGTGAACCAAGAACTTACCCCACCCCAATTAACCTCCCTCCTTAATGAGTTGAGGAAGTTCAGGAGAGCAATTGGTTACTCTTTAGAGGACATCAAAGGCATATCTCCTGAGCTTTGTACTCATCGCATTCACCTTGATAACGAATCTAAGGGATCTATTGAACACCAAAGACGCTTAAATCCCAACCTCAAAGAGGTGGTGAAAAAGGAAATCCTTAAGTTGCTTGACGCCGGCGTGATCTACCCTATCTCGGATAGTACTTGGGTCTCGCCGGTACACTGTGTGCCCAAGAAAGGTGGAATCACAGTAGTCAAGAACGAAAAAGACGAAATGATCCCAACCAGAACCATAACCGGTCACCGAATGTGCATAGATTACCGAAAGCTCAATGCGGCGACTAGGAAGGATCATTTTCCACTGCCTTTCATCGATCAGATGCTTGAGCGGTTGGCGAACCATCCTTTCTATTGCTTCCTTGATGGCTATTCGGGATTCTTTCAAATCCCCATCCACCCTAATGACCAAGAGAAAACACCTTCACATGTCCCTATGGAACTTTTGCCTATAAACGTATGCCCTTTGGATTGTGTAACGCTCCGGCGACTTTCCAAAGATGCATGACGTCGATCTTTTCGGATTTGATTGAGGACACTGTTGAAGTGTTTATGGATGACTTTCTGTCTATGGCAGTTCCTTTGTGTCTTGTTTGTCCAACTTGTGCAGGGTTCTCAAGCGCTGCGAGGAGACGAACCTAGTGCTCAATTGGGAGAAGTGTCACTTTATGGTCAGGGAAGGGATCGTCTTGGGACACAAGATATCAGAAAAGGGGATAGAGGTTGATCAAGCAAAGATTGAGGTGATGAGTCAGCTTGCTCCACCAAAGACAGTCAAGGACGTGAGAAGTTTCCTTGGGCACCCGGTTTCTATCGGAGATTTATCAAGGACTTCTCCAAAATAGCTCGTCCTTTGACACGCCTCTTGTGCAAGGAGACTGAGTTCCTGTTTGACGAGGAGTGCCTTAAGGCATTTGAGATGATCAAGACTGCCTTGGTCACGGCCCCGATTGTGCAAGCACCAAACTGGGACTACCCTTTCGAGATCATGTGTGATGCTAGTGACTACGCCGTGGGAGCTGTGCTTGGCCAGAGGATAGACAAGAAAGCTCCACGTGATATATTACGCAAGCAGAACCATGGACGATGCCCAAGGACGATACGCAACAACTGAGAAAGAGCTCTTGGCAGTAGTCTTTGCGTTCGAGAAGTTCAGAAGTTATCTCGTGGGTTCAAAGGTGATAGTCTACACTGATCATGCAGCCTTAAGACATCTGTTGGCAAAGAAGGACACCAAGCCAAGGCTCCTGAGATGGATACTTCTTCTCCAGGAATTCGATCTCGAGATTTTGGATAAGAAAGGGGTTGAGAACGGAGTTGCGGATCATCTCTCAAGGATGAGAGTCAATGGACCAGCACCTATCGACGATACTCTGCCTGAGGAACAGTTACTCTTGGTGGAAAGTCTGGGAAAAGCGTAGGTTTGGCAGTTCGGTTAGAGCAGTTGAAGGCAGTTGAGGAAAAGGAAGCGCCTTGGTATGCAGATTACGCCAACTACTTGGTGTGTGGAGAGGTCCAGCCGATCTATCTCCTTACCAGAAGAAGAAGTTCTTCAGGGACATCTCACACTTCTTTTGGGACGAACCATACCTGTTCAAGAGAGGATCAGATGGTCTGTTTAGGAGGTGCATAGCTCAGGAGGAAGTAGAAGGAATACTCGAGCATTGTCACGGATCGAGCTACGGAGGTCACTTTGCGACTTTCAAAACAGCTTCCAAAGTTCTTCAAGCCGGATTCTGGTGGCCAAGCCTTTTCAAAGACACTCACGACTTCATTGCAAGGTGTGATAGATGCCAACGAGAAGGGAGCATTTCCAAGCGCAATGAAATGCCACAAAACCCGATACTTGAGGTGGAAGTGTTTGATGTATGGGGCATCGACTTCATGGGCCCCTTTGAGCCACCTTCTCATGGGAATAGATACATCCTAGTGGCAGTTGACTATGTGTCCAAGTGGGTCGAGGCAATCGCTTCCCCAACGAACGATGCCAAGGTTGTGCTCAAGCTGTTCAAAAGCATCATCTTCCCGAGATAAGCGATGGAGGAAGCCACTTTATCAACAAAGTCTTCGAGAACTTGTTGAAGAAGTATGGAGTTGATCGCTACATCTAAGGGATGAGACAAGTGATAATTCCCTAAGACAACTAGTGTTGCAAGTGCACAACATATAATTGTAGTATTTAGGGGTCGAACCACAAGGGATTGGATTTCACACATTACATAATCATAGAGTTTAAATGACTAAGCTAAATCAAAAGATGCAAGGGTTTGTGTTTGTTTAGAACACGCAAAAGAAATAACAATGCAATTCTATACAAGCAACATTATTGAACTATTGAAAACTCTTTTGAAAACATGAGCCAAGTCGATTGAAAAGTTTGTTAAAATCCGATTCTTTTGAACTCAAAACACTAAGGAAGGATTATTCCACTTTCGTGGTTCCAATCCCCTATGTCTCTTAAACCAATGGGCTCAGCTTTCGTTGGTCATTGTAGAGTGAGACATGCATTACATCCAAGTAATGATTGTTCACAAAACTCTTTAGGTCTACTTTCGTAGCCTAAAACGATTTGCCCATCAAATATTGTATCCGGAGATATAACAAGCTTTTGGAGAGTATATCAACCTAAAATCAAGTCACTAGTTAGCTACTCTAGCAACAAGCATTAAGCATAAATAAAGATGGAGAACCATAGGGTTTCCCCTTTTAACAATCGATTTTCAAGATGGCCATTATATCACGTCCTCATTGGAAGGATCCATAATTCAACAATGAGTCTTAGATAGTAGATGAAGTCTCATGAATCCTTAGAGAGAGAGGCGGCGGAATATGGACTAAACCACGCCTCACCCTTAGGGAGAAATCTCTACTTCTAGACTATATAAATTGAAACATGCAAGCTATATACAAATGCAAAAGAAGAAAAGAAAGAAGAAGGAGACCACCTAAGTGGCTCCGAACTTTATTGAATAAGTGTTTCTTGTTATGCGGCTGGTGATTCTTATTACAAGAGGCTAAAAGCAAGTATATATAGGTAGAGAGCGGGTCTAGGTCGGCAAAGTTGAGCGCGCGCAGAAGAGGAAAGTTTCCATTTCTCTTTAGCCGCTTGAGCTTGCTCTCCAAGTTCTTGAATGGGCCGCGTTCAGGCCAATGGAAGCTTCTGGATTGAGTTATGCTAGTGTCAAGATGAGCCAAGGCCTTGGGCGCGGTATCTCGGGCCTCTTGATCCATCAAAGTCTCCATGGGCTCTACTTAGGCGCTCGTCGGACATGTCTTGGTAGAAAATAAGTTCCGGTCCAACGAGTGATCCAAATGACCTCTTTCCACTTCGCCGCGGGTCATGACTCAAATATCTATCTTTCCATATAAGAAACATGACTTTTGGACGTCGGGAAGGCATGAATATGCGGTCGTACTTCGGATGCTCCGGTTTGGTCTTTAGCGAGAAATGTAGATTTGGTGCTCTAGACTTGGGAACTTGGTGATTTGACTCTTTTTGCTCCATTTTGGACTCTTCTTTGCTATTTTGACCTGAATGATGCTCAAAACCAGAATATACAAGAAAACTACCTCTTGGGCATAAAAACCACATTATTTGTATTAAAAACATAGTGAAAACCTTGATAAAAACATGAAAGATATGAGTATATCAGGAGTCAAGCATAAGGTCGCGACACCATACCATCCTCAGACAAGTGGTCAGGTGGAAGTGTCGAACAAGCAGATAAAGGTGGAGATTGAGTACAGAGCGCTTTGGGCAATCAAACTGCTCAACTTCGATATCGGGTCCGCTCAAGAGAAGAGGGGTTTCGACTTACATGAGTTGGAAGAGATCAGGCTGGATGCATATGAGAGCTCCAAGATTTACAAAGAACGGACTAAGGCATTTCACGACAAGAAAATTGTGCCTAAGGTCTTCAAAGTTGGAGAATATGCGCTGCTTTTCAACTCACGAGCTAAGTTGTTCCATGGGAAGCTCAAGTCCAAGTGGTCAGGCCCGTTTGAGATTAAGGAAGTCCTTCCTTATGGAGCCGTCACTTTGCTCAACCAGAATGGCGAGGAGTTCACAGTGAATGGCCACAAGCTCAAACCGTATTTGGGCCAATGCATTCAAGGAGAAGGAGTCTCAACTCCTCTTCCGGATGCTCCCTTAGCCTAAAAGGTTATGAAAGTCAAGCTATGAGACTCAAAACAAGCTCACTTGGGAGGAAGTCCCATGGTTATCTTTGTATATATTTATTTTTGCTTAACCTTTCTTGTTTTAATTCTTACAAGTGCTCAGGTGTATAGATGAAGGAAGTGTTCAGTCAGCTTGACGATGAGCTTGAGCAAACTGACCAAGAAGAACAACGCAACAATTTTTGAAAAGGACTTAGGTTTTTTCTCAAAATTCGTTGCCAGGTAAGCCCATTCCTGTTTACAAGGCCCAATTTAAAACAGTTTTTCATCGAGTTTTATCCGGAATTTTATCTCGGTTTGAAAAGAAAAAGAAAAGGAGAGAAAAGAGAACATGGGAGAGAGAAAGTGGTCAATTGGGGCAGTTTTGATTGGACAGCGGTTCAGTCCCAATCCCCTCCCGATTTTTCCGCAACCCTATCTCTCTCCTCCTTTACCTTTTAAAGAACCGAGACACGCCAAACCTCTCTCTTTCATTCTTCCAACTTTTTCCCGATTTGTGAAAAGAAAAACCTCCATCTTTCTCTCTACTTTTTCGCTCTTTCTCCTTCACTTTCAAACCGTTTTCTGCGCTCAACCGGTAATTCCTCCGACTTTAGTTAGATTTTGCTTTGATTTCTGCTTAGTAGAGAGTAGATTTGCTTCGGGTTTAGGTTGAAAGAGAGATTTTGAGTTTGGATTTTCGAAAACTGTTTTGCATCTCTTTGTTTTTCCGAGATTTGAGTTCACCCGCCGGTTTTAATCGACCTTTTTAGTTGAGATCTGTCTAAAAGCTTTGATTTTTATCTCGAATCTCAACTTGCTTGATATGCTATTTCTCTAAAGCCTTGCATGTTGACATTGTTTGGCTGAGATACTTACTCTGTTTGTGAGGTTTGGTTATTTCACAGGAACAATGGTGTCCACGACCAGAGGAACGCTCTCGAGAGCCGCGGCTGAGAAGGCGGAAGGAAAGAAACCGGCGGCGGAGGAAGGCTCAGGCAGTAGAAAAAGCGGATCCGGAGTCATGAAGGCAAGGGACTATGCCGAGATCTTCGACAAGATGTCTTTTGTGGGGACGAGATACCCTGACCTGACGACGATGACAGAGCTCGGGATCTCTCAGGATTGCCACTACATCTTCGAGGAGATGCAGCTTGCGAGGCTGATGATGAACCCTCTCCCTGCCTACAAGAAGGAAACCATCGAGTTCCTCTCACTCTCCGGGTTAACTTCTACGAACCCGACGAATTCGTCCCCGAGGGCAACGGAAGCGGAAAATTTCCTTCCGGATCAACAAGAGGAAGTACCGGATGAGTTTCAGGAGCTTGAGGATGTGTTTCACTTTGAACACAAGAATGGGAGAGACAGAGCCGGGAACGCCACAAGGAGAGCTTCAAGCCTTCTGGGCAATGATCGGATTGGCGAGTACATGTAGCACTGCCAAGAGCACCACATCAGGAACCCGTGCTCAGATACGTCCACAAGGCCCTCGCTCACACCATCTATGCGAGGCGCGACGTGACTGGTGTCACAGAGAAGGAGCTCTTCTTCTTGAACGAAGGGATGAAGAGGGTGATTCGCACATTGCCGGATGGAACTGAGATGGTCGGGGACAGAACAGGGAACAGCGTGGCGACGTATCTTCTCAAGAGCTTCCTCAGCTACAGAGAGTATGCTCTCTCTCTCAACAAGGTGGAGGTCTCATAACTCCGATCCTCATAACTGTGGAATCACGCTTGAGAAGCCGGTTGATCCTCTGGCGATAAACATCCAGTACCTCCGCAAGAGCACCTACCTTCGCGGCCAACCCATCAGCGGACGACCACAACTATCAGTTCGCCTATAGGCAGTTTGAGTACGGGCTGGCGAGTTTCTTCCTGCAAACCCACCGTTGACCTACATCACGGTCATGGAGAACATCGACTTTGAGCCTCCTATCGAGACCATTCTCGAGCAAGGCCAAGAGGAGGAAGAATACGCTCACCCAGGAGCAGCTGGATGAGAGCTCAGGCGACGAAGCAATCGACCTGGACTACAAGACCGGAGGCTTCCACTTCAAGGATCATGAGATAAAAGGGAGGAAATCAGCGGCTAACACCGCACTTTGAGAGCATCAACACGCTCAAGGCTTGGAACCAGTTCCAAGATAAAGCGATCAAGTCCCTCCTCAAGACCGTGAAGAAGATGGGGAAGCGCATCAAGGAGCTACCAAGAGCAAGAGCAAGTCCCCAAGCCGTGACTCCACTCACACTCCTCCGATACACCTTCGGTTCCTATCATGACGACGACGTAGTCGAGGACTCCGAAAACGATGAAGAGGGCAACTCAAAGTTCCAAACCGCAGGAAACCTCAACCAGGAAGAGGAAAGGCCTCGAAGTCACCTCAAGCGAGCACAAAGGGTGATTCCACATCATCCTCCTCCTCAGAATCTTTCTGAGAGGTATGAACCCCAACCATGTAAATAGCATGCATTTTTCTTTTTATTTTCACTTATCTTTTGCTTTGATTCTCTCTTCCGCCTTCTTATCACACAAGGGACCGTGTGAACTAAGTGTGGGGGAGAGGGTCAATGGTATTTGACCAAGTGTTTTGTGTTCTTATTTTCATTTAGCATTCTTGAGTCTCATGCATTTGCATCTCACCCGAAAATCATGTAAAATTTTCATTTTTGCATTGCTAAAAAAAAAAATCCAAAAACAGAGCATGTAGTTAAGATCATTTCATTTGCATCTGAGCAATGTTTGTTGAGCTGATTGATTGAGTTGCGGAATTGCTTCAGTGCCCTAGTTCTAAGTTGTTTGGCGCATTTGATAGTTCTTGAAGTTAAGGTAGAACCGCATCATCAAAAAGCATCATGACTGTCTTAGTAAAACCGAATGCATTGCTGCGATTTGAATCTGCTCCTTGTCTAAGTGAAACCTGAACCTGATCTTTAATTATCATGCTCATGCTTGTTAAGTTCAACTCGTGGATTACACATACTTGAATCATCTTTGCATTATTGTTCATCCTTCTTTGTTGATTCAAGTAGAACTCCCTGCCCTTAACCAACCCTTCCTTTCAAACCAAATGTTGTTCTTGTGTGTTGTGAGGCCTTTGGAAAAAGCTTGGCATAAAGTGTTAGGTCTTGAGCCGACAAGGATAGGTGATCATGTAGATTCTGGTCCACGCTTTTTGGGCCAGACTAGGTTAGGACTGGGTTTGGGAATGTCTTGGGGTGGGATTCAAAAAGAAAAAGAAAGAAAGAGCTTGTAAGCAAAAAGAAAAGAAGGCGTTTTAGCTGAGGTAGATTAAGAGCTTGGTCTGTGAGTTTAAGAAAGCCCCCATCAGAAAATAAATAAAAAAAAAAAGAGCAAAGAAAAGGAAAAGGAAAAGATGGGTTAGGGCAAGAGTTTAGACCAAGTCTCTCGAGTTTGTCTTTCAAAAAGCCTTAGAAAATTCGCTAAAAGTTTCAAAAGCTCTAAGAAAAGGAGAAGAAAAGAAAAACCCAAAGGGAAAGGGTAGAAATAGGAAGTTTCGGATTTGAGAGTCACCAAAAGGTACTTGGGGTTTCGGGTAGATGATCATTTGTCCTTGTACCTCCCAATTGGTTCTCGCCTTTAGCATTATGCCGAAGCTGTTTCACTTCTTCTTGAGAGAACCCTTCCTTTGTCATTTGACATGAGCTTGCATTGTGATTTGCTCTCTCTCTTTCTATTGACCAAACGAGTTAACTTGACTTGCATGTGTTTTGATTCACTGTTTTGAGCTTTAATGAATGTTAAAAGGAGTAGAGGATTTGAATGCATGTTTAGGTTGAGCTAGTGGTCATTGATTGTATTATGAAGGTGCGGCTAAGATTTTTGAAGTAGAGAACATCTTTTGCGCTTTAGACCTTGGAACTAGGTTGTTGATTTAATTCTCTTCTCGGCTTTCACTTACTCTATTGCTCAGAGAACACTCTTATGCTTGGTTGATGTTTGCTTGAGGGCAAGCAAAGACTAAGTGTGGGGGTGTTGATGTACTCAACATTTGCATACATTTAGCCTCTCATACTGCATAGTTCTGTGTATAATTGAGTCCCATTTCATAACATTTAGAGTAGCTTTAGTCTACTTAGGATCATTTAGCCTTTAGGATAGCATTTTGCATTTCCATTGCATTTGGGGTGCATTTATCAGGTATTCGGAGCTTATGGCGAAGGAGGGACCGGAGGTGATGATCGGAGATGGACCAGAAGGAGATCGGAGTAATCGGATGGCAAAACAAGCAAGACGGAACAGAGCCTTGAGCAAAAGGAAACAGAGTGCTTGAGGAAGTTGCTCAAGCTACGCGCAGCTGTGAAGTCAAAGCAAAAATGTTGACCAAGGATACACTTTTCCCTTCTCTATATAAACCTTTAAGACCTAATTTTTAGGCAATCTTTATCTTGTAACCAGTTTCTCTCCAAGAAAAACAGTTTGTTCTTGGAGATCTTTTGTAAGCTTTTACTTTGAATCTTTTAAGTTTAAGAAGTACTTAGTTTGCTAATCTTGTCTTAATGATGATTTCTAGCTTTCTTTACCTCTTTGCTTTCGGTTCGAGTATGAGTAGCGAGTAGTTCTTTAGAGGTTTCGAGGGTGAGATTAGGAAAGGTCAGAGCTTTAGCTTCCTGTTAACCTCTTCCTTAATCTCCCTTGACCAGCTTTTCTTTAGCTAGAGCTTTATATCTCGGCTTCTTCTTGATCACTTGAAGTCGCGAATCTAGGCTAGTACACCTAGAAGGTGTTTGCGTTAATGCCTAAGAGAGCTAGCGATAGAGAGAAACATTCCCAACCTAAGAGATTGGTTGTTGGGATGTATCTTGTGCACTTTTAGACTAGATCTTGTGAAAGCTTGTAACTTTGAGTCCACTAGTGAGAGCTAGCTTTGGATTCTCAGCTTGCAAAGCGATCTGACCACGAGAGTGGCGGATTTACCCAAAGTCTAAGCACAAAGCTTGAGTCTTGGTGTGTTGAGAAAGGAAGGTTGAGCTCGTTTGATCCCAACTAATCTCACCCAAGACGCCTCCTTTATCTTTATTGTTAAAGTTTAAATCTTTCTTTCATCTTGTTAGCTTAAAGCATAGATCTTTACAAAACAAAACCCAATCTTTTATCAAAACTTGATCTTTGCCTTTTCTTTATTTCGATAGTTTAAATCTCCATTGGATTGACATCTCAAGTACTACAATGACATGAGTGGTATGGATTGAGAGTAGTTGATACAAAAATCCTACTTATCAAGAATCCTCCGTCTCTGTGGCGGTCGAAAGGTCCTGTTTGATAACAGGACTAACGATGAAGACAAAAAGGCTGAGCAAATCAAGCAGCTTCTTTCTCATGTAGCATATATTGGAAAGAAAAACGGTGGGCACCGTATACCAATAAGTTACGCCGAAATATAAAGGTAAAAAAAAGTGTGTTTCAAGTTTAAACTTTATCATAAGCATTCAATCTGAACTATGCGAAATGAGCCGGAAGCTGTTTGAATTAATCTGAATTTGTTGATTTTAAAAGTTGAAAGATTTGATAAATTTGCTGAGATTTGTTAGATTTGCATAAAGTTTGTTTGTATATTTAGGAAATAAATTATTTCAAACTTGTTAAATGCTTGTGTGTCTATGTTTTTTCATTTGTTTCTTGTGTGTTTATCTAGCTATATTACTTTGTAAGTCATGTGAATTTCATCTTGGATCGATTGCCATAGTTGCATTCAGCACAACACTAACATATACTATTTTTAATTAAAATGTATTCAAGAAAACGGTAATTCAGGAAGTGAATGATAAGTTCATGGAACAAGAAACAGAAATTGAAGCTAAAAACCTTACGGAAGCATACATATCAGCGATGAAGGAAACGTTACAAGTGGAGCATGAACGAACCATGAACAAGATCATGATGGCACATATTGTATAATTCGTATCTGTAAGCTCTGTAAATATGTGTACTTGTTCTTTATTGCATGCTATCAATTAAGTATATTCTGGTTATCTTACAGGTGGAGAATGATTTAAAACTGAATGCAGCATCACAGAAAAGAGAGATGCATCATCTGAAACAGCTACAGGAAACTAAAACCGTGAACCTGGTGGCAGATATGGTAAATTTCTATTCATAAACTTTGTAAATTTAAATACTTATTCTTCTATGCAATCAGTTAATTTTGTAGTATCTGGGTATCTTGCAGTTTCAGAAAGGGTTTGTAAGAGGTACCACAATAAATGAAGTACATACAAATGAAGTACCTCAACAGCTGAATCTTGAACTTCAGCTGTTTAACAAAGAAACCATGAACATAATAAAAAAGATGGTAAAATTGTGTTCATAAATATTGCAAACGTGAATACTTATTCTTCATTGCATGCATGCAGTTAATTTAGTATTTTTGTGGTTATATTTTAGGTAGAGAATGCGTTGAAAATGAGTGATGCAGCACATGAAAGAGAGATGCATCAGCTGAAAATCACACTTCAGTTGAATGATTCACAAACCATGAATATGATGGCACAGATGGTAATTAATTTTGTATTCTAAAATTTTGTAAATGTTAGTACTTGTTGTTCACTGCATGTTATTAGCATTACAGTAGAAACTCTATAAATTAATACTTGATAAATTAATAATTAAACAAGATAAATTGATAAAATCTTCCGGTCCCGAGTCAGGCCGGTGTAAAATATGAAACAATTCGATAAGATAATAAGATAATAATGTTTTTGAAACTTCTATGTAAAATATGGTCCCAATAATATCATAAATTAATAATCATCATATAAAAAATTATATATATAATTAAAATATCTAGCTATTAAAATATGAATCTCTCACACACCAAACAAATATGGAAATGAAAAGAAAAATAGAATTTAAAACAATATGACAAGTATGAAAAAATGTAAACAATAAATTAAATATAGAAATATCAAAACATTTTAAGAAAATATACTATAAATGAAAGTTCTTATTTAATTTGAATGAAAACTTAAAAGATTAAAAATATTAAACTTTCTTTTTTTTTGAAATTTTTTATTTTATCAAAACCTATATATTAATAACTCTATACATTAATAAAATATCAAAATCCCGACATTATTAATTTATAGAGTTTCTACTGTATATGGTTTATCTTTTTGATATAAACTCATTAAAACAGAGTGCAGCAAAGCATGAAAGAAAGATGCATCACCTGCAGGAACAAGGCAGACCTGAACCATAATGTGGCTAATATCCAAACTCTATTATAAAGATCGACCACATAGGTTGCCCAAATTCGAGTTTCCATTTTTATTTTTTGTTTATATCTTTCCAAATCCCTTTTGTACTGCAACATCAAAAGTTTCTCCGTCCTTTGTGAAAAAAAAAAGTGTATAATTTCTATATATACATTCTTTCTCCAAGTAAAGAAGAAAAACCTCAAACATAATATTCGATCTACAATAGTCCAATAAAAATATGATAAAGCTTAAGCCTAAATTAACCCTGTAAACCCCCTAAAACAATTGCAGCTCAAACGATAATTTTATGGCCTATTTTTTTTTATTCCGATTTTTTATCTAGCGAAATCTTAGCCCCAAATCAAATATCTTGTATTCAATACACGAACATGATCAAATTCGGTTTGATTTCAATAAGCATAGATTTGGAAACAATCGAACCAAGCACTAACCATGAATCAATCATAGGGCCTGATCTAGAGTTAATGAGTGTAAAATGTAGCTGTGAAACCAATCTTATATATAATGAGACGATATTATTTTTCAGTGACACCTCAGCATTTTATCCGGCTTTTCCCAAGTTTATTTTCATCTCCTCCTCTTTACTCTAGGGTTTTTTCTTTTTCTCTTGAAGGGAGACAAATTCAATCCTAAGCTTACATTTTGGAAAATATCTTAAAACCACTTTTATTATTTTGCCTAATCTAGTAATGTTTATCTTGAAAAAATAATTCTATGATCAGTTATTTGCTATGTGCATGCCTATGTGTGATTTTTGTATTTGTTGGATTTTAGAAGAAATCAAAATATACTCATGAATGATAAATAGAGAATGTTAGAGGAGAAATTAGCACATTTCCCTGAGCCCGTCATCATTAGTAAATCACAAAGCCCAATCCGATTTTAGGCCTAACATCTTCAAGAAAAAGGCAAGACTTGAAGAGAAAGGCACAATCCATGGAGAAATGTAAATAAATCTTCATGCCGACTTAAAGAATGGAAAAGATCCAAAAACAAGAGGGAATTTTCCATATCGCAAAAGAGGAAGTTTTCCATCTCGCCTGAAGGAGAATATTCATCATTCGGCCGACTTATCAACACTATATATTGAAGACCCCCCATTGGGGAGAAAGGGATCCGAAATCATCTAGAATCACTAGGCTTTCACATTAGCTTTTCTCTATCCTCTTGTTCACCATCATAATCTCGCTAGGCTTGTTAGCGAGATTGCTCTCTTGTAATCTTCTTGATAATCTAAGAGTCGAATTAAGCGTTCCAGTTTCCTAAACTCACATCTTGATAGCCCGTCTTGACGAGTGCTATCTCGGATTCAACAATTGGCGCCCACCGTGGGGCTGGAAACGCTTCTCGCTATTCATCTCGAAGATATCTAGATTTTCACGAACTAGCAACGATGGTAACTCGAAAGAGAACACTCCCACCGGGAGCCCGTCTCCCTCAGAAGAAAACTTAAGCGACAGTCTACCACGCACGATAGACAAGTCGCTACCCGCTGAAGGCAGGGACAAGCCTGCTCCCACAAAAACCATCTCTCGCCGCAGAGATCCGTCTCGCCGCGAAGATCTGTCCGCCGCGAAGATCTACTTCGCCGCAACGATCCCCTCCGCCAAGAAAGGACGAGAGCCCCCCTCCGTCCGCACCACGCCGCTCGAGAAAATCTTCCTCGAGCGACAAACCCCGCAGCTCGAAGAAATCCTCCTCGAGCGAGAAGATCCTCAAACTCATGGAGAATCTCGTCAAGCCACTCGCCGACGGTTTCGAGTCAATGCGAGCACAGCAGAAAAAGACTCAGGAACAGGTGGAAGCCCTAGCACGAGAAGACGATGAAGATCCGTCAAGTCCCACTGACGGAACAACCCCCCGTCCCGCGCACTTCAGGCGACTTACCACCAAGAGCTCGAACGGATGAATCGTCGCCTCGACGAGGTCGATTCGAAAGTTCATCGCGCCACCAGCTCAGCTCCGGAATTGACGAAAGCACTCGCCGACACCCGAAGAAGCCCGCTCACCCGCAGGCTCCGCCAGATCGAACTGCACGAAAGAGACTCAAAATCGACTCTTACACCGGCGAAGAAGACCCCAAGAAGTGGCTAACCGCGTTCAACCTCGCCATGAGGAGGGAGAAATACAAATCTTACGATGAAAGGGAGGCCAACTACTGTCAAGTATTCGTCGAGCACATGGCGAAAGATGCCTTGACCTGGTTCTCTAACCTCCCCGCCGAGTCGATCGATAACTTCGACGACCTAACCAATGCTTTTCTGAAGCATTACTCCATGCACATGACCCGAATCACTCGGAACATGTTCACCACAACGCAAACCCAAGGCGAACCATTGCGCAGCTTTATGGAAAGGTTCAAACAAGCAGCTCGCGATACTGGCGACATGCCCGATAGCGTCCCGCTGGAAGCACTCCGCAACGGCCTCTGGTACGACTCCAAGTTTAAGGAGGATTTGTCACTAAAACCCCCTGCGACTCTGGAGGACGCGTTCCACCGCTCTCGGAACTACATCTTCCTCGAGGAAGACCAGCGCTTCTACGCCGAGAAGCATGGAGATAGGAGGGCAACCTCGTCGAAACCCAGAGAGAACCCATGGAGGCACGAAGAAGACACGATCCGAAGAGGTCTCTCCTCGCAGCGTTCGCAGCAGCCGACGATGAGCCGAGCGAAGAACGAGCAAGAACACGCGCAGCCGTTTCGATGCCACAAGACATCAACTCGCTCGGAGATGACAACGATACCAAAGCTTTCTGCAAGTTCCACGGGGAACTGGCCACGCCACTGAAAACTGCAAACACCTAATGAGCAACCTCATGCGCATGTACCATCGAGGAGAAATCCCGCCAATGGACGGCGATAGGTCCCAAGGAAAAAGCTTCCCGCCGAGACCACCAAAATCTGGGCAACAGGAGAAGCGCGGACGACAACCCCGTCCGAGAAGGATGCAGAAAAGGCGGAAGCCCCGCGGGAAAAGGAATCGTGACGACCACGACGACCTACCTCCACCACCGAAGCGACAAGTCAGCATGATCATGGGAGGCCTCCTGGATAACGACGATTCCATATCGGCGATCAAGGAATACGAGCGAAAGGCCGTCGCGGCACAACGCTACCCGTATATCCATAAAGGGATCCCTAATCTCCTTTATGGATAAGGACGCAAGCGGCTGGACATCCCTCACCTCGACCCCTCGTGGTCACTTGCAGATTCACGACTGTGACGTCGCGAAGGTCTGGTTGATACCGGGAGCACGGTGAACCTCATCTTCCTAGAGACACTGGATCCGCATGGGAGTGGAACAGGATCCATCAAACCTACATCCCGTCCCCTCACCGGTTCACCGCCGAATACACCTACAGCTGCGGAACAGTTCGGCTCCCCGTTTATGTCGGCGGAATTTCAAAGCTCTTGAAGTTCATTGTCATGGACAAACCGGCCATCTATAACGCAATACTCGGCACCCCCTGGCTCCACGAAATGAAGCCGTCATCTCGACTTTCCACCAGTGCGTGAAATTCCGATACGCCTCCGGAATTTTCACCTTGCGTGGAGATCAAAGAGTGACGCGATCATGCTTCCTTCGCGAGCGCAAGCTCCGCACCGCATCATCCTTTATGATAGCCGAACCCTCAAACCAAACCTCGCGAAGATCGAGCCAGTATTGTACGACGAGACCGACGGACTCGATACGATACATCGCCACGACGCTGGGAGAAGCACCGCCATCGGCAAAGGCAAACGCCGAACCCGCCTGGAAATCCGACTTAAGGTCCAGCCTTAACACCAAGAACTCTCCAATCTATTCGAGATAAAGCAACTCGAGGACGAACCGCTACGAGCTACCTGACAGATTCAAAAGCGCGCTCCTCGACCTGACGAGACCCGGGAGCCCCCAATCGCAGAACCGCTCATCCAAGCCTCCAATGGGGCTTGGTATCGATCTAAGTTTCTGAAGATTCTACATTCGATCCTTCCGACACTGAAGGATGTCTTCCTTCGCGCTGAAAACTTACATCGCCTCGAGAGGACATCCCGCAGCTACCGACCGAAGATCCTCGAACCCGGTTAAGAAACAAGAGAAAGGTCATCATCCCTCCGCCCGGAAAGTCCACGCATAAAGCACCAAGATGCTATCACGAATCTCCCCTCGCCGAGACACCCCTATCTACGACGACGAGATCGGAGAATCATGGGAATCATGCGAAGACTGATCGCCATGCATCTCCGCAATGCTCATTCTCGATCAGGAGATATTCGAGATCATTGCCGATATTCGAAGAACTCCCCTGACAAGCCGCCTATCCGAGGTACCACTGAAGAAGCGCGCTTCACTACACCTAAACTTCTACGACGGCCGAGAAGATCCCAAGCAGTGGATCACGTCCTTCATGACGCCATGAGAAGACAGAAATACACATCGCCGGAAGAACAAAGCGCGCACTTCTGCCAAGCCCTCGCCGAACACTTGCGCGGCGACGCCCTAACATGGTTCAGCAACCTCCGTGCCGACTCCATCGACAGCTTCGACGATCTAGCAGCCGCTTTCCTAAAGCAACACCTCCGTTTCGCACTAGACGACCTCGTCTTTTGCAAAACCGATGATGATACGATCTATGGTCTCGGCAAATTCGGCCGACTGGGAAGGACCATTCCGCATCGCGAAAGTCGTCAAACCAGGAGTCTATCAGCTAGAAGACAACCTAGGCATCACGTCCGATCGCCTCTGGAGCTCGTCGGATCTGCGCAAGTTCCATGACTAGACGCGAAGCACCGCGCTAGAAAAAAAAAAAAAAGACATGTCCATGCATGAACATTTGTAACGAACTACGAATGGCTTGATCCCGGCACGGGTACGTAGGCAGCCTTTTTAAGGGCGCAGCTATAATACTTAATAAAATTTTAATTTTATTAAAACCTTTTTCTCGACAAGCGCGCCTCATTCTGGCATAAGCTGAAACTTGTCGACACCCAGCACGCACCCGTTTGACGTCAAACCAAGTTATTGAGGCAAACTCAATAAGCACTTGCACTTTGCACCCTAAAAACATGGACTGATCACCCATTCATTAAGCCGAGAGCACGCACCTCGCACGGCTCTCAGTTCGTCGGACGAGCGAAAAACCGCTACCTCGTCACCCGCACGAAGCTTTGAAGTCGGAAGCATAAATCGAGTTTCTAGAGCTCGTCGCTGAAAGTAGGTTTAACATCCTAAGCACACAGACCTAATACGCGCCGGTCGGTGTCTCGAATGAGAAGTCATGACGAAACCCGAAAGCATCGCGTCTAGTCATGACGCACTAGCACCATCACGCGCACCATGTCGTGATACACTTAAAGGTAACGAGTCATCCCGATAATCGAATTTCCTACTCGGTGACGACCAAGTACTTAATTCATTTTATGCGGTTGACGACACCATCGTCCTTTATTAAAAGACATAACCAAAAGCCGGATTACTTTCGTTGCGCTGCGAACTAATCAATTATGTCTAAAAGCCGTGACACGCAGAACACGCAAGCAAAAAAAGCAAAATAAAAAATCATACTTAAAGTACTTTAAGTATCTAGCATAAAAGCACAAATCCTAAAGCATACGGATAAAAACCTTCCCAGGCAATGTTATTACAACAACAAAAGGCCGCAGCCAAAAAGTCTTAAAACAAATGGGGCCTAAGCAGACTTGGCCCCAGAAGTAGAGGGTCCCGCACCCGGATCCGCACCATCACCATCTCGACGAGAAGGAGATCCCGGCAGCACCAGCCGTTTAAGGCTACAAAAGCAGAAAAACATAAGCAAACAACGTTACGCAAAGCACGACATAACAAAAAGAAGAAGCAAAAATTACCTGTTAGGCGGAGCGAAGTCATCATCATCGATAACAACTTCGTCAATCGCATCCCCATCCGCGATGCTCTTCGCCAGCTTAGCCGCGAGCTTCTCCTCCATCGCGTCGAAGTTCAGATCCACTCCCCGAATCTTCTTCACGAAGTTGAGGAGAGCTTCGTCGACTTGCCTCCTCCCCACAGCGGCTTCAACCATGTCCCGCTGCGCGACGAACTCCGACAAGCGATGGAGACGAGGAGCATACCAGTCATTCACCGAGTCGAAGACCTGAGTCACAGCCGCCTCGACCGATTCTCGACGAGACCGTCGGAGACGCTCCATCTCAGCAGCAGAAGCCTCTGCATCCCGACGCGCCTTCTCCTCCAGATCACTCACTTGAGCCCTCAGCTTGTCTGCTACCTCCTGGAGTCCGAGAGTCTTCACTATCTCCCTGTTCAGCGCCGCGACCTTCGACTCAAGCACCAGTTTATCCTGCTAATCAGCCACCATCGTATCGACATCCTTGGCCATCTCCTGCTCCGCCGCAACACAAAGGCTTCGTCCTTAGCTGCCCGAAGCGCCGTCTCGTACTTCTGGACCAACGCGGTGAACTTCCCGCCAGACATAATATGATGTTGAGCAGCTTCGTCGAAATCGGTCCTAAAGGTGAGCTCCTCACGCGGAATCCCCAAGCCGGGATGAACTTTAGACATCCAAGTCGCCCCTCCGCAAGCATCCTGGTCCTCCATAAGAGGACTCCCGCCATTCCACCACGTCTTGAACGCGTGAGGATTATAGCCCTCAGGACCATCCTTTGGAATTCCGGCGTCACCCTCAGCACCGAGGTTCGAGCCAGGAGCAAAACCACCCGCCTCCGAGTGACGAGACGCCGCCTCATCATTCTCACCTGGACGCCGAGATGATTCCCCTCCTTCGAAACCACCACGATCACGCCGGTCAGAGGAGGGAACGCCGCCACCAGGGGTGAGGAACTCGTCCCCCTTAGAAGGCGAACCACCACGCGCCGGAGTCCTCAAACCATCATCGTGATGAGAAGCACTCTCATCGTGATGGGAAGACTCGTCATGGTCCGAGGAAGGAGGAGAGTCAAGCTCGATCACTTGCTCCGGAACGCCCTCAGGAACAGAAGTCGAGGCTTTCCTCGTCGAAGCCCTGCAAAGAACGTCTACGATTAACATCGGAATTCCTATCTCCTGAATCCATCGATAGGCGACTTACCTCGTACGCGACGCAATGGAAGAGCTCCGAAGGGGAGAAGGAGGAGAATCCCTCAGTCTGGGGGACTCGACCCTTTTCTTTTTAGGGCCGGCTCGGAAGCAACGACAACGTCGTCAATAGGCACGGCCGCTCTCTTCCTAAGACCCATCGATTTCTTCTTAGAACGGGATGGCTTCGCTGCTACAAAAACAAAACGTTAAGACGAACCAAGAAAAGAAAAAAAAAAGAAAAACGCTTACTAGATATCGGAGTCGCAGGGATGGCAGATTTGTTTTTCCCTCCCTCTTATCTTTCCTCTCTTGCTTCTTCTTCTCAAGCGCCGCCACTACCTCAGGCCACAATCGATGGCTAAGCTCCTTCAGCAGCCTGAACTTCTCCTTGAGTTCGCGTTCGGTCTCGCTCGCCTGGACGGTCCTGCGAAAGACAACAAACAACATCAGAAAACGCAAACTCAGCAGCATGATAGCAATTCTAATCAAGAATTCTACCCGGTGATTTAACCCATTCTGTCCTAATCTGATCAGCTTTGATCTTCCCGACTGAGGCTCGGTTTATCTTCACAAAGAAGAAATATTTCTTCCACCAATGAATCTTGTTTCGGTAATCCCCGAAAACAATATCATACTTCATCGTGGTGTGAAACCGCTTGAAGTTTCCCTCTCGCGACGAAGCCCGGAGATCAGTAACGTGCTCGAAAAGAGGCGGTCGAATACAACTCCGGCGGCTCTAGCCAGGGCCTCGGTAAAAACGATGTGGCGAACCACGCCGTGGGTCAGTTGACTCGTAGGAACGCCACGATCAGCCGCAAATTGCAAAAATAGAGGAGACAGAGGGAAGTTCATCCCAAATTCGGTGAACATACACTCGTAAACGCACATCCACCCAGCCGGAGCATCGTAGGGCCTTTCAAGATGGCCAGGGATACGAAACTCCACGGAGTCAGGGAACTGGCCTCCGCTATGAGGTCTCGAAGGATCTCCTCCGTCATCCACGACCTCCCATCGTGGATTAGGCCCGTAGGCGGCGTACGACTCGGCATCTTGATTACATCCGGGATGCCCTCGAGTCTCGCTTGGCCTGACGGCCCCGCTCCTTCGTCTTCATCAGAGTCGGTTTCGTCACCGGAGTCATGCTCTTCTCCCCTCTGTCACTCTCTCAGCCTCTTCCCGACGCTCGGCTTCGGCGGCGACTCTCGCCGCTCCTCCATCTCGTCATCTCGACCACCTTCTCGGCCTCGGCAGCAGCCGTCGCTTCATCCGCCACCGTCTTCCTGCGACGCTCCGCCGCATCCGCTTGGATGGCTCCACCAAGAAGCCTCTCCGGACGAGCGGAGGATCGCGTCTGACGCGCAATCGAAGCAATCGTCTCATCGCCGTCATCCATGGCGATGCCCTTTCCCTTTCTGTCTTTTGGATTCATCTCAATTGAATGAAGGATCGGAAAAACTCGACGACCGAGACGAAATATTTGACGAATCGAAAACCCTAAAACCCGAATCGGCGGATGAGAAGACGAAATCGGAGCGCAACCTAACTAGATCCGAGCAATTCGTAATTCCCTAGTCCTAAATCCCGCAAAATCGATTCGAGAAATCAATCGAGAAGATTTGAAGTCGGATTGCGGAAGTTACCTTTGATTCGTCGGGACGGTTGAGTGAGAAGAAGAAAAGAAGCAAAAATGAATAAAGGAAATTCGAACGGTCTCTTAATAGAGATCGCGCGACTTCCAAGGGACACAACTGCCCTTATGAATTTTTTATTCATTTCTTTCCCGCTCAATGGAAAAGCACTAATGGGCTTGGGCCTCCGCGCGATTTAATCGACTATCGGACTCAGCCCACGCAATTGCAAACAGTCCCTGGGCAGTGACGTGGCAAAATCGCCCAGTCACAGCTGAAAACCGAACCCGTCGCCATTCGAACCAAGAAAGCATTTTTGGTCGCGGCAAAAATCATTCGAAGCAATTACTCATGAATTAGATGACGTCAACGTACTCTTTTTCCTTTTTATGGTTTTTGTCCCAATTGGGTTTTTCCGTACCAAGGTTTTAATGAGGCGGCACGAATCTACATTCAGCATGCACCTAGGCACTAAGATCCGATTGAAGTGATGTATTTTACTAATGATTCTCAAGCTCGTCCTCTATTCATGAAGCTCGCCGAGATCAAACTACATTTGACCTGCCGAGCTGGCGGGGGGACTTATTGTTAGAGGAGAAATTAGCACATTTCCCTGAGCCCGTCATCATTAGTAAAGTCAAAAGCCCAATCCGATTTTAGGCCTAACATCTTCAAGAAAAAGGCAAGACTTGAAGAGAAAGGCACAATCCATGGAGAAATGTAAATAAATCTTCATGCCGACTTAAAGAATGGAAAAGATCCAAAAACAAGAGGGAATTTTCCATATCGCAAAAGAGGAAGTTTTCCATCTCGCCTGAAGGAGAATATTCATCATTCGGCCGACTTATCAACACTATATATTGAAGACCCCCCCATTGGAGAAGGGATCCGAAATCATCTAGAATCACTAGGCTTCATTAGCTTTTTTCTCTCCTCTTGTTCACCATCATAATCTCGCTAGGCTTGTTAGCGAGATTGCTCTCTTGTAATCTTCTTGATAATCTAAGAGTCGAATTAAGCGCTTCCAGTTTCCTAAACTCACATCTTAGATAGCCCGTCTTGACGAGTGCTATCTCGGATTCAACAGAGAAGATTAAATTAGGGATAGTTTTGTGAATCGTTATCTTTTTGCCCATGTCTAATTGGATTGAGGCATAGGCATAGGCATATTGCCCATGAACAACAACTACGTATAGAAAATTAACAACACCTAGCATTTATATTCAATATATATATATATATATATATAAAACAACCCTCAAACTAAATTCATTTTGCAAATCAAATCCTTAATTTAAAGTTGTGCAAATCAAACCTCATAAGTTAAAATAACTCCGCAATATAAGACATCTCTATATTTGAGACAAAATTTAAAATGATTTTATGCAAAAAAATCCGTGAACTATTTTTTGTGTGCAAATCTAACCCTCAACTTAAAAAATATGCAAGTCAAACTTGCAAAATCGAAAGTCACTGCTAAAATGGACTTATATATATTTGTCCTTAATTACAAACGTTGACTCAAAACGTTATGGCATTTATAATATTTTAACCATTTTTATTAAAAGTAAAAAAAAGAACAAAAACAAAAAACTTTAATCTTTAATTTCCTTTCTCTTTCTCCTCTTATTAATGATTTCTCTTTTTCCTCTTTACTTCATGATCTCATTAACTAAAGAAAACGAAGAGACAAAGATAAGAATTAATTTACTCGCAATAGAATTATTCGAGAGAGACTGATTCGAAAAGCACATCTTCAGAGAGTGAGAATTTCGAGGCTGATTCGTAGAGAGTGTTGGCAATGAACCGCTTTTATAATTCATTACTTGAATTGTGTTCCTCTGTTCTTATGTATAGCGAAAAGGAAAGTGGAAGATGAAGAAGAGTTAAAATATATATTATTGGCATCTTTGATTCTTTTATTTAGTAATGTTTATGTCAATGGAAGGCTAAAGGTTTTAACGCGAGTGAAGGAAGAAGATCAGAGGGCATACCTAAAATCAATTGGAAAATAATTTCAGAATCTGAGTATGCCAAATGATCTGAGAAGCCCCACTGCTTTAAATTAGTAAAAATTATTAGTGACCTATGTGTGACGAGCATTTGTTTTTTTTTGTTTTTCTTTCTCAAAATATTTGTACAAAGAATATAGAAATCATACAAAGATCTATACCTTTTCTTGACAAATTTAATATAAATTCTAGACTCCAAAATATTTTTGTTTTGTAACAAGGGTTCTCTCCAAAAGATACTTGCTGCAACCTTTATAATTTATATAAAACAAAAAATCGATATGGTAGTCTCTTATTAAAATCTTCCTATCATCTTTAGCAAGGACAAAAGGTTTAAGTAGTTAGATAGGAAAGTTTGGATTAGCGTCAGGAGTTGGGTTTTCTACCATGGTAGATAAAGAAACTATAATCAAGTAGAAAGTAATATAGCAACGATCGATACCTAAGAAGATAAATTTATTGGAATGTGAACAGTGAATGACTTGCGTGAAACCAAGTCATGGAGAGAGAAATTTCTAATTTGATTCATTCACAAGATGATTCAACTCTAAACATTTTACTCAAAGCAAGTCAAGCATAACTTCATCACTGTATGAAGAGTGGAATGGGAAAATTCCTAGGCGGCTGAAGAAGCAGAATTCACAGCTCTCATTTGGGCATTACAATCAGCATGGTCGATGGGATATACTCAAATGGAATTTGAAGGAGATAATCAGTTAATCAATCAAATACTTCTGGGTAAAACGACAAATCTAAAGTTGCAGCACTATGTCTCGACAATAAAAGGCTGGACTCATATGTTCCAACATATTAAATTCAGTCACCGAACTCGAGAAATAAATGTGCCGAGGCTTTGGCGAAAAAAGCTATTTTAGGAGATTTACTGTTGAATTTGAGGTAGCACTCGTAAACTGCGTGAGTTTAGGGAACTGGGTGCTTAATTAACTTGAAGAATATCGAATAGGTTACAAAGGAAGTAGCCTTGTCAACAGGTTTGACAAGACAGACAATGATGAACAAGAGGAAAACAAAAGGGATTCTAAGCCTAGATTTCTTGTGAGTGATTCTAGATGATCTCCCATCTCTTTCCATGAGTGGGGGGTCTTCATTATATAGTGTTGATAGGTCGGCTCCTTGGTGAATATTTTCCTTTTAGCGAGATGGAAAACTTCCTCTTTAATGATATGGAAAACATCCTCTTGTTCTTGACTTCCTTCCATTCTTCGAGTCGGCATGAAAGTTTATTCTTCGATGCGCGGGTTATGAATATTACAAAAATTTATTACTTGTATCTGAATTTATACATTAATTTCTAAACATTTTAATCTATTTTTTTTCCTTCTATATTGTTCCTTATTTTATTTAAAATAATTATTAAAAATTTGTATTTCTCCATATAAAAAATGAACATAAAATGTATAGATTATACATTTTAAATTATTTTCTCTATTTATTTTTAATTATCGTTTATGAAATGTTTTACTCAATTAAAAAAATAATTAAAGTTATTGTTTTACATTAAGAACATAAAGTTATTATATAATGTTAGGTATATTATTATAACTTTATATAACTATTTTAAATATAACATATGAACAGTTTCAAATTATTTGTAACAATATTAAAATCACCAAATCGATCAAATATTTCTTAGGAAAGTTTTAATATTCACATTAAAGTAGTAACTGAATTTGATAAATTAATTAAAAAAATTGAAATAAAGTGTCATGTACAACTACTCTATTAACCGGTGAATAGTTTGAATTAAACCAAAATCCTAATTGTAAATTATACCATTAACCCTAATTAAACCGGTCGATACATGGGATTCTATTCTACTCTCTCTGGTCCTCTAAGCCGCAACAACTTCCGCCGATCTTAGTCCCTCGGTCTCTTCGCCTTCGCCTCTGGTTCCTCCATCTCCGTCGTCGACTCGTCTCCACTATCCCTCTCCCTCCTCCTCCTAGTGCCCTCTCCCCCTTCGTCCGTCTGCTGGATCCCTCTCCCTCGCCCCCGCGATCTGCTCTCCACCAAGCCCTCCGCCTCCCACCTTCTCCTTGTCGTTGCCGACCGCCAACGTCCGACGACGTTGGGATAGTGATAGTGATTCTTCTCCTATGGCCGCGTCGCCTTTGGGATAGTGATTTCATTGATTGCCTCACGGAGTTTCTTCGTTGACGATCACGAAGAACACTTTCAACGTCTTTCCAAGGTGAGAGTTTTTGGAGATGTTGCAGCGAAAAAACAATTTCTTGATGAAGATGGATCCAAATATTTTGGTTGGCGTCCTCACATAGTATGTGGGCCAATTGTGTTTGGATATCTTCCGTGGTTGGATTGAAATCAGCAATGTAAGCCCTCTTTAACACTATCATTTAAACGGATTGTGTTTTGTCTTGGGATTGTTTGTGTGATTTCATGTGCTTGTACTCTTTATTCATTCTGCTTATGAGCTTCCCTTGTTTTGTCTTTGATCGATTTGGTGATTTAGCGTTTCATGGTTTAACCACTTCTTTGGTGATTGATGTTGAATCCTCATTTAGTTTGTACACTTTTTTTACTTGAGAAAAGGAAAATCCAATGAAAATCTATGCTTGAAAATTTTGGGTAAGTATGCCTTTCTTCCACGTTAATCGTTCATGTCGTTTCCTCTTCCTTCGAATCATCACCTTTTATCTTCTCTTTTACGTGTTTGAAACTCTTCATCTCCTCTTTCTGTTTTCTGCTACGTTTCACTCACGAAGTCAAAACATTGGGACAATTTTTTTTTTTTTAATAATGAGATGGCACATGGCATTTTTAGAAGCAAATGAAGATGTTGAGGTGTCACTCATATGGAGAGAGTTATCCTCTCATTATAATATAGATTCATATTTATTTGAGAGCTTTTGTTAAGAAATATCTACTATTAACTAATTATGATCATTTGTATGCAAAAGATTAATAATCAAGCGAATCAAGGCAGAGAGAAAAGTCATGACACAAAGGGTGGATGCACAAGGAGGAAATGGAGGAGGTTCTTGGGACCATGGCATTAACAGTGGTGTAAAGAAAATATATGTGGGAAGAGATAACACTTGTATTAGTTATCTCAAGGTCGAATACTTTAGTGATGGTACGGTGAAGTCACATGAGCAAGGTGCCCAGATTCACAAACCACAAGAGGTCTTACAAAAACTCTCTTTTCTATATATATAAACTAGGAGTGTCAAAATGGTTAATCCAACCCATTTGACCCATCACCCATTTTATCCATGTATTTATGGGTAATGGGTTGGGTTGATCCATTACCCATTTAATTACATGGATAAAATGGGTCAATGGGTAACTCATAACCAAATACTAATTTACTTAATATACTTGTTATATCAAATAGTTTAATATTAGAGATTACACAATAAGTTGAAAAAAAAATGCAAAAGTTTCACAAAATGCAAGATAACACAAAGAAGAGTAACTCAAGTTTACATCAAACTGATCTCATCATAAAATTTCTTGATCTGAGCTTCATCTCTCATAATATATCTGCTTGAAACTTTGAAACCCCTGATAAGAAATAAGCTGTTCATTAGCAAATCTAAACCATGAAATAAGCCGTTCTATCTATAAAGCAATGTCATAAAAGTAAATAACTACAAGCCTGCAGGTAACAGAGAAAAGCTAACGTTCTTCCATTTTTCTTGTGAACCAAACACAAAAGAAATTCAGATTCTTTGATTGTTTTGATTCAAATTTGGTGAAGAGACTTAAGCCAGCAACAAACCAGCAGAAACAACCGATTCATAACACAAATACAATCTCAGAGCAACAAATTTTCACCTCACAAAGACTACACCTTTATCAGCTTTTAAATTCTAGATATGAGAACAAACCTTAAATCTGCTGTTCCATTGAAGTTGGTGTTGCTGCTCGAATCGTAACCATTTCCCCTTGATCATTATCATCTACAATTCACAAGAGAAAATGTTAATAGAGGCATAAACTACATTTAAACAAGTCATCAAGTTTTGTACCTTCATCATCAATAACGTAGCCATACAACCAAGAGCGAGTAGACAACAACGCTTGTACATTGCTCGGTAGAAGCCGAGTCCGATATTTGTTTATGACATGAGCCCCAATACTAAAAGAAGATTCAGAAGCTACCATGGTAATAGGAACACTGAGGACGTCCATTGCCATGTATGTTAACGCCCCAAACCGACGACTTCTCATATCTAATTTTGGCTCATCTAAGTACACATCCAATAACGATTTTCCTTCATCCATAACGTCTTGCATATCATCTAACTCGAACAAATCCTGTATCATTTGAAAATCAGGCAAGTTATAATCTAAAACGATAAAGAAAATTTAGATCATCAAGCTGTAATTTAAAAAACTTACATCTAAGACACCATAACTTTCTCTTCCTTGTCCAGAAACACGAGAGTTGAAACTTGTACGAACAACTGGAGTCAAATGATACTTTTTCTTATATTCTTCAAAGATCTCATTAAGCTTACTCTCCAAATGATCTATCTTCTCCTGAGATGTGAATGGATCAAGCTCATCATAACATTTCTTCAAAAGTTTCAGTTTCATCCTTGGATCAAAAACAGCTCCCATTGCCAGAAGAACGCTATACTCTTCCCAGTACTTATCAAACTTTTCTCTCATCCTAGAAATCATCATTCTGATCACAGTATCTTCATGGCCTCTATTCACTTCCAACACACACTGGATCTTCCAAATATGAGCAAAATATAAGTTGGAAGTAGAATAACTTCTCCCTGACATCAAAGTCGTTATACTATAGAAAGGCTTCAAGATCTCAAAGATAATATTGGCTCTTTTCCATTCTTCACTTGAGGGACAATGCCTATAGTTTTTGTCAACTACTTTGAACCTGTTCAAAGCACGCTGATACTTCAAAGCTTTCTCAAGCATCACATACGTTGAATTCCACCTATTCTGAACATCTAGAGACAGAACAACTTCACCCGCAATATTTACACAATCTGCCAGTGCAATCCTTCTAGATGTTGAAGCTTTGATGTACTTCACAGTGTCTCTGATTTTAGCAAACGCATCACTAATAACATCTAAACCATCCTGCACAATGAGGTTTAAGATGTGTGCACAACACCGAACATGAAAATAATCTCCTTCACACACCAAATTCTTATCTAAATTCAGCCGATCCTTCAATATTTCTTGCATGCTATCATTAGCAGTAGCATTATCCACAGTCAAAGTAAAGACTTTTCTTTCGATTCCCCACTCCTTCAAACATTCATGGATCCTACTAGCTAGAGCATCACCAGTGTGAGGAGGAAGGATATCACAGAATGACAAAATCTTGCTATTTAACACCCACTTGGAATCAACATAATGAGCAGTCAAAACCAAATATCCATCTCCAGAAAGTGCACTCCAACAATCAGTAGTCAAACACACTCTACTCGGTATCTTTTCGAACTCAACCTTCAATTTCTGTTTTTCCTTCTCCCAAGTTTTAATAACATCAGCAGCAGCAGTGTTTCTAGTGTAGCACTTATAATCCGGGTTCAAATAACTAAGATAATCCCTAAGGTCCTCATATTCAACACAAAGGAAAGGAAGATTGTGCCTAATGATCACTCGACTGAATTTTTTCCTAGCAATTTTTTCATCGATATGCACTACTCTTCTTTCATCACTACATATACTGAGATGACGTTTCAGATTTGATGTTCCACTAGTTCCTGTATGCACATAACTTTTTGAGCATTTCACACAGTGTGCTTTTTCTTCACCATTGTCATCTGTGTCTAACCTAAAGTAATTCCAGACACTAGATGTCTTACTCCTTTTCGCAGAACCAGAGGGTTGTGATGTACCGGTTGATGATTGCACAGGACCAACATGAAGATTGTTTTCTTCATTCTCCATGGGTATAGATTCCTCCATGGATCAGAATACGGGAAATCCTAAACCACAAACAAAGCACAAAAACATGTAAGGAGAAGTCAATAGTTGTAGAAAAAGCATGCATGAAGAATAGCAAAAAAACATTTAGCATTGGTGAAACAAGACTAATTTGACAACAACGTTAAGCAGGATCAGGTTAAGTATCAATAAACCAATATTTAAGTAAAACGTGTAAATTTTTAAAACATTCTGAAAGATTGTGCATAAACCAGACCATTTCACTCATACTCGACAATAATAATAGCTCATTTCAATAAACCATATCCAGATAGAGAGAGAGAGAGAGAGAAACTAAAGAAGATACACAATTCAACAGGTTTTAAGATTCTGCCAATATCAAACTACTTAAGCCAGGTGGTCATAAGAAGGCAAATCAAAACTACAAACTGTACGAGTTCACTAGCAATAAGAAAAGCTCATGTAAGAGCCAATGAATAAAGCTACCAAAGGATGGAAAGGTATATAACCTTTTTTCTTGCAGATGCCGAGGATGTTCAAACGATACAAGAATAAAGCTACCAATACATGGATCTTTTCCAAGAAGATAGTAGAAGCTCGTTGAAACCTCTTTGAAACTAGAATGTCCAAATATAAGGCTGTATGGTCCAGAGGTCAGTAGATTTGCAGTGGTATCTGCACAAACAAACAAAAAACAGATTACCTTACTAAATAGTTACAAGGTCCAAGTTATGTTAATCAAATTCGAAAAGCTTTGAGAAACACTATGCAGTCACTAAGCAAGCAACTTGAGCAATTCACACAACATATTATTATAGAAGAAAAAGCATGAATCACTACTGATTCAAGAGCAATGTATGTTAACGCAGTCACAACTGATTCAAGAGCAAAGAGACTTTCAACTTTAAAAAAGGGAAAACGAACAAGTCACACAACACCAAACGAACAAGTCTCTACACATATGAGGATTCACACTAGTCATGACTTCCGAAGCAAATAATTAGTCACTCATGGCGGAAAACGAAAACCAGGAGCGATCAATGTTAATGTAGTGATTCTAAATCAGGCTCAGGGATGCTACTAAACACTCTACAAGCAGAAGCTATGCAAAACCCACAAAATCCATATCCATAAACCCACAAAATCCATATCGATACCTTCTTCCCAAAACGCACAAAATCAATATCCAGAAACCCACAAATCAGAAAACAGTGATGAACACCATAGTACCCATAAACTTCAATTAGATAATCCCCAATTCTAGAGAAACAATCACACCCGAAACCATTAAACATACTAATGCTTAGTCTAATCAAAAACCCATTATCACCGTACCTGTGAAAGCATCAAAAACTCCGGCGAGAATACCGACGACAACTTCCGGTTTGAGAGTGAATGTGAGAGCGATAGAGATACAAGGAGAAAGAGATGGAGAACCCGAGAGAGTCCTAGAGATATAGAGATTTGCGAGATTGAAAGGGAGAGATCGTGTTCTGCGAAGGAGAAAGAGATCGAAGAAGAAATCTGATTTTGGTAAAGTAACAATTAAAATTGGTTAACCATTGAGATCCATCAACCCATTATAATTTTAACCATTTCAACCCAACCCAATTAATCCATCAATCCAATTGACCCATGAATCCATTTGCATTCAATTTCTGAACCCATTTAATCTAATGGATTGGATGGGTTGAATGATCCATTAACTTTTATCCATTTTGACACCCCTAATTACATTCTTGACCATATTAATTTTTAAGTTGACCTGTTGACCACATGAATTTATAATTGAATAAAGTGCTAAAATCACTCTGAATATATATCATTAATATTATTATTTAATGATTGTTGACTGTTGTTAAAATGAATCTTGATCAGCTTTATTAAAATAATATTGTTTGATTTTGCATCATAACTTCGTATATTGCTATTGAGATTGCTTATTATTGCTAAATTATCATTTGATCATTGCTAATAATAATATATATATATATTATTGCATATCCTGATTTAATATTATAAATAAATGTATAATTATTCCCTTGATTTGTTTTATTTATTGGTTTGATTTGGTTTAACAAATCAATTATTATTATTATATACTAATAAGTGTATTTATCTATCATTACATGATTTTAAAATGTAATAATTTTACCATTGAGTAAAAAGAAAGGCATGATCACTAGAAGTGATCTAATATAGCAATCTAAAGAAAATGAACAATCATCTGAAGTGATATGATCTGATAGAGCATCTCAGACCATATAAACTTGAAGTTTATAAGTGAAAATATATTACTAATAAAAATGTATAAGAAGAAATTATGAAAATATTGTTGTCCTGCAGACACAATAGCATAAATATATTTAAGGAATATTTTAAAAATATTGTTGTCCAGTAGACACAATAGCAAATAAATTCTTAAAATTAAATTTGTCACTTGAAGTGATAATAAAAAGGTAATGTTATTTATATTAATTATTATTTTATTATATTATTATATTTTGTTTATATATATGTTTGATAATATTTATTTATTTTTCAATTATCCTCTATATGAATATTTTGTATTTGCATTTAAGATTACAAGACTTGAAGTCTATAAATGATTTTTATTTATCTGGAAGATAATGTAAATCAATGATGATAAAAGGCATATATTGTCCAGCTGACAAAATATTATTGAAGAAAGTTTAAGAAATTATTTTGATAAAATAATGAGTTACTAATGAAAATCTTGAATCTTGTCTAATTGGTTTTGATCCATTCCCTGAAGTGAATGTGATATGAATGATTAAAGATATGATCATAGACATGAATATGAATCTTTTATAGTTCATGTTAAGGTCAAAACTAAAGAGTTTTATTTCAAGAACTCAAATTCTCATAAGAAGTGAGAAAATAAAGATGACAGCAAATAAAAGATACACATCTCCAGAAGAGTATATAAATTTATATTTGCTTATAGTAAATAATTTTTGATGCATTATATCTTTGAAATCCCAGAAGTGAAAAGAATCAAACACATAATAGAAATATAAAAAGTTTAAAGAATCAAAGATATAAAACATGATTCAAGTTGGATATATTATTGATTTTATACTAGGATTCCATTCGAGATTGATGAACCTGAAGTGACATCATCTCGAGGGGGAGAATGGATGAATCCCTCAATCACTAGAAAGTGGAACATCTAGAAGATTATGTTCACACTAAAAATAATCCTGATGAATCATATATAATGTAACTCAATGGTGTAAAATTATTTTGAAAAATAACATACATTATCTAATGCCTCATCATAGACAAAGATTAAATAGGAGATGTAAATGTTATGTAGTAAACTAGAAGTTTACCGAATATAACATAGTTTGGCATGAGCTGGTTAGACCATTTCGGTTCAAGAATTATGCGAAATAAAATACATCATGTAAAGATTTATTGAAGAACTTGAAGATTCTTCTTAATTATCTATAATGTGATGTTTAATCATAAGACATTATGATTATACAATTACCAACTAGCCAAAATAGATTTGGAATGTATCCAATTTCTAGAAAGAATATAAGAAACTTTTGTGGTCTAATAAACCATTATATGGACTGATCATCCAGTAAGAGAAATGTTATGGTGTTTCTTAAATATATCAACAAGTTGGTTGTATGTATCAATGTTACATATCTGCAACCTGAAGTTTGCGAGATTACTTGGTAGTGCTAGTGAAATCACATCTTAAATCTTTGTTGAGAAAAACATGTTTGTAAGAATAAATGTTGAACATCCAGTAGCAAATGTTCATAATTACACATAATGCAAAAGCATTAATTCGCATAAAGCCAATGAATAACTAAAATTTCTCCCCATCGTAATTGGTTTAGGTCAGAAACCAAAGTTTTCCATCTAAAGATCTATGGATGTGCAGAATACATCCATAATGCTCCACCACAACAATATAAGATGGACCCTCGAAAGGATAGTAAATGTATGTTGGATGTTAATCTCCTATGATAATATTTAGAGCTATCCATGAAGGATTTAAATATGGCTCAATTTGTAGACTGTCATTTTAGTGATTCAGTCTTTCCAACATCAGGGGGAGAAAATAAAACAGCTGGAGAAAGATTAAAGTTAGAATGAATTATCATTGATCCTCAGACGATAGTATGTGAAATAAAAGTCTCCAAAAGATAATTCATTCACAAAACTTACTGTATCAATTGCCAGATACAATTACTGACCCAAATATAGTGTTGAGTCACTTACCAGCTGTAAATGCTCTAAGAATAATTGATTTCCCAGAAGGACAATATCAAACTGCTAGTAAGTCTAAAGAACGCATGAAGTGTGATAGACTTGTTGGTTCCAAATATTAGACCTCGGTAAAGTAAAATGAGCATAAATTGATAATGGTTAAACCGAGGAAACAAAGGTTTTTGAAATGATCTCAAGAAGAGACATTAAACATGACAAGAAAGAAATTCAGGTACCTGAGACAAAGAAGAGATCTCGAGAATTAATTATGTCATGTATGGAATAAAATGGAACCATAAAAGCAAATCGACGTCGTAAATAAAATATTTGCATGCATTATAGCAGTTGATGTTATGAATGAGAAAGAGGATCATGAAACAAAGTCTATTGCATTGTGTACACAAAGTAATGATTTGGCCAAATCGAAAAGAAGCAATAGACGCAAAACTAAAATCTCTTAGAAAGAGAAATGTATTTGGACCAGAAGTCCTTACATCTTAAAAGTGTAAAACAAGTGGGTTATAATAGGCATGTGGTGGATGCAACTTTCAAGTTCATTAAGTGTGGCAATGAAAGAAGAACTTGAGTCTTAAGACCCACTAAATAATGACATTTTTATAAAAGTCCCTGAAGGATATAATTCCTGAAGGATTAATGATATCAAAACTATGTTCCCAAAGAACTCTAATTATTTGATCAAATGAAGAGAAATACGTCTCATTGGGGTACAATCACAAAAGTGTTACCCAATGTATATTTATAAAACATTTATGGATCAGAAGAGATCTTTAATCTAAACATCATCGAAATTCCTGAAGAATTGTTGAAATTAGATAAAAGATATTGGAAAGACAAATTTGTCTTAAGATATCTCATATTCACAGTTTAACAAAAAGATGTAATCTCAAAAGATCCTTAGAAGATTTACATAAAGAATGCTCACATTTGGTCTTGAAGTATCATACTTTAAATTATGTTTGAGAAATGTGTTGGTCTCTTTCAAAGATAAGCAAAATGAGCATGAGATAACTTATATATACAAGATATATGTTCACAAGAATTTATGTAGAAGGGAAGTTTGGCCGAAGTCCAAATATAGACCAAGAAATATTACTTATAATAGAAGTATATTGAAGAATACACTTATAAAAAATATCATAGACTAGAAGTTTAAATGACCTAGAAGATTATAAGATAATCATATGAGTTTATTAACTGAGTTTATAGCAATCTCCAAAAGTTGGTATTGATTATTGGAATGCATCTCTTGAAGAAGATGCTTCCAAGGGGAGATATATGATGATATGTGTGGTTGTACTCTTTTTCCTTATCATGGTTTTTATCCCATTGGGTTTTTCCATGAAAGGTTTTAATGAGGCAACAAAGAACACACAAATGAGAAACATCTAAAGGAAGTCTAAAGATGATAGTCTATCTCCTTTTCCAAAGTCTTTGTCATTTATTTATGAGGTCAAATGAAACAAAGAGAATGATTCAAGATGAATCATCAACTACATCCATGCACTGACGAAGAATGGCGATATCAACATTCTAAAGATTATTCAAGTGAAGATTTTGAAGATTTCTTTAAACAAGGAGTTTCCAGCGACTACTTTCAAGGAGTTAGTTCATCTTGTTGGATTATGTCGTCTCAAACATTTAGACGGTGTTCTCATGAGGGGGAGTAATTATGCGCTGCACTCTTTTTCCTTAGCTAAGGTTTTTCATGTACTAATTATGCGCTGCATGTTTGATGTTTTTTTTTTTACTCTTATAATAGAATCTCTATTGAAGGGTTGTGGCAAAAGTATTTCAACTTATCAAAGAAAAAAAGGAAATACTCTCACTCCAAAATATCTCAAATGAGAGCTACAGCATATGTATCTCAAGTTTTTGAGATACTCACATAATTAAATAACTAAAACATTCAACTTGAGATACCCATCTGAAAACTTTCCAATGGAGATGCTTTAATAATACATGCATACCGGAGTGGAAGCCATGACCAATACCCGCTGTAGTCTGACCATGCGATGCCAAGATCCCTGGCATAGATCATATGTCTCTGTCAATAAATTACCCAGCAAATCAAACACTAAACCCTTTAACTAAAAAAACAAATCAAACACTAAGTACAAAGGCATAATTGATCCAATCCGCTGATCAAACGGAGTATTTGAAACACATGACCAATTAAACCTTCCCTGTAGAAAAAGAAGCAAAAGAAAACATGTAGAACACTGCAGCCACCTGCACAGAAGACGAATATGCCATCGTCGATGAGCCCTAAGAGCATCTCCAACCCCATGCTAAATATGACATATATGCTATTTTGCCATAATTTTTGCTCCAACCCAATTGCATATGCTATTGCAAAATAGCATCATGCTATTTTTGCTTCTATATTTGGCATGAGATTATGCAATATGCTATTTTGCCATTGAACTTTTTTATTTATAAAATAGTCCTTCAATTTGTAATTACTTTTAATTTAACAGTTTAATTATATTGATTATGATTTATTTAAATAAATAAACAATACTCATAACTTTTTCAAAATATAAATAATATTTATTTCATAGAAATATAAAAACATAACCATAATAAACTTCAAATTTTATTTTTAAAAATACTGAAATTCAAAAAACATAAAACAATAGGTTAAAATCTTTGTTTTCTATAATTTTTATGTAATATGATGTATTTTGTTTTAATATTATAATAATAAAAAAAAATATAATTCTGGTTGTTTTTGCAAAAAAAGAAAAACAAATGATTCACTTTGTAAAATTTGAAGAAATCAAGTAGTTTTAACAATTAATAATAAGTTGGAAAAAAATTATAGCATGATATATGGCATGAGGGGTTGGAGAAAAACCCAATGCTATTGCTATATTTTTGCCATTTGCAATAACATATGGCATGAGGGGTTGGAGATGGTCTAAAAGGCTATCGTTTGATATCAATTAGTTGACAAATGATTTGCTTAAAAATGGTATTGTAAAAGTGGGTTATACAGAAGTTTAATTATATACTAGTTATCATCACATGTAAAAAATACATGAGAAAAGGTTTAAACAAAAAATGGATTTAAAATTACAATGTAATCTTTGTTTGGCAACTCCGTCAATACATTTAAGAGTTGGCTTTGGTTTCAGTATATTTATGCTTTGTTGATTGGGTTCAAAAAGAAATCAAAGTTTAATCTTTATTGAAAGTTCCTCATACATTCATCCGGATTCAGAAGGTAATACGATTCGGTCAATATTTGACTCCCAACCGTGGCACGTCTTGCCTCCTCCTATAGGAGCCGGCCTGACCGTTAATATTAATCGAAAAGTAAAAGCATAGACTTGCCAAATCAAATGCCTAAATGAATATAAAGTACATCTCCCATTATCTCTTATTGGATAGTCTAGTAGACTAAAAAGATTGGAAAGTTATACGGCTTTGTGGAGACAAAGTCATATTGAAATTACAAAGAAACATAGTCATCTACACCTTATTAGTGACTATAAAAGTACCCTCAACGATCACCACAAAGTTCCATCAGCTCCTGCCCCTTCAAAACCAAAGGTTCCTCTTTCTATTTATTTCTCATTTACGATGTTTGTTTACTGATTAGCAACAGATGATTTGATTTGTCGTTTATTCTGATTAATCTTCGTAATTAAAGAATACGATCTTGATAACGGGTCGTACGTGTACATTGTTGTTTTATGATAATTTTCACAACTGACTAATTTTGATCATTTGTCTACAAAAAATTAATAATCAATCGAATCAAGGCAGAGAGAAAAGTATGACACAGAGAGTTGATGCACAAGGAGGAAAGGGAGGATCTTTTTGGGACCATGGCATTAACAGTGGTGTAAAGAAAATTTATGTGGGAAGAGATGACACTTGTATTAGTTATCTCAAGGTTGAATATTTCAGTGATGGCACGGTGAAGTCACATGCGCATGGTATTCAGGTTCACAAACTACAAGAGGTCTTACAAAAACTCTCTTTTCTATATAACCGATAGATCACAATACCGAAGATTATGTTTTTTTTTCCTCAGCGAAGATTATGTTTATTTTGGTGGATATACTGCAAATATATTCCAAGTAGTCGATAGCGAAATATTTTACTTTTTCGGACGCAATCTTTGACATTGACATAGAACAGGCTAAATTGCTTATGATTGTTATAAATCTTTAAGTTTTTGTTTTTACACAAGCAAAGCTTCATAGCCAGAATATATATAAAATTGCGAATGTAGATATATACTTTGAAACGGAAACTAAGCCAAAAGATTTATTATTGCAGTTTGTTGTTGACTATCCAAATGAATACATCACATCAGTCGAAGGAACTTACGCTAGTGCTTACGGTACTGCTGTTGTCGTAACGTCGCTTGTCTTCAAGACATCAACGGGAAGAGTATCTCCCAGATTCGGAAACCCTGGATTCGTGCTTAAGAATAATGGTCGGAGGCTTGTAGGGTTCCATGGGAAATCCGGCTTCGCTCTAGATGCCATCGGAGCTCATTTTGCACCGGACTCATCATCATCGAACTGGGCTCCGCCTAGGAAACTTGCCGCGCAAGGTGGTCCAGGAGGAGGAATGTGGGACGATGGAGTTCACAGTGGTGTAAGAAAAGTATATATTGGAAGAGATGACAGTTGTGTAACTAAAGTCAAATTCGACTATGTCAGCGCGGACAGTGAACTAGAAACACGTGAGCATGGCCGGATATATCAACATCCACAAGAGGTAAATGTAGAATTGAACTCAGTCTTTTTGGATCATGAAACAAAGTAGATATTTTCTTGAATAGACAACGATCGAGGACCTACCTCGCATTACAACACAAACCACAAGAAAATATATTACCATTTATTAATGGATGTCAATTAAATTTATCATCATCTATACACATTTAGATAGGAGCCAAAGTAAATAATTCCTCTAGGGTGATTAAAATCTTTATTAATTGATATAATTAACTTTATCATCATCTATATAGATATTTTGAACCGCTATAAAGGGGGAACAAAATCCCTTTCAGTTTGATTGTTTTTGTGTGTGTTAGGATATTCTTTGATATCATGTTTGCAAGTTTAGTTATTACCAGTAGGCTAACTGAAATAAAGTCTTACTTAGAATTGTATACGTCAAACTAAAACATAGTCAACAACTCTTTTGGAGTTTACATTTTGCAAAATACTATGTTTGATAGGAAAATTTGAAATATTATATTGGTCAATATTTTTTGTGCATTGGACCGGCCGTATTCTTTCTTATAATAGAATAAGAGATGGTGATTGATGATTGCAGTTCCTGCTTGATTACCCAAACGAATATATAACATCAGTGGAAGGAACAACCGGAAAGACTCCTAATTTTAAACACGTCGTCACGAGTCTTGCCTTTACAACATCAACAGGAAGGACTTCGCCAACATTTGGAGCTACTAAGTTTGTGCTCGAAGACAATGGTCGTCAAGTTGTTGGATTCCATGGCAAATCTGGATTTGTTATTGATAGCATCGGAGCACATTTTGCTCTGCGCGCGCGACCACCTTCTTGAACTCTGAGTAAGCTTGTTTCACTTAACTAAAAAAAAAAAAAACCAAGCTTCAAAGACAAATGTAGTATATTCGTTTTTTCTTTATCTTTTTCTTTCAATGTTTTTTTCGGTTTGTTGTTGATGTTCTTTTCTCTGTATAATAAATTTGTGTATACATCTATGTATAATTTATTGTGTCCTAATATCCAGTTTTCTGTTTTTCTATAGTCTTCCTATAATCGATTGCATGTAACTAATACCTAAATCCTTTATAAAATTCAATAAAAAAAAAATCTGCTTTATAAAGATAAGTTTTATATCAAGCGCATCGTTTGTTTCAAAGAACAATCAAATGAATAAAAAAAACCTTCTACTCTACCAAAGAATGACCTATGTATATCCTTGTTGCATAACCAAATGACATCCCGGCTTTCCATGTATTTAAACACTGATTCATGTCCAATTTGTTGCTGTAAATATTCATTCATAAGATGATCAATAAATTTGAAAATTCGTGGTGTTCGTTGTTACAATTATTTTTGATTTTTTTTTTTTTTTAATCTTAAGACTATTAGTTTTGGAGTCGTACAAATTAGAAAATATAATTTCGTTGTATTACAAATATTTTATATTTTCGTGGAAAAAAGATGGCGTTTTAACACGTTTTAGCGAGAAGCTCGCACATATAAAAGACCTTACATAAATTTTGGAAGAATTGAAGTTAACATTATTATTCGTCAGTCTTTATCAGTTATCATCCTTGGTTGTATTGTGTAAATCGATCACACGTGCTACATGTAAATAACCCCAACCCTCAGTGTTCATTGAGAAAAACCTCTTTCTCGACTCTTATATTAAATTTACTAGGTTTGAAGCCCCGCGCTTGTTTGTGATCGTTTTCTGTTTAGTTTTATTTATACTTTATCTCACATTGCATGTTATTTTATTTTATTTTATTAGGATGTTAACACCCCACTTTATCTCGAGTTTTATATTTCAAACATTTTAGCATGTTATAAATAGTATGTTTGTTTATTTCTGTTAGACTTTACATATATTTATTTTTTGATTCAACGTTAAAATTTGTAAGTATAATGTAAAATCGCATTTGCACCGAAATAAGATGAAAGAAATAATATATATACTTTTTTACATATCTACTTTGTTGTGGCAGCGTATGAGCCTCATGACCATTGATTATTTTCCATTATGTTAGTTTTGTAATTGAATATACTAGGTTTGAAGCCCCGCGCAAGCGCGGGGTTGTTTGCGATAGTTTTCTGTTTAGTTTTATCTATACTTGTTGATTTGAATTATGATGGTTTTGTATTAACTTTCATGTTTTTTTTTATGTTTTAATTTAACCCAATCACTAACAATAAAAATATGAACAATTTGTCTTTTATTTTATTTTATTAGGATGTTAACACTCCCACTTTATCTCAAGTTTTCTATTTCTAAAATTTTAGCATGTTATAAATATTATGTTTGTTTACTTCTGTTATACTATAAACATGCATATGCATTGGACTCAATGTTAAAATTTGTAAGCATAATGTAAAATAGCATTTGGACCCGAAATAATGATGTGGGATAAGTTTTACCCAACTATTAGTAGATACCGCAAGTGCACGAATCGTTGGTAGTATGGGTTATCGAACACAAGGACCAGAAAAGTTGCACTATGAGCTTATGAGATTAAAACTTAGCTAAAACTATAATATGGAGATTTGGTTTTAGGGCCGTGAACAGTGACGACAATGACTATTAGTGAGCTCAAAATCAAGTAAAACAAGAGATCAAATCAATGGGGAAAGCATTGGGCACAAGAGAATTCATAGGTCATCAAGGATTGGTTTATTTGGATTAGTTAAACAAGGAATTAATAGATATGATCAAGAACTTGAATTATGAATTGATAATCAATTTACTCCCGCAAGGTCAATTAATATGTCTAAACAACCTAAGATTACTCTACTCCCATAGGTAATCAAGTGGTTAAACAAGCGCAACAATCCAAATTCAGTATGTTCCACAAAGCATCATAATTCTACTCCCGCAGGTTATGGTGATTTGCTCATCTAGATTATATCAAGTGATTTATCAAGCTTTCGGAAAGTAAATCAACAATAAGGCAGTAGCAAGACGGTCAGTCAAGGCTATAAGAATTAAGCACAAATCTAGATGAGTAACTTAATCAATAATCCCGAATTTAATAACCTAGTGATCAATCCATGAATCCCTTGAAAACTCTTGAACCCAACAATAAGACTACTCAGCCATGATGCAAACAAACAAGCAAGAGATGTATGAAAGCATTATGTGAGTATTAAAAGAGATAAGAGATGAAGAAAGCTTCTCTATTGAAGAACTATAACGCCCCGACCGCCCCTCCCGGTGAGTCACCCACGCCCTCTCTCTAGGCCCGCAGGCCCATCTCGGCCCGTGGGCCTCACCCCTGTCCGACGGCCGGTCCGTTATTTTCGAGAGGCTCTAATGACTTGTTTACTATCCCTGCAATCAACACCTGACCTTTCCCGTGTTTTGGCCTCACTCACACGGTTTCGGAAACCACTTCCCGAAAGGTCACCCATCCTTCAACTACTCCAGCACAAGCACGCTTAACTGGAGTTACTTATAGACCTTTGACCGAAAAGGTAAGTGCACTTTGTTGACATAGGTTGCCAAATCAATTCTCTTAAGCCTCTCCTCATTTATCACAAACCGGGATGTTACAACTCACCCCCACTCACTATGCGCAACGTCCTCGTTGCGCACCTGGATCGTCACCCCCTGACGGTGTGAGTCAAGGCCACTTCAACTTGACTCCACACTCTCGTCTGGGTTTGGCTCTGATACCAAATTATAACGCCCCGACCGCCCCTCCCGGTGAGTCACCCACGCCCTCTCTCTGAGCCCGCAGGCCCATCTCGGCCCGTGGGCCTCACCCCTGTCCGACGGCCGGTCCGTTATTTTCGAGAGGCTCTAATGACTTGTTTACTATCCCTGCAATCAACACCTGACCTTTCCCCGTGTTTTGGCCTCACTCACACGGTTTCGGAAACCACTTCCCGAAAGGTCACCCATCCTTCAACTACTCCAGCACAAGCACGCTTAACTGGAGTTACTTATAGACCTTTGACCGAAAAGGTAAGTGCACTTTGTTGACATAAATAGCCAAATCAATTCTCTTAAGCCTCTCCTCATTTATCACAGACCGGGCTGTATCCGACCTTAGCTCAGTTGGTAGAGCGGAAGACTGTAGTAGTTGCAGATAATCTTTAGGAAAGAAAGGAGGAAGGGACGCAAGAGTTGCATCGGTCGACGCAAGAGTTGCGTCGGTCGACGCAAGGTTTCCAAAATCAATCCCGGTTTAATTTAAGTCAATTGGGCCCGGTTTAGCCTGGTTTGGGTCTAGAAACCCAATTTTTAAGTTCAAAGTCGTGGAGCAGCCTTCTTTTGGTTGTTTGGCGGCTCAGAAACTTGAGAGAAGAAGAAGAGAGGTGATTGTGGTGATTTGGAGGTGTCTTGAGCGAATCTGTGGTGATTTGTGGCTGTTTTTCACTGCTTCTTCTCCTTTTCCTCTGTTTCAATCCAATCAAGGTGAGTGCATGACTGTAGGTCCGCAAATCACTAGATCTGGATTGCTTGAATGTTGTTCTTGAGGTGTTCTTCTGAAATGAGGTTTATGTGATGATGTTTGGTTGATTTCTGTATTAATTTGGTGTTTCTGCGTGTTTTGTTGATATCTCTGTCGACCTGACGGACGTGCGTCGGGCGACGCAAAGGTTGCATCGGTCGACCCAGCCGGTTCAGTCTGGTTCAATTGAAAATTGATTTCTGGTTCAAATTAAGTGATTTCTGGTTAAAATCTAGTTAATTGGTTTAATTCGGATTTAATTAATAAATACATTTAATTAATTAAGAGGCTTAAAATAATTATTTAAATTATTTTAAAATATGGAAAATTATTATTTAATTATGAGAATTATTTAATAATTGAGAAATGAAGTTTTAATTATTAATAATTATTTAATAATTGGAAAATGGTATTTAATAATTATTGGAGTTTATAAATATTATTAAATATCTAGTAAATTGCGTAATTGGCCTGTAGGCAGAGTGATTGCCTCACTAAGTATTTATTAAATACTTACGCAACTCCATTCCAATGTGTTGCAGGTAAAAGATTTGTGTGATCGCGGAATCAAGGCTGAAGAGGGGGATGATAGGATGTTTATTGCTTTTATTTATTTTGCATTTTTTGCTAGACTTGTTTAATTATTATTTGCTTCCGCTGAACTGATTTATTTGTTATTGATATTTATTTATTTAATTTATTTTAAAGACCTTCGCTAGAATTGATTAGTATTTATTTATTATAAAAAAAAAATAGGTGTTGGTTGTTTCTTTGCAGGTCAATTGGTGGTAGCTTCCTGTAGGGAAGGCTACTTAAAGGGTGAGGTCTCAGGTTCGAGTCTCACCAACAACCTAGGTTGGTATAGTGGCTGTGGCCTTATACACCGGAGGGGTTGGGGTGTATTGGGCTGCAGCCCTAACAGCGCCGGGCCGGCGGTGGGCTGGTGAGCCGGGCTGTTGCAGGTCAATTGGTGGTAGCTTCCTGTAGGGAAGGCTACTTAAAGGGTGAGATCTCAGGTTCGAGTCTCACCAACAACCTAGGTTGTTATAGTGGCTGTGGCCTTATACACCGGAGGGGTTAGGGTGTGAAACAGAGGAAACAGCCACTGAAAAACAGCCACAAATCACCGGCCCACCGTCGGCCTGGCGCTGTTTTTATATTAATTAAGTAATTTAGTTGTGTATTTTTCTTAGTTTTATTTATATTTAAAATATAAATATATGCAAAGAAATATGAAAAGTTATGTATAAAATATCTTAAAAACAATTTCATAAATTTTTTGTGCTGATGTGGACCTTCTATATGGAGAGAGAAACTCGCTAATTATATATAAGATTTTGAAACAAACATATCACAATCCTTAAATTTTCAAGTTTTCACTGTAATTAAATTCACATATAAAAACTCGACTTTTATTTGTTTTAAAAAGGAGAAAGATTATGTATAGATCTACAAAAACTATTATTTAGTAAATTTATTTTTGTTAGATATTCAACTTTTTAACTTATAAACACATTATAACATTTTTGAAATAAGATAAATCCTTAATTTGTTATTTTTTGAGTTATAGGAATATGCCTCGCAAATTAACACTAGGTTTGAAGCCCCGCGAAGCGCGGGGTTGTTTACGATAGTTTTTCTGTTTAATTTTATTTATACTCGTTGATTTGAATTATGATGGTTTTGTTTATTAACTTTCATGTTTTTGTTATGTTTTGAGTTAACTCAACCACTAACACTAAAAAATATGAATAATTTGTTTTTTATTTTAATTTATTAGGATATTAACATCCCTCTTTATCTCGAGTTTTCTATTTCTAAAATTTATCATGTTATAAATATTATGTTTGTTTACTTCTTTTTTTCTTCTATTAGACTGTAAACATGTATATGTATTTGATTGAAGGTTAAAATTTATAAATATGTATATACATTTGACTGAAGGTTAAAATTTGTAAACATATTCTTGTTTTTCACTACAATTAAATTTACATATAAAACTTCATTTCTATTTGTTTAGAAAAACAAACTCTAACTCTAATGTTTCATTAGCTTTCTATTATCTTAATTAATTTATATTCAACTTTTTAACTTGTAAACACATTATAACATTTTTAAATATGATAAATCCTTTGAATAAAAAGGTAAATATATACTATTTGAAGTTAAATATTTCTTTACTCCATCTCTATTTTATATTCCAACTTTTTGATAACTTTTAACATCAAATTATCACATACTTTCTATTAATTAATAATTTATTTGTATATTTTTATTAAATATGAATAAATGTAAAGAAATATGAATAGTCATATATTTAATAAATAATTTAAATACAATTTAATGTTTTTGTGCTGATGTGGACACTTTAGATGGAGAGAGCAACTCTCCTATTATATATAAGATTTGGAAACAAACATATCACAATCCTTAAAATTTTCATTTTTTCACTGCACTTCTATTTGTTTTAAAAAGCAAACTCTAACTCTAATTTCTCATTGATTTTTTTATTATCTTAATTAATTTATATTCAACTTTTTCACTTGTAAACACATCATAACATTTTGAAGTAGGATAAATTCTTTTTATAAAAGGTAAATATATACCATTTCAAGTTAAATATATTTTTTACTTATATCCAAAGTTTTTTTGATAACTTTTAACATCAAGTTATCACATACTTTATATTAATTAAATAATTTAGTTGTATATTTTTCTTAGTTTTATTTATAGTTAAAAATATAAATATAGGTAAACAAATATGAATAGTCATGTATTAAATATCTTAAAAACAATTTAATGAACTTTTTTGCTGATGTGGATAGCCTAGATGGAGAGAGCAAACTCTCCTATTATATATAAGATATTAGAAAAAAAATGTGTCTCCTTACAAAGCACTTACACACACATTTAAAATTCAAAAACTAGAAGCAAATCAAACAAAGATTAGGCTATACGAATCGCCTAATCATTATAAGAAAATAACGGAAATGAAAGCGAAACAAAAGCAAAACACGAACACTCCCATCAAACGAGGAATATAGAAGACACTCTGCATTAGAAAACACAAAGTATTTATTTTTTTACGAAAAAGGGCAGAGTCGCACAGTTGATTGATCAGAGAATGTTGCACCCATGACCTTTCGCCATTTGCGCTTCCATTTCTGCACGGTGCTGGTTATCCAACTGAGCTAACACATCATTCATTTCCGCTCTATGTCTTCTCTCGTCCGCTTCATGCAGCTTCTCCTCTGCTAAATCTCTTTGCGCAAAGATCTTCTCCTGAGCGTCCGTAAAAATCCTAATATTTTTCTCCATCTGGAAAAAAGAATCAGATCTCGTTAATGTCCACATCATTATCAACACTAAATAGATGTGTGTGTGTGTGTATATTAAAGAAGAGGAGTAAGTTTATACCATGTCTGAAATGGCCTTGAGGTTCTGTTGGTTCAGTAGAAGTAACTCCTTCATGAATTCTTGCATATCTTCTGATGAATGCGCTTTATCTTAGCCTCCTCGTGTTCTTTCTCGTGTCTATCTTTCTCTTCCTAATGAGATATACCATTTGATTTCAGAAATTAAAGACGCACTATAGATAGATGCAAATAAAAGCTAAAAATAAAATGTGAGACTATAATATTTTGAAACCTTAATCTTTAGGTACATGGCCTCGGTATACGGAATGTTATTGGTATGCTTTCTGACCATTTCGACAAGTTTGAGAAGCTCTTGGTTTTGCTTCTTCTTGGTCGCATCATCCTTGGTTTTGTTATCGAACACGACCTGCCTTTTGTCGCACGCAACAAGAAGTTTCTGAAACCACAAGAAATGTCAATCTTAAGTCCCAAGCTAAAAACTTCTCTAACTACACAAAGTTTTGTAAGAATGTGATCAAAGTAACCAACCATTAGGAATTCAGGGCAACCATCCAAATAGTTATCAATGGTTTCCTCATCCTCTGTTAATTCATCCCCGCCGGTGAAAACAACGATAAGATAATCAACAATTTTACTCCCGAAAAGGACCTCCAAGGTACTAAGTACCATACCAAGTCTTCCTCTTTCGTAACTCGGTTCCTCACAGATATCACTAAGAGAACAGCATGCAAGCGTCCTACTGCTTGATGTAGGCAGCTGACAATTTCTTTGCTGATGTAGTCCGCCGAAGACGTCAGATCAAGTATACCTGCACATCACCCACTCTACATATTAACCATTTACATACAATTTGATCCCATAAGATCAACTTTAAATATTTTTTTCATTTATTTGTTTTTACTTTTGAAGAGAATTAATGCATTTGACATTTGTCATAGCTTTGTAATGAACTCTAATTATCAAAGCTATTGGAATTGATCCTTCGATCATGTCGTAACTGTGTGTTTTAACTCGTTTACCACTTCCATTTCTCCTTTATAAATTAATATATAACTCGTGTTGGCTATTCCGGTACGTTTACCGTTTCCATATTATATATATATATATATAGTTATATACTGCCGTTTATAAATCTCTATTATAAAAGCCACTTAAATTTTATATGTCTTAGACTTTTTGGACTACTACATTGTTTATATATATATAAAAAAATATAGTGCCGTTCGGAAATCTCTAATATAAATGCCACTTGAATCTGATATGTTTCTGACTTTTTGTATATATAGTGGTTTTCAAACTAATATCTAAACATAGACGTGAACAAAGAAATGATATTTTTGTTTTCATTACTAAAAACTGGCAAGCGATCTTGAATACCAATTTCAATTGTCGTCTGTTAACTTGCCCATTTTTTCTTCTTTATTGTTCTCCACTCAGAAAGGTCTAGAAATTTCGTGAGTTTTCATTTAGTAGACTCTCTAATCATCTACTTATCCTCTTCGATCTCCTCTTCGATATGTCAGAGCCAATAAAAAACATAGTTCTGGTAGGCTGTACTGGTAATGGAAAAAGCACCACCGGGAACACCATTATCGGTGAAAAAATGTTCTTCTCCAAACAACAGGCCGGAGGTATTACCATGAAATGTGAGATGTATAGAGCTGCGATACAAAATGGCCCAGTAATCAATGTCATTGATACTCCTGGTATGTTTCACATCAAATATTTAGATTGAGTCTACCACCGCTAATCTTAATTTCTTGGGAAGTTTGCAAATATGACTCAAGAATTATGGTCAATGGCAAATATAACCCATTTTTCAACCTTCAAAAATTTAAACCACTTTTTCTCAACTAAATCTTTGTCTTATTATCTTATTCACGAAATTGCCATTAATTTATTTCAGTTTTTATTTTTTTCGAAAATCAAAATGTCCAACCCATCCTCATCTTCCTCATTTATTCACCAATATACCATTGACATCAATTTTCTCAACCGATTTGGAGCTTTTAAGGCTTGGAAAACTAAATCTTGATCCCTTAGAACTCATAAAAACACTTTATTACCTTCTATTCTTATATTTTCTCTCTATTTTCATAAGAAAACTCCAAAATTTAGATTATCCAAAGCTGATGATTTAAGTTACTGCAATATCTCGTGGTTTGGCCGCTGATAGCATCTGGGCTCCTCTGTTTGGTGTCAAAGTCGAAGTTGGGAACCGGCTAACAAGCTCTAGCCCGCCGAAAGGTAATATTTCCGGTAGATTAGGTGTAATTTCTGATCTGTACCGCGAACGTAGGCTTCAATTGAAGTCTTCTACATGTGGTACACTTTATAAAAAGTCTGTTTGTCAAGGCACAGTTTAGTTTTGCAATTGACTAAACTGTGCGTTATGAAAGTAGACTTTGTTTTACAGCTACTCTTTTTTGTTTGAAAACAAAAAAATGTGGCGTATACTTTAAAAGAAGACTTTGTAAGTAGCAGGTTAATTTTGCAATTAACTTAGGGTTTGATTGTCCGGAGAAGTCTGCTACTAAAGTCTGCAAAAAAAGAGAGGTCAATTTTGCAATAGACTCATGTTCAACTTTTTTGACATACTTCATTCTAAGTTTACTAGGGTTTGTTTTGTAGTTCCCGAAATATTGAATATAGGTAAAATAACGTCTACTTTTTAGTTCGACTTGAAAAGAAGTCTACTTAAAAATTAATTCGATGTTTGGTCAAACCCAAAACTAACCTGCTGTAGACTTTGCTTAAGTCTGATCTAAAAATGTAGTTGATATGAAGTCTACTTAAAAAGTCAAACAATAGTCAATTGCAAAACTGACCTTCGGTAAGTCTACGCAAGAAGTTAGACTTCATGCTTAAGTCTAATTGTGTTAGTTGTCTTTAAATAAAGTCTGCTTCTCTTGATGAAGTCTACTATTAAAAAAGTCAATGTTTGGTCAAATGTAAAACTAACCCATGATAGAAGCAGACTTTATTAGTAGATTTCTTATTTGTAGATAGACCTCTATTGAAGTCTACATGTCTTCTAGCAATTGCAAAAGTAACCCCTATAATAGGCTTAATTAAAAGTCTACTATCGTTGAGTATATATAAAGTCTAACAAGGCAGACGGAAATTAAAGTCTGTATTCTTATGTTTTTTTTAAATCGCATTTAGATCAGTTTCAAAACTGCTATATTGGGTTTATTTTGGTATTACGGTTCTCTTACTATGTGGTCTTCCTTCTGTGGCTTTGTTTTGTGTTTACATTATATATGTACTGTGGAATAGATTTTTTTTAGTTTTATAAGACTCTTTGCTTATTAGGTGCAGACGTCTTACTAAGTCTACGGAGCAGACTTTAATTTGTTTGTTCTCTGTACTTGAATTTCTTTATAAAACTCATTTATTTGAAATTTATAACAAACAAAAATAGTTGTTTGACTCTTGAGCCTGTATTATTTATATATATATATATATAGCTTCTGTATCATTTTGTTATGTTGAGTTATTTAGAGTAAGCTTTAATTAATTTTACACTCTCAGCTCAAATTTAAATAATTAAGAGTAGACTTTACATAAACTCTACTTATTCGGCAGTGATTCCTAATGTTGGTTCCCTTTTGTTTTTGCAGATAATGGTTCACATACCCGCTGTATATGGAAAATATGGAAAATGGAAGAGGAAAGAACTGCTCTGGAACTTTGAGCTGGATAATCAGAAAGGAGGGCGAATGTTCTTCTTAAGAGATGGTTGCACATATGGTGAGCTTCTTGAAATGGCACAAGAGGATTATATGCTCGAAACAGAGTTTGTGGAGATATCCTATGGATTACCACAACAAATGCTTCAACAAGTGTCTCCTGATTCGCCTCCTATATACGTCACAAATGATAGACACGTTCTTAGCTTGATTGAGTTGGGTAGGATAGATGGTGTACGTCTCTGTATTTCAAGCCGGAAAGAAGAAAATGAGCATGCAAATGTTGGTGGGCATGCTGATCAATGTTATGATGATGCGAGTGATGATTCTGAAAAAGATTGGGTTGAGAGCTTGAGTGACGATGAGTCAAGGAAGGATGATAGCCTGAGTGACGATGATGAAAACGAGAAAAACGGGAAATCCAAATATGAGGTTGATGATCGAGATGTGGATTATAGTGAATACGGCAAAGTGAAAAATGAGGATGAGGATGACAATGAGCATGAATCTGATATGTCCGTTGTCGTTGAGAGCTTAAAATCGCGTTTTGGTGGAAACATAGCACCATCGACCACTCCTTGGTCAGATAATATATTTGTCACTCAGAGTTTCCCTAGCATGCAGAAGCTTGTAACAGAGTTGCGCTTGACAGCGGTAATGTTGAGGTTCTCATTTAAAGTGTACAATTCTACGAAGACGTTGTTTGTTGCATTATGTTCTGTCAACGGATGCAAGTGGAAGCTTAGAGCGGCTGTGAAGAATGAAGCTTCTACTTTCTGGGTGACAAAATATGAAAAGCTACATACATGCTCCGTGTCTGATCGATCCCTGTGCTCCAAGCGTTGTACGCCCAAGTACGTTGGAGCTTTGTTCATTGAACGAGTTGGCATAATTGATGGAATTGAGCCAAAGCATATCAGAGATTCTATGAAGGTTATGTGTGGTCTAAACCTTGATTACACTTCCTCTTACAGAGCTTTGATACATGCTCAACAGTTGGTGAGAGGAACAGCAGAAACTGGATATGAGGAGCTGCCTTCTTATTTGCGCCAACTAAAGAGAGGCAATCCAGGAAGTGTAGTACATCTTGAAACCGATGACTTGGATCGGTTTCAATATCTGTTTATCTCTTTGAAAGCTTCGATAACTGGTTTTCAGTATCTCAGAAGAGTCATTGTTGTGGATGGGACTCATTTAAATGGTAGGTATGGAGGTGTTCTGTTAGTGGCAGCCGGTCAAGATGCAAACTTTCAGATATTTCCCTTGGCTTATGCAGTGGTTGATGCGGAGAATGATGACTCTTGGAATTGGTTTTTCTCCAAACTAAAGACTTGCTTTACAGATGAGTATCCGATGGCAATAATTTCCGATAGGCATGAGTCTATCAAAAACGCATGCGAGAGCGTTATACCATGGGCTACACGAGGCATATGCTATTATCATTTACAACAGAACATTCTGACCAAACTTCAGGGGAAGCCGTTTATGCACTTGGTAAAAGGGGCTGCATACGCTCATACGGTTGAAGATTATGATCGCTACATGAATATACTTCGAGAAATTAATCCCGCTCTTGCGATTTATTTAGAGGGTGCGGACCCGAAGTTATGGTCCCGGGTTCACTTCCCTGGTGATAGGTACAATATAAAGACAAGTAACATTGCCGAATCGATCAACGCAGCGGTTAAGAAAGCAAAAGGCTTTCCCATTCCATTTCTTCTTGAGTTTATTAGAGAAAAGTTTGGGAGTTGGTTTAGCAAGAGGCGTGAAGATGCACTCAGTCTCACAACCAAATATAGCCGTGGAGTTGAGTATCTGTTGGCAATCCGCGAACATTATGCGGGAACGATGACCGTTGAACGCATTGACGGATGGAAGTTTTTCGCTAAGGGTGGTCCACGAGATGCGATTGTTGATTTGGAACAGCTGAAGTGTTCTTGTGGTGTTTTTCAAATTGAGAAAATTCCGTGCTCACATGTCATTGCAGCTTGTGTAGCAGCTCGAGTTGACTGGTCAATCTACGTTTCTCCCTTATACACGAAAGAGTCGTTATATGCAACATGGTCCCAAAACGTTTACCCTCGATTGTCAGATGATGAGTTTGAGGTAAAAAAGGAACCGTGTGGTATACCAAACGTGAAGGTTGCCCCTGGACGAAAGAAAAAATCGAGGTGGCAAACCTGGCTGGAGATGGCGATGGCAAGGAAGAAAGGAACCAAACCAAGGAAGCTGCACAAAAAATACAGATGCTCAAAGTGTAAGCAAGAAGGACATACTCGCCCCCACTGTGTAAGTTTCTATTGCAATTAATGTTTTAGGTAGTGAAAGATGTTTCTTGATGTCTGTGATAATGAGTTGCACATTTGGTTCTCAGGGTGTGAAGGACGGTGAGTAGTAGAGTTGAAGATGAATGGAGTGAGATCCAGCTTTATGTTTTTTAATGTCTGTGATAAGGAGTTGGAACTCTGATTATGATGTTGTATTGCGAAGTCTGCTTAATGTTTAATTTTTCATTCGAACTCTGATGAAGTCTAATTGTTAAGTCTGCTTAATGTTCAATGCACAAGATTAAGTACGCCAAAAACATATATTACCTAACCTGTAATGATTACTTGATGGGTTACAACAAAAAAAACCCTATCAACAGGTACAAAAGAATAGTAGCGTCAGTTTGTGAGATACCACTACAACGCTATATGTATCCAAGACAACATAATCAAGAGTCGTAGAGACCCAATTCCGACCAGACACGATTTGGTGGTCCAAGGCACTTAATCTCATCAAATATATCCGCCCCAAGCTTCTCCCTGATTGCCTTGCTGTTTTTCCCACACAAAGTAGTAGGAAACTTCATAACTAGTGCATGACATTAGATGAACTTAAGAGCATACATTCCACAATCACCATCATTGTCTTGGATTGGGAAACCAGGCCCTATCATCCGCTCGTGAGTAAAACGATCGAAAGGAAACTTATCTCTTTTATTCACGTCTGCATGAAGCAGAAGTAGATAGGGCACAATGACAGCAACAGGCTCCACAAATGATGCCAGTTCTTCATCATCAATGTAACTAGGCAGACTGTCCCATATAGTAATGTGCCTCCTAGGCAACGAAATCCACAGAGCAATCCAATGTGCACTTCTGATATTCAAAGGCAGGTAGATGTCATCAATATCAACAATCCAGTGCTTGTCCGTTCTGCAGTACGCGGGCTTCTCCCCGAAGTAGTAGTCAGATGCACCAGCAGGTACAAGACGTCCTAAACCATCTTTGGTCGGCTCAGACTCTACGAATTCAATAAACTTCAAACCCCACAGAAGGCTGATGTTGGTATCTACAAAGTATAGTCGATCACTTCTGAACCACGCCGGATGCTTTGACTGACGAAATCTGAGCATGTTTATCACGGCATCCATATGCTGCAACAGAAACAGTGTATCCACCAAAATGAGTCCCACAAATGAAGTCTACACTTAAAGTCAACACTACAGAAGTCCATTTTGTTCAATAAACACTACAAAAGCTGCAGAAATGAAGTCTACTATCCCCCATAGACATAGTAGGCGTAAAGAAATAGTACCGTATCCACCAGCCATTGTGGTTTAGTTAGCAGGAGCCACCACCAGTTTCGTTGAGGGAATCGTAAGGGGTCCCTAGACGGGTATCCACTGCAGAAACGTACAACACAAGTAACATTAGCAATAATTTCCGAGGTAGAGAATTAGATAAGAAGTAAGTAGGAAATCTTTTGAGGACTTACGGTAATTGTTTAATGAATCTTTTGAGGGCAGCTAGCTTATTCTTATCAACTGGATCCATAGGATCATATCGCGGGATCTGGTCCTGGTTAGGAATGATTGTTCTCGCGGTACTGTTGCCTATAAAAGGATGTATCTGAGATGAAGCTAACCTCCGTTTTCTTTCGACTTTCGCTTGTGCCAATATATGTGCAGCCGCAGCTCGAGATTGTTGCCTCTTTAGATGGAGTCTAAAACCGGCTTCAGTTTGTTTCTCTGTCTTAACAAAGATGACACTACATTCCTTGCCATTCACACTCTCGCAGGGAGCTTGTTGTTTTTTCTGCAATTATATGTTGTAAATGTCAAAGATTAGAAGAAATTTAAAAAACTTTACTGAAAGAGATTATAAAATTTATGTTACATTATTAACTGACTTTAAAGTACATCTACAGTCAACATAAACAAATAAACCAAAAGAAAACAAGCCACAAAGACAACCCACAAAAACAACGAGAACCCAATGTCTTCAAATCTTCATTATCTTAGCTCTTCTTCTAGTTACTATTGGAGTCAAAGAAGGCTTAGTTCTCTTATCGCTCACAGAAGAATTTTTACGAGGTTTGGAAGAGGGTTTGGAACTAACCCGAGGAGGAGGTGCATCTTCTTTAGGAGGGGCATCGTTGGACTTCACCTGCTCCTCATTCCTTCCCTCCTTCATCTTGGCAATAGTGTTCTGTACAGCTTCGACCTTCCCAGTCAAGACTTTCACGCTCTCATTACACGCCTCCCGCCCAGACTTCATCTCTAGGGATAAAGTATTGATACATTTCTCAAAATGTAACTTAATTTGCGTGGTCACACTTGTCAGAACCTCCTCGTCCATGAAATGAGGACTCTCTTCGCAAGACATCTTCTGACTTCCACCGTCTGATTCAGCACTCCTTTTCTTGCCAGACTTAGCAGCTGCAGTCGGCTGGAGTCCAACCTTCGCACCTTTAAGCTGCCAGTCACTTGGCTTCCACCTCCAATTAACCCCATCAGTAAACTCTCCAAACTTGGCCTTTATAATGTTCTCAACTAGGACATCTTCGATCTCGTCATCCCAAACTGGAAACATATCTTCCATTTCCCTGACATCGAAGTAGTTGAAACTGGTCTGCAATACAGTAAAGAGAAACAGTTAATGAAAACCAGGCATAATCATATAAGAGAAGTATTACAAATAATAAATTATTTTACCTGTCTCAGCATAGCAAGTTTGATGTATTTCCGTCCTCTGCAACCGCTGTATGCAACTACCGGAGGAGTTGGGTTGTTGGGCAAGGGATTTCCGTATTCTACATCGAATTCAGGCATCGCAGAATATGCCCAAACTTGAAGAACCTCAGCAAACCCCACAAGCGTATTTGATTTCGTTTCAGTAGCGCTTTTCACAGAGGTTATGAGGTTCTTGAAAGCCACTCTCCCCCATGGGTAATTCTCGAATTTATCTAGATCAACGACTAGCTTTGCCATGCTAACACGTGTGGGTGAACACCTCTTCCGTGCTTCAATGAACCCAGCGTAGATGGATAAATATCCTAACCGGAGCCTGTCTTCCCTTGACCATTCTCCAGCAAACTTACAAGCTTCCGTAAGTTGTTGTACACTCGGACCAGTCTCCAAAGGAACTCCCAGTTGTCCCCAGAACCTTGTCATCTCCTTTAGAACAGAGGCCTCATCACCGACTTCAGGCTCCTCTAAGTTCTCAACATAGTCACAGGTTAGACCAGTGAGGTGTTCAAATTCATTCAGTGAAAACCTCAAAGGACTTGCACCAATCAAGCTCCATATCTCGTACTTCTTCTTGCACACGAGTTGAAAACCAAGAATGAATTGGACCACCCTAGACACCCACCCAAATTTGAGTAGATGGAACTTCAAGAACACACCAAGCTTTGAATCAACTAGCTCTTCCCGTTTATCCTCTTTCAAAACGCTTTTCAGAGCCGGAAACAACTGGGAGTCGTTGCTGTAATATGATATGCTTTTACCCGGCTTAGGCTCATCTCCGTGTGAGTATAGCCTCCTAGGAAATTTGACCTTCTCCATCCTGCTAAATAAAAGACAAACACATTTTGAGCAAAAGTTATATAAGGTAAACTATAGGATGTCTGCCATGGAAGTCTGCATGAGAAAATGAAATCTACTTCCAATTCAAACTAAACCCTTTTTTTTCAAAAATTCAAACTAAACCCTAAAAATCAAACTTTTCAACCTAAAGCAATTTAGGAAAGGGATAGAGAAATCTTACACTTTAGAGGCATAAATCCAACGGCGAAGACAACAGGATCTGTAAAATCAAAGGTAGCGACTAAGGGATTGAGAGTTTAACTACAAGATATGCTGGTAAGGAAAGTAAGGGAGTGAGATGAGAGTCATTACCGGCGAGAATCGAGATAAATTACGGCGAGATTTGGGAAAGACGGCGAAGCAAAAGCGGCGGCGGAGATATGAGAAGAGGAAAAGGAAACTCGATTAATTCACTAAACCCATTGAAGTGTTTCTAACGAACAGAGTAAGAGAAAGGAACAAGTATTACCGGCGGAGAGGCAAGCGCAGCGGCGAAAACGATGAGTGTCGGAGACGCCGATTCGGCGGAGAACTCTGTTTGTCGACGGCGATTCGGCAGCGGAATGGCGTCGAGAGGAATTAGGGCTTTTTCTGAAAATGGAGTCTCTCTTCGGTAAATCCGAATATATATATGCCGGTTAATGTCTGGTTTTGGGTAAAATCGTTCGGTTCAATATATCTTAACCGGTTCAGTTCAGTTGTACTAAAGACTTTTTTAAACGTCAAAACTCAAAGTCTATTTACAAAGTCTACTAAAGTAGACTGAACTATAAGTCTACTTTACCAATTTGGTCTGATTAAATTTCGGTCCCTCCAATTCTTCTGAAATTTTTTGGATTTCCCGCTCAGTTTAATTGATATTCCAAATTTCTACAGAAATTTATTAATGAAGTCTATGAAAGAAGTCTGTTGTACCATTAACTCTATTTCGAAATTTTAACATTAAAACTTATATAACATTGATTTAATATCATATTCACATTTAAAGTTACAAATAACAATTGTATAAATTTTAACCAAACCATAATCAAAAATTATTAATGATTTTGGACTTACCCTAACAATAACACTGGAATAGACTGAACAATAAGTCTTCTTTACCAATTTGGTCTGATTAAATTTTGGTTCCCTCCACCAACATGCAAATTTTGGATTTCCCGCTCAGTTTAGTTGGTATCCCAGACTTCTTCATGAAGTCTATGAAAGAAGTCTGCTTTACCCTAAACCCTATTTCGAAATTTTAACATTGAAACTTATATCTAACATTGATTTGATATCATATTCACATTTAACAATTATATGAACTTTAAGTTTTTAACCAAACCATAATCATAAATTATTAATAAATTTGGACTGACCCTAACAATAACACTGAAATACACGGAAAAGGAAGTCTACAACACCAATTTGGTCTGATTCAATTTTGGTTCCCTCCAATTTGCCTAAAATTTTGGATTTCCGCTCAGCTTAATTGATATTTCAGACTTCTATAAAAGTTGGTTATTGAAGTCTACAGATGAAGTCTGCTAAACCCTAAATCCAAACCCTAAACCCTATTTCGAAATTTTAACATTAAAACTTATATCTAACATTGATTTGATATCATATTCACATTTTACAGTTAAAATAACAATTATATGAACTTTAACCAAACCATAATCAAAAATTATTAATGAATTTGGACTTACCCTAACAATAACACTTATATACCATACACTTTAACCCTCAAACTCTACTCATTTCAATCTTATACTTATGAAACTTACAAATTGTTTCATTTTTATGATTTTGTTTTTTATACAAGTGCTAGTTATATATGTTTACGCTATGGATTCAATTATTTATCCAAAATGTTTTTTATAATTTTTATAATTAAGTTTTAAACTTTTGTTAATTAGTAGATTTCACAAGTAGACTTCCAAATGTTGTATAGGTTTCTGACCTAATTTGTTGGTTTTGATTTAAATTGAATAATTTTATTTTTCATACGTGAAGAACATCTATATTTTGGTTTTGTATAATTTTTTTATATCAAATTATTTTTTGTAGAATTTGTAATTAAATTTTATGATGAAATTATGTGGTAGACTTCAATATACGTCTGCACAAGTAGATTTCCCAAGCAGATATCTTCGGGTAAATCTGACATTATGACACACGTTTTTTCTTTGTTCACAAAGGAGGAATTGTAATTTTACTAACCTTTTGGGTTAGTTTTGCCAAACATACAATATAGAGGTTAGACTTCTTGAAAAAATCAAATTATGGTTTAGAAATAGCCATTTCCCCTAATTTCTTTGTAGTTGACCCAAAAAAAAAAAAAAAAAAAATCTTTGTAATATATAGCCTAGCCAATAGTAGAGTCGAATTCAGCAAATTAAGATAGTAAAATTGTGCATGAATTCAGGTTTGTTCGACTTGACTGTATCCGCCGACATTATAAGTAGAGAAATCATTAATTGCTTAACTATGGCCAAAGAAGGAATACATGCTGTGTTGTTTGTTCTATCTACAAGGGGTGCAATTACACAGGAGGAAGAGTCCACACTTAATGCCTTGCAGCACATACTTGGGAGCAAAATCTTTGATTATTTTATTGTTGTGTTCACTGGCGGTGACGAGTTAGAAGCGGAGGAGCTGACGTTGGACAACTTTTTTTTTTTTTGTCAACAGCCTAAGCTCCTAAGCCGGGCCGGAAAGCGGGACCAGTGGAACTGAGTTTATGTAGTACACATCATGGGGCTGAGCTCGAGCACTCCGTGCTAGCTTGTCTGCCTTTGTGTTTTTCGCCCTGGGAATGTATGAGAGTGAGAACGTCTGGAACATTCCCCTGCATTTCGCCACTTCTTCAAGCAATATCGCAAAAGCTGGCCACTCTGTCGGTTTGGACACCATCTTCACCAACTGAGCGCAGTCTGTTTGGAAATTCATCTGGCGTTTGTTATGGACTAGCATACATTGCATAGCCCAAATCAGTGCCTCCAATTCTGTCTGAAGAGGAGATAAACCCTGCCGTAAATTGCGGGACCCAATCAAGGTTGAACCCGAATCCGGGTCAAAATTGTACCATCCAATTCCTGCTCGCCATTCTGTTACTTTCCATGCTCCATCAATCTGGCACCACTCTCCCAGTTGGACAGGGTCGGCCAGACTGGAATTACTAAAGTTCGCCTGTTCTACTACTATTTGAGCCGCTGCCCATGCCCGTGATTCCGTTATAGCTGATTCCATTACATCATGTGGATTATGATCATCATTTGAAAAAACTTTATAATTTCGGGCTTTTCAGATAAACCATAACAACCATGGGAACATCATCATGTCATGGAAGATTCCAAAACAGATGTGCCATATTTGAATTTCTGAAGGTTTCTGCACACTTTTCCCGAAATAATATTCTGTTCAAAATTATTTTTTATATTTTCTAATAGTACTAGTTACTAAATTTCAGAAAACTCTCAGACTCTGTCATGGTCGAAAGGTTTTGTTTGATAACAAAACTAAGAATAATAGCAAGAAGGCAAACCAACTTAAGCAGCTTGTGGCCCAAATGGCGGATGTTGAAAATCAAACTGGTGGTAAGTCGTATATAAAGGTAATAGGAGAGGAGCAAGTAGGCATGTGGTTGTATCACCTCTGCTGCTATGTCATGTATGGAGGTGGATTCCTTCTTTTTCTATGTGAGTTTATTTCTTTATTGGAAGGATAATGGATGAGTCCCTGGGCCAGCATTATTTTCCTATGTGGAATTCATTTTTTCAATGGGAGAATAATTAGTCTGTGGGCTAGCCTCTTTCTCTTATGTGGAGTTCATTTGCTCATTGGGAAAATAATGAGTATGTGACCAGCATATTTCTTTTATGCGGAGCTCATTTCTTTATTGTAAAGAAAATAGATTCATGGGTTAGCCTGTTGTGGCCCACAAAAGATAATAAAAAAAAGAAGATAAAGGTAAAAGGTTTTAAAAATCATTACAATAATTATTGGTTATTATTATCTTTCATTTTCTTACAAGTCATTCACATTTCTATAAACAGTCGCTCAATTGATTTAGATTTCTTTTTCAACGTCATTATTTATCTAATTGAATTGGTAACATTATAAATAACAATTAATAACACAAATGATTAGATCATATCTTGATGACATAATAAGGGTATCATCTTCTTTTAGAAAATGCTATTGTACAAATATTTTCAGTCATCGGGAATCTTATTTTCTTTTCTCAGGAAAGGGATATTGAATTATAAGAAACGTGTTGAAGCACAACTAGCAGTGCCGCAGGAAAAGTTTCAAAAACTTATGGAAGTGATGCTGGAGAAGTCACGAATGGATCATCAGAAGATCATGCAGATACAAATGGAGAATCAAGCTAAGAACCTTGCAGAAGCAAAAAAACTTGCGAAGCAAGAACAGATACGAATGGAGCATGCGAAAAAGGAGATGATTGCACTGGTGGTAAATTCAATCATCTCCTTTTTCATAGTTGTATACTTATGTTTCATTGTTGTATACTTATGTTTCATTGCATTCCAATATGAATCGATCTCTCGTTGGCTTTTGCCTTAAACAATGATATTTTTTTTGGGGTCAAAAACAATGATTTTAAATGTTGGATATCCTTCTCTCTCCCGAGGCGACATGAGTTGCGATTAGGGTTTTCCCTCTTCGCCTTTGCCCCGCCGCCGCCGGTGTGGCCTCACGCCCTCCTGTGAGAACCCTCTTCTTTCTCCCATGGCCTCTTTGTCTTTGTCGTTCGCTTTGGTTCAGGCTCCGCTGCGTCTCAACCCTCCGCCAGATCCAGATCCGCCGCACCCAGATCCTCCCGACCCTCCCGATCCTCCAGATCTCGCCTCCTTCAATTCTGCCGTCCTTGGTCCCCCTGCTACACCGTCTCGCCGCATCCTTTCCTCGGTGAATCTTCGTGTCCTCTTCGCCATGACGGTTGCCGTTGCTGGCGATCCTCTGTCTAAGTCGCCGGAGCTCTTCCTCGACGTCCCTCCACCGCCTGTTCTGCAGCTTCTCGCTCAGTCTCTAGGTCGTAGAGTTGTCTGTCTCAAGCTCAACTCCTTCCCTCTCCAGATCCGTCAGGTTTATCACAGATTGTGTAGCTCTGTTAGGCTCGTTTTACCTCAGTATGAGGCTCCCCTTACCTCAGTATGAGGATGTTACGCTCTTACCTCTGCTTGAGGTTGCTGTTCGAAATCTCCAGCCAATCTCAGTTCCATCCTTTGTTCATATGGTATGGTTAACTAGAGTTGTGATGGACATAGATTTTGTTAGAAGCTTTCTGTGCTGTGAGCCTCTGAAGTGTGTCCCGTTTGTGGAAACTTCAAGCTCTCTTGGTGATACTAACTTGTATGCAGGATGGTTTCTTTTCCAAGACTCTTCAGGCTCTTGCGATAGCCACTTATCTCCTAACGGGCGTTTATTAGCTCCAGACTTAGCTGCTGGAAAGCTTGCCCTATCAACTGCTTTTCTTGAAGCAGCATTTGCTGGACTCATAGCATTGGATGTGCTATTCGACTCCCAAAGCCTCAACCTTCCTTTAATCTCTAAAGATGTTGTTAACTATCTTTATGAAATTAGGTGTTTAATTGTATCTGTTTTACGTTTGTTTCTTGTCCAGCCATGGTTATGGTTTGGTTTGTTGTGAACAATTCCTCCTCTAATGGAGTTTAAGATTTATAAAGTATTGTTTGTCCAAAAAAAAAAAAAATGTTGGATATCCCAGGAGGAGGGTAAAAAGCTAAGGGAAGAAAAACTAAGGAAGTTTGAGTCGTCTAAGAAGGTTGCTGTCAGCAGATTCAAATATGCCTCTTACATAGAGTTTGATTAGTCGGGTAATATATTAGTACATATATAAATCATGTTTTAAGGACTAAAGTTGATATTTTATGGACAGAAATACATGGTCTACGCAAGGGATCTTAGCATCGCATGGTCGGACAACAGCCAGTACTGGTCATGGGTACCTCTCCGGTAAGGAGTTCTATAACTTTGATTTATATATTCTATAGAGTATAAGAGTAAGAAGCTTGTGCAATTGCAATTATTGTATCATAAACATATCAAATACATTTTGGTTTTTCATTTTTCAAGTGAAACACTCGGCGAAGCTGCTCTGCTGAAAATGGTTTGTTGGTTAGGGGTGAATGGAACGTTCAACACGAGTGAACTGACACCAGGGACAAAGTACGAGGTCGTGTACGTGGTGAAGTTAGAAAATACAGCTTCTGGATGGGAGATACCGGTGAACCTGAAGTTGACCGTGGCCAGAAGTGGAGGAAGGCCGCAAGAGCATAGTGTGCGCTTGAAGGAGCATATAGGGAGATTGTGGGTAGATATACCAGCCGGCGAGTTCATAATGTCCCCCGAGATTGCCGGAGAGATCAGTTTCTCCATGTATGAGATCGCATCTGGCTCTTGGAAAAGAGGGCTCTGTGTCAAAGGTGTTGAAATTCGTCCCAAAAACTAAGACATGCATGCACGTATGCCTGGATTCTATAAAGCAGCTGATGCATCCATGCAGTAACGCTTCCTTTTTTTTTTTAATCAATTCATCAATGTTTTAATAATGTAAAACATAAATAATTTTATCTAATGATTAATTTTCTTAAATTTCATGGTAATGGTTAATAGTTGTTGAAATTTAGTGGACATGAGAAATATCCATTGGGTTCGAAATCATGAGAGAAGGGCACAGTCATTCTTTGATTCAGAGTTTGCAGATTTGGAGATTGGTCATGTTTCTACGCAGTCAATATCTCCCTCTCACTCTCACACTTAGCACTATCGGAATATGAATGTACACTAGAAACTCTATAAATTAATACTCGATAAATTAATAAACACGATAAATTAATAAATTTCTTCGGTCCCAAGTTGGGCCAGTGTAAAATATGACACAATTCGATAAGATAATAACTTTTTTTAAACTCCTATGTAAAATATGGTCCCAATAATATCATAAATTAATAATTACCATATAAAAACTTACATATATATATATATGAATCTAAGATATCAGCTATAAAATATGAATCTCTTATACATCAAACAAATATGAAAACTAAAAGAAAAAAAAAAATAAAACAATATGGCAAGTATGAAAAAATGTAAACAATAGAGTAAATATAGAAACATCAAAAACAAGTTAAGAAAATATACGTATAATGGAAGTTCTTATTTAATTTGAAGGAAAATTTTAAAAAAAAAATTATTATTGAATTTTTTGTTTGAAAAGAAAAAATTCAGTCAAAATCTATATATTAATAACTCTATAAATTAATAAAATATCAAAGTCCCGACATTATTAATTTATAGAGTTTCTGCTGTAATTTGAATCATGAAAATGATCGTATCATTCAAGTTGTTTCCAAACGTCACTTGAGGAATGCATCTCATTGTACCGGATGCATCAGCTGCTTTATAGGTTCATATTCTAAAATATTGGTGATTTTTGCAAAAAGGACGAGGCCTTTCAAATTCATGAATTTCCTATCTCAAAGCTCTAGATTAGCCCAGCTAGTTGATGGTTATATATCATACTATTATTTGCAAAGTCAGAATTTCGAATGGAGGCACCACGTTAACTCTCAGCCACGAATTACATAACTACCCTTAATGAAAATCTTTATTAAATCTTTCAATTTGCTTATTATCTTATTTAAAAACGAATTTATTTTATTTTTTAAAAAGACGTCAATTTGGATATTTACATAAATTATTTTTGGATATATACCACATACCTAACATATTCGCGCCACATTTATGGAAAAAATTAAAAAAAAAGTAAAAGATAAAAAACGTCAATTTGGATATTTACATAAATTATTTTTGGATATATACCACATACCTAATTTATGGAAAAAAATTAAAAAAAAAAGTAAAAGATAAAAAATTGGAAAACCTAGGTTTGTTTTACGATTCTTTCTTATATATAGGGATAGCTACAAGCATAATCAACCCAATTCTCATTACTATTTGCATCTCTTCTTTCTATACGTAATTTTAGTTCTTAGGTCTCATATATTTTCTTCTCATGCATCTTTATGGTTTTACTTTGATTTAAGTTCTATTTACTGTAATAATGATTAACTTCTTCTTCTCTCGCTTTTGTTACAGTTAGTTCCAAGCTAATGGGAAAAGAGAACCTTTTATAGTCAAACCTTTTATTGTTCATTATAAAAATACATCTATTTATGTTGAAGCGTGGCCAAAAAAGCAGATGGCAAAGGACGAAAAAAACAATGTAAAACAGGAAAAGAAGCGAGTGTCTTTTATATGGTCTTAATTTTGTGTTCTATGGACCAATTATTAATTGACAAGAGAAATTACAGAAAGCGGCCTTGAAAGCAGAAGGAGCTGAGCGTGCTAGGAAAAGAAAAGCAAAAATTGGAAACTAGATAGTTAGCCTTCCAATTTATCGTTTCATATATTGATGTTGGATTGATTGAAACTAAAGGATTCATTATAGGGGTTCTTCTTAGAAAAGAGTCCATCCATGGATCATTCGCAATTTTTTGTAAAGGGTGTATGGACTCTTGCTGAGCTATATATTGTTGTAGAAGTTTTACAAAGAGAATTTATTATAATTGTTTATGTTTTTGACTCTCTTCAATGATTGTTACGATTGTTTCTGTTTTTGTGAGAGCCTCACGAAAACGTTAAGCACTTCTCTGTTTGTTCAGCTGTGAATCTCGATCATGGTTTCTCCGTGATTACCAACTACAAGTTAGTGTTCAAGTTTCACTTTCATGTTCACCGTCTCCACACACTCTATCATCATAAACATAACCACAACTGCCATTATTCCGAAATATTGCTGTGTCGCAATCAGGGTGAGACTGATTCGTGAGGTTCAATTAATGCTCTTGAGACTCTTAAAATAGGCTAAAGACGAGTACCATTCACACATTCCGATTACTATTTCTTGCCATGTTAATTAGTTTAGGCATGTTCAGAAAATAATCTTTATATCCACTATAACTCTATAAGGCATCTCTATCTATCGTTAGCTAAATAAGGTTTGGTGTATATAACACTTGCTATTTCTCTTGAGGCTCGGAGCGATCATGGATGTTTGATTTTTTAGTAATGGTTTAATATTATATATAATAAAATTAGGAGATAAACAAGAAGAAAATGACAAGGGATAACAAAAAGAAGAAAAAGAGATTATTGGAGAATAAATAAAAGGGAGTAAAAGTCTGGAGAAGAAGAAGTTGAAGAACAAAACTAATAAAAGGGGAATACTTTTTTATCTCTCTAACCGAATGAAGAAACTGAGTAGAAGAAAAAGACTAGACACGTAGAAATTAGAAGATTGAGAAGTTAGAGAAGACAAAACACATAATGTAATCATCATATTTAATGTTTGGTAGGGGTTAGAGTGTACAGTTTATTGAAAGATTTATAATATGAGATTAAATCAGAAAATAAAAAGATGACGATGAAGAGAGAGAGGAAAAGAAAAAAGATTAGAAAGTTTGATAAGAATAAAAAAAAAACAAACGGTAGAAAATGAATGAACAAAAATATGAAAGAAGTAAAAGAAGAAGAAGATAAAATGGGATTGGGGTTTATGATGTACGGTTTATATTGATGGGCGTAAGGTTTAGTTTTAGATTCATTTAAATTTTTTTGAATACACTACCTTACTGATCGAAAACGAAACAAAAAACTTCTTTTAAGACAAAAATAAATATAAAATTCAATCCAGAACTAATTTGTAAAATGTGGAGTTTGGGTGTACGGTTTGGAGTGGGGGAGGTTATATTGTGGGGTTTGGGTTTAGGGTGTAGGATTGTTCGAGGGGGGGGAGTGTGGAGTGTGGTGGTGGTGTTACTGTGGGATTTGGGTTTAGGTTTAGGATTTATATATTATGAAATAGGGTTTAGTTTTTGGTGCATTCTTAAAATTTTGAATTATTATGTACTACATTTCTAAATTACATTCACAAATAGAAAAAAACTAAAATAATTAAAACAAATCCAGAATAAAAAAATAACAAAACCAATAGATTTTTAAAAGATCTCGACTATCTAATGATAAAAACTCTTTTAAAAATCTTTGAAAATATAAACTATCGAATGAAGTGATAGGTGAAATACAAGACGTATAAAAGAACGAATAATAACAATGAGTAAAAGAAAAGAAGACGGTGAAAAAAAAGATGGAAAATTTGGAGAAGAAAAAGAAAACTCGAACATGAGGAAATAAAAATCAAAGAAGAAAAGATGGATGTGAAGAGAAAAAAAAAGACAAAGAAGAGATCAATAAAAACTAGAATAATATGATGTGGTAGAGAGAGGAGGAATGAGGAAGAAGAAAAATCGGAAAAAGAATGTAAAGAAAATTAGAAAATAACAATAAAAATAGTGAGTTAGAGAATATAAAGACATCACAAGAAAATATTGAAAAACAACAATTGAGAAAATAAGAAGAAGAAAAACATAATGAGAATGAATACAAAATTGAAAGAAAAATAAGAAAATTGAATAATTGGAGAAGAATAATAGGGAGAAGAAAACAAGAAGTGAAAAATATTTTGTATCTCTTTAAGAAAATAAAGAAGATTATGCAAAAGAATGAGAGAAAAAAAAGACAAAAGTAAAACACACTCAGATTAGAAAAATAAAAAGTCGGCGAAAACATAAACGATGAATACAATCATAAATTCTACTACTTATATTATTAAAATCTTTGTACTCGCACAAAGTGCGGGACTACAAGGTGCACAAGGCTCCATTTTTTGTGGGGTTATTGTAGGGTTAGAGTTTAGAAGGTAGGGTTTATATTGGTGGGTGTAGGGTTTAATTTTTTGTGCACTTTTAAATCTGTAGTTCTTGAAAATTCTAATGAAAAATGAAATAGGAAAACAACTAAATTTTTTAATCTTTTGTTCAAATCATATCGATTAAATAATAACATTTGAAATTCTTAAAATATCATATGAAATTTTGTGCAACAACAACAATTACACCAAATTAAGCAAAAATATTTAATTCAAATAAAAAACATTTGTCTATTATGTGGTTATGGTGTATGGGGGAGAGGGTGAGGTGTTTATTGTAGGGTTAGGGTTTAGAATGTGGGGTTTATATTGGTGGGAGTAGGGTTTATTTTTTGGTGCATTTTTTTAAATCCTTAGTTCTTGAAAATTATAATGAAAAGAGAAATAGCAAAACAACTTAATTTTTTAATCTTTTGTTCAAATCATATCGATTAAATAAAAACCTTGCGTATTTAATTATAAAATTTAAAATTATGATATTTTATCCAATAATATAAATAAAACATATCAAATACGATAAATAAAATTGAGAATAATATAACAAAAAATAAAGGAAAATAATCATTAAAAAAACTTCATTAGACCATCTTCTTCATCAAGCAAACTTAGTGCTAAATATGCTTATCTAAAAGTAATTTAAGTCAATTAATATTATGAAGTTTTATAAACATTTGGTATGATTTGAATATTTAAAATATTTTAATAACCATTGATAATTTTCTGTTATTTCAGTTTTTTAGAAAAATTATTGTAACGTTTAAATTATGAAAAATATTATTTTTTGTTTATAGATATTTTTATTTTCAAAAACAACTCATGCCCGCGCAAGGTGCGCCAACTACCTCGTACCATATATTTAACAGTTTTTATTATGGACTTTACCATAAGAGCAAGTGCACCGGATATATTATGTGAGTCTCTACAACCTAAAAAATAAAGAAAAAATTAAATAATTATCTATTTGGCAAGATTAATGTTGAGAGACGTCTCTATGGGAAGGTACTTTGGAGCCGTTTCTGAAGCAAGCTGGACAGATGTCAAAATATTGTTGGCCAACGCTTTCTTTTTTTCTTTTTTCTTTTTTCTTAAATAAAAGTAAGTTTTTGTAGAGACTCTTTATAGTATGTCCGATGCACTTACTCTAATATTAAGTGCTTCTAGATGTAGTATTCTCATATGCGTAGTCTTGAGAGTCGTACCAAATTATAAAAAGGATGTAATATGGAGCGAATGAGGAATAAACCAACCCTCCAAAATCCAACCATTCCCCAAAGTCAAAAATATTTACAATTTCTTAACATTTACACACAAAAAAAGGTATTTACCAGTCACAAAAATCACAAGATAAGTGGACTTTCCGAATCAAACTGCCCTTAAGCACCATAAAGTTTCCATTCGTTGGATGCTTTCCTCCTAATGATTTATGATGAAATTTGATTTGAAGATAACTTTTTAAGCTAACTTTCACATGTAACTGGTTTGGAGTTATTTTGAGTTGTGGTTGAGAATATACATCCAATTTGTTGCACAAACAATATATATATTGTTGCACAAAAAACAAGGTGTACGTCCATTTTATTGAAGGCATGTTCGCATAACTAGTGTTGGTGCTAGTGTCCCATTTTAAAATAACTTATTTTCTCTCCCCTTAAGAACTTGTCTTTGGCCTAAATTGTTCACTTCACAAAAAAAAAATAAACAAACGTAAATGGCCAATATTCAAATACCAAAAGTTCATAAAATAAAATGAAAACATACTCCTCTGTTTTAAAATATAATGGGTTTGAGAGTTTCTTTTTTGTTTCAAAATATAAAGAATTTTAGAATTTCTATACAAAATTAAATGTATTTTTATTACTTTTGATTATTTATATTCTGGAGATTTTTTTTTCGTTGGTTGAAATATTTTGAAAATGATGATAAAATATATTTTATTTCAAAAAATACAAAAATTAAATAACTTTTTAATCTGTGTGCAAAATCTTAAACCCCCTACATTATAAAACGGAGGAAATATTATCGTGCGGACAGTCTCCTATTTAAAATATGAATTGTGTCGTCCATTAACTTGGCCATTCGTTCTTTCTTCTTTTCTTTTTTTTTTTTTTTTTTTTTTTTGCTAAGAATGTAAATATTTCATTAAAATGAAAACATTAAAATGAAAACGTTTTAGGTTTACAATCGTTGGATTATACAACTATAAGAGATGGTCCCATGGCAAAAAAGATAAAAACATGGAAGCATAAATACTCACGAAGGAACTCAGTCCATCCACTCAACATAAACACAAGGTTATGGAGTTAGACGAAGTGAAAATCGATTATTGGTGTTCTTGCCGATTGATTTGTTGAAGGCGAGGGGCAGACACATCTCGAAAACGCCTCGTAACACAGTGAGAAGAGCACTAGAAGCCTTTCAATAGAGGTCCAAGACTAAGCCGTCAACGGCGAAAACTTCTCCATGAGCTCTCTCCGAATGAAACCTCTCGGACTAAATCATGCAATCGGTGCGAGCTCCCCCTACCAAGTTCAACCCCGAAGTCGGCTAGTACAGAGCTAGATAAAACAATTTAGGAAACACACTGAAAGCCCTCAGTCTTACTAGCTCCTCTAGTGCGCAAGACAACCACAACAAGGCAGAAACTCTATGTATCGCTATCCTCAACACATAAAACACCAACAGCTAGACACAACCAAAAACCAGGGCAGCAAAGCAAAAACGAAACAAGAGACCCAGAGATGCTAACAACTAGAAGAAGGGGAAGCAGCCACCACCGGTGACCATACCTTCAGCAAAGTAGCACCAACGAGGCAACCGGAGAGCTTGAAAACGAGCTGCCCAGACGAAACACAACACTAGACGCGCCACAACGGATACTCTCCTAAAAGATCTGCTGCTGTCCTCACACAAATTTGACCAACAGAGAAGCACCCAACAAAGCCCAGTGAGAAAACGTCTAAGCAACAAACCAAATCCTGAGCTAACCGGAGCATTGGCTGAACCCTGTCGAAGATGGGAAACAACCAACTTCTACAGAAAGAGAAGGCACTCGGCGAGGACAGAAGCTACAGCTCAAACCCGATCCACCTCTGTTTCGAGGCAGGGATCATCAAGAGGAGCTAATCGCCAGAGAAGCTTTCTAGGTTCACGGCGAATCAAAGGTAAAAATCTTAGAATAAGAGAAACCGGCGAAATCGGGTGCCGTGGAGCTACACCGACAAACGAAGAGGATCTTCGCCGCTGGAAATCGAGGGCAGAGGAGGCGAATCTGGCGTGTCGCGAGGGAAAGTAGATCTTGATTCCGACGCTGCCTTTAGCCGTCGACTAGCCGCAGGAGAACGACGGAGGAGCACCCATCCACCAAGAAGGCCAACACACACGGCGGATCTCCATAGCCCACACCGCGAGATTCAGACAAACTCAAGAGACGGTGAAAACAAAGCTGCAACAGGATCAGATCTAATCAGATTTTGAACAAACGAGGGAGCCCTCTCGCGGTGCCGGTCGTGACCGGTCACCGGAGAGGCGAGCAACACAACGGCGGAAGACAATTTTTTGAGATCTAGGTTTTTGAGAATCGCCGCGCGTGGCCTTCACGCGCCCGATTCTTTTGGTTTCACAAATGGTGGCCATTCGTTCTTTCTTTTTCTTCGCCCACAAAAAATAAATAAAACCTCGTGAATTTCCGGTTGTAACAGCCAGTTAATGGTGGCCACCGGCTCGTAACTATAGTCAATCCTCAATAGTCGTCTCACTAAATATGTATAATAACCAAACTAGCAAAAAAACCTATTTTAAAAACCCAAATGGTACAGATACAAATAATAGTTGTTTCCAACTAATTTCGGGCAAGTGATCTTATATTAAAACATCAACTAGTAGACGATCCGCGCAAACGCACGGTGTAACGTTGCAGTTTTGTGAAAAAATCTAAATTATTTAAACCAATCCGACCCAAAAACCCTAATCAAAAGTAAAAAAAAAAAAACAAACCCAAACCTTTTTAATATGTCTAAACCCGAACACCCGAAATCCAAAAAATCCCGAAAACCCTACACCGAATAATAAAACAACTCGAAACTTTTTTCATCTGAACCCGACCTAAAAACCCTAATAAAAGTTTTAAAATACCCAAACTTTTTTAATATGTCTAAACCCGAAAACCCTGAACTAAATAAAAAAAAACTCGAACTCAAACCGAACATAAATTTTCAAAAAAACCCGAACAGAAATCCACAATTTGATTATCATTCGATCATATTCTATTGATTTGGTGTTATTGATAGTTTATGTTATTTTTTTTTTTTTGCAGATTTAAGAGCTGAAAAACGGAATTTTTCTAAACCATCAGTTTGTTTTAAGTTATTATTCTTGTATCCTAACAATATTTTTCATTTATTCTTCTATCCAAATAGATTTTCTTCTTATTCTTATATCCAAACAATTTTTTTTTCCATTTATTCTTCTATCCAAATAAATGTTTCTCTAATTCTTGTATCCAAACATTAGAATTTACTTCTCAATTAATAATATAAAGATAGTTTCGATTAACTAGGGTATTCCACATTTTGTTCGTTTTTCAATTTTAATAATTAAAGGGTATAACTGTAATTTTGACAACGTCTTCTTCCCCGATTCTCCAGTCTCCACCTTCTGCAACCCTAGTTTTTGCGGTGACCTGCAACAATTTTTCTGCGTTTTTAGTAGTTTTCTTAGTAGATTTCTAAATCAGATGTATATTAATCTATCCCAAACTAAAATATCCAATTAAACTCAAATTATTTCAAAATTCTCCAATTTGTTTGTCGATCTAAGGCTTGGCGGCTGCAAAGATCAGGTTTTCGAACAGAACAGAAGGAAGTTCCGTCGCGTTTCCGTTTTGGAATCGGACGTTTCCACCACGGTTCCAAATGGAGTATTTCAAGAAACGCATTTCCATGCGTTTCCGTCGCTTTTCCGTTTCCAAAACGTTTCGAAACGCGAAACCCATAGTGACTAGCATTTTCGTGCAACGTAGTTATCCACATACCAAGTTTATTTTATATATATGATTACAAAATTAAAGTGAATACATCTTTATATTATTAATTGAGAAGTACATTCTAATGTTTGGATACAAGAATTAGAGAAACATTTATTTGGATAGAAGAATAAATGGAAAAAAAAATTGTTTGGATATAAGAATAAGAGGAAAATCTATTTGGATAGAAGAATAAATGGAAAATATTGTTTGGATACAAGAATAATAACTTAAAACAAACCGATGGTTTCGAAAACTTCCGTTTTTCAGCTCTTAAATCTGCAAAAAAGAAAAATTAACATAAACTATCAATATTACCAAATCAATAGAATATGATCGAATGATAATCAAATTGTGGATTTCTGTTCGGGGTTTTTTTTAAAGTTTCTGTTCGGTTTGAGTTCGAGATTTTTTTGACTTAGTTCAGGATTTTCGGGTTTAGACATATTAAAAAAGTTTGGGTATTTTAAAATTTTTATTAGGGTTTTATGTCGGGTTCAGATGAAAAAGTTTCGAGTTGGTTTATTATTCGGTTTAGGGTTTTCGGGATTTTTTGGATTTTGGGTGTTCGGGTTTAGACATATTAAAAAGGTTTGGGTTTGTTTTTTTTTTAATTTTGATTAGGGTTTTTGGGTCGGATTAGTTTAAAATTTAGATTTTCTTCACAAAACCGCAACGTTACACCGCGCATTTGCGCGGGTCGTCTACTAGTGATTCATTAATTTAAACAAGTGTTTTATCTATATTGGATATTGGAAATTAATTTTTTTCTTTCTATTTCTTAAATAAAGGAGTCAGAGATTCTCTTCAATTCAAAAAAGAAGATGGAAAAAACCCTAGTTCGGTTCTATCTTAGTTGTTCGACCACACTAGACTTTTTGATCTCCAACACAAAGCCTAACTCGTGGCTATGAAAACCAATAAGATTTTCAATTTCCTTTGTAATTTCTAAACGATATTTTTAAAATAATTTTTATTAAATATGCGGGTTATATTGCGGTTTAATTCGAACTTGATGGGTTGATATGCATTTTTCTAGAGTCAAGAGTAAATTTGCAAACAAAAACCATTTGAAGGGTTAATTTGCAGAAAACCCTAAAATAATACTCGATAAAATAATAAACACTTTAAGATAATAAATTTCTCTAGTCCCAACTCGGGCCATGTAAAAAATAGCAAAATATGATAAGATAATAATATTTTTGAAACTGTTATATAAAAATATAGTCCCAACAATAAGTTAAAATAATAATTATAAAACTTAGGCATATATATCTAAGGCAATTTAGTAAAATATGACTCTAATGTAGTTTGTATTTTCTGAAAGTTGGATTCTCGTCGGAACTCATCTCGGATTTTTCTTATTGCATCAACAATTTCTGGTGGGGTGTTCTCAACATGCAGCCAAAAGTTGTGAAGAGTTATCGAAACCACAATTGTTTCCTTATATAACAAAGTATAAGGAAAAATGAATAAAAAAAGTGAAAAAAATATATAAAATTTCTTAATTTTGATAGAATATTTCTATAAGATAATAATTCTTATTTTATCGATAAAATAATAACTCTATAAGATAATAAATTTTCAAATTCCCAACATTATTATTTTATAGAGGTTTTACTGTACAGTTGACTGAAGGACTTTGCGTATCCGTCAAGAAGTAGTACAAAGAGTCGTGTTCAGCAAAACTAAAGGGCTTAAGGAATCGATCTGATGGGCTGGACATTTGCTTTTAGCTGAGGAGGCGAGTCTAGAAGATTCTAGAAGAGCCAAGAGCTAAGTTGGACGAAGAGATTCGAAGCTATCAAGAAATCAGGAATATTTCCTTTTCCTAGAGAAAAATAAGGAAAGAGATATTCTCAAGAAGATTTGGAGTGATCTCTAAGGAGAAACCTTGTATGCCTATTGTGGATAAATAGGACATGTAGAGCATTGGATGTGCTCAACCCATTATATTCGAAGATGCCTTAGCAAAGGTTTTGGAGTTCTAGTAGGAAGACCAAACAAAGGGTTAAAAGCATTGTTTAAATGTATCTATCTAGAAGAGAATGGTAGACATTGTAGTGTTGGATACCATAGCAATTATAATTGCAATCTTGTTCAAGTGGATTTAGACGAGATCCCAGAGATGTAGAAAATAAACCCCATTAATAATCTCTGTGTTTTTTTACTACTATTTATACTTCTACTACTTTCTGTATCATTCACAGTCTGCATGGGTATCTCCTTGCACTTTTAACATAGTTCTGGTGGAGAGTACCGATATGGAAAAAGCACCATCGGAAACAGCCTGCTCGGTGAAAAACTGTTCATATCCAAAAAATGGGGAGGAGGTGTTACCACGAGATGTAAGATGTATAGAGTTGCGATACAAGATGGGCCAATTGTTGACTATTTCATTGTTTTTACTGGCGGTGACGAGTTAGAAGAAGACAACTACACATTGGACGATTATTTGCGTGACAGTTGTCCTACTTTTTTGGCGGTTTGTTTGCTTTCATTACGATCTTCACAATTGTTTTTCCAGTGCAACAGTTAGTGTATCTACACGTCTCGTTTTTATTTTAATTGGATTAGTAATGATTTTTCAGAGAATCCTCAGTCTCTGTGTCGGTCGAAAGTTCCTGTTTGATAACAGGACTAACGATAAAGACAAAAAGGCTGAGCAAATCAAGCAGCTTCTTTCTCATGTAGCATACTGTATATTGGAAAGAAAAACGGTGTCCACCGTATACCAATAAGTTACGCCAAAATCATATTAGTATTTGCAAAGTGATTTTTTTAATAGAACCACCACATTAATTTTCAGCTGTGAAATTATTGAGATGCTCTTAATGAAAATCTATTACTAAATCTTTTGATTTTCCTTTTTAAATTATTTCACAATTTCATTTTTTCTTATATAAATTATTTCACAATTTTGTTTTTATATAAAAATTCATTATTTTTTTTATTAAATATTGATAATTATCATTTTCTTTAAAAAACTTCAACTGGTTTGGGATTTGCTATTTCTTATATAACCGAAATTTGTTACATCCTCTCAATCACACAATAATGTTAATATTTTATCTCTTAATTTTCAGGTAAATATAGTTGGAGAAGAGATGCAACACAGCCCCACACTTATATTGTTTTTCATACTTAATGATTCATAATCATTTATGTGACTGATTGATTGAACATGTTATTAAAAATACATATTAGTTTCTTAGATCTCAAATCTTGGTTACTCCTTCTACATGATTAAGTGTTTGTGCTTTTGACTTACAAGTTTCAGTCTAGAAAGTCAACCTTACATCCTTCGTAAGAGTGGAGAAAATAAAGAAATCCAGAGGATAAGAAAGAAGAAAATAGAAGAAGGAAAAGATGAAACAAAAAAAGAATGAAAATTAAATTAAGATGTTAGATAAATAAAATAATTAAACGGTGGAAAAGAAAAACACGAGAGTAACCTCGATGAAGGAAGTCTCATCCACACGATTATCCTCTTTCTAATCTTCATGGCTGTTGAAGTTGTAGATAGAGCCCAAAAGCCTCAAAAACATAAAATAATGCTAGAAGGCTGCTATTCCCTTTAACGATGCCAACTTTGCGAAAATGTACTTGTGGAATTTTTTTTTTTTTTTTTCTGGCATATCCATCTTTCATCCGTTAATTTTTCAAAATGTCTATCTATTTGTACTTTTATGGATCAAAGTGGATTCCAAATGCCAAAAGCCTTAAGTGCCCGTTTATGTGACTTGAGTCGCACATAAAATTTGAAATTTTAAGCCTGCGAAATGTGTAAGAAACAAAAAAGCATGCTAACCTGGAAATAATGTAAGAAAAGTAATCATTACCAATAAATTTAGATGGGATTAATTATCTTATATATAATTAGAGAGTGCTCTCTCCTCCTAAGTTGTCCACATCAACAATTTTAACATTAAGTTATAATTAAAATACTCATTTAATACATAACAATTTATATTAATTGGTATTTTTATTTAACATAAAAATTGTAAGTTCAATCAAATATAAAAATATGTGGCCCAAAAGAAAATATCAAATACAAAAATCTAACTAAATAAATAGCAAAATAGTATTTTTTTAATTAGATAAAATTGTATTTTTTGTTGTTACCAAACATGTACTTTTATTTGTCCTATTTATTTTTTTAATGTAATTGCATTGATTCGCATCACACATGACTATTTTAATATAATAGGTATTCAAGAATCAGTACATGAAATTTTACTGAATTTGAACGAGATTGATTTTTTTTTTTTTTTGTCAACAGTCTAAGCTCCTAAGCCGGACCGGAAAGCGGAACCGGTGAAACAAAGATGAAAATAGTATATAAATAGTATATAAACGAGATTGATTTCAAAGTTAATAGTATACAAATATTTTTGTAAGATGGAAATATGTAAAATGAGTATAAAGATGAAAATAAATTACAATATAGTAAAAAAAAATCTTATTTTATAAAGACCAAATTAATGAATAACCCAAAAAATGAAGAAATATAACATTTTAAAGCAATATTAAGTTTCCGAAAATAGAAAGCTGGAGATGATGTATGCAGTTGACATCTTAAAATTTAAAAAAAAAAATTGAATATATCATATAAGCGGTTGGATTAACTCAAAATATAAGCAATACATTCAACACAAAGTCATTATAATTCAAAACAACAAATATAAATAAAATAAAATAGGAAAATTATCGCAAACAACCCTGCACTTGCGCGGGGCTTCAATCCCTAGTGTTATACAATATTGAAAGAGGTGATCAATTGATAAACAAACGAAGCATACATGCACGCATCAGATGATAATGATAGAATTCAGACACACATACGTGCCTTACTTTTTGGGACGAATTGCAACACCCTTGACAATGAGCCCTTTCCTGCAAAAGCCCTTGTTCTCATACATGGAGAACTTGAACTCTCCGACACACTCTGGCAATGTCACGAACTCACCGGCCATTATAGTTACCCACCCTTTCCCTACATGCTCATTCAAGTTCACAGTTCGTTCTTGAGTATAGGTGGGCAAGACGAGCTTCATGTTCACCGGTACATCCCATCCAGAAGCTGATTTTCTTAACTTTATCACGTACATAACCTCGTAATGTGTCAATGGTGTAAGTTCTCTCGTGTGAAACGTTCCATTCACTTCGAACCACCATATAGTTAAAAGCTCAGCAGCTTCAACGAGGGCATTGCTTCAAAAATGAAAAGCAAACAATTTTGTTATATATATGTACAGGCGCGATCAGAAAAAACTATATATGTACAGGCAGCTGGTGATTTGAGGCGATATTAGAAAATGGGGCATATGTTTAGAATTAAAGGGATTATTATATACAGTTCAAAATTTTCTTAGCGGAGAATGTTTTTGCGTATAATTCTAAATTACTAAGGTGCTGTAGATATTGGGTTAATAGTTGTGTGATTGGAAGGTGCTGTAGAAGCTGTGGAGAGATAAACAAATTGTGTACGGTCTTAAATTTGGTGTAAAGTGGTTTTGTATTCAGTGCATAGAAGTTTCCGGTTTTCTTAAATTTGAAGGTCTTTCAGATATTTATCCAAAAAAAAGAAGAAGGTCTTTCAGATAAACCAAGATTTTAGTCGATGTATCTCCTTCTCTGATTGATTCAGATTTTACGATACAGTTTGGCTTGGATTGGTTAAACAAGGTGACACTCACACAGTCCCATTATAACAAGTTTATAGAAAATATTAACCTTAAAGGCTTTACCTTGATATCTCGTCGTACTCCAGAGCAACCCAAGACCAATGCTCGCTTTCATTCGAGCCGGCGATAAAAAGATTCCTTGCGTAGACCATTCCTTTCTGTTAATAAATTATAAGTCTCAGTTTATGATCCAACAAATTAAACATTAAGTAGGAGGCATATTTGATTCAGTCTGCTGCTAGCTACAACCTTCTTAGGCTCATTCCTTTGCTGTTCCTTGAGCCGACTCTCCTCCTCCTGGGAAATCGAAGATTTTAAACATTTAATATCATTTTATGAAGGCAATATATGAATTTACCGCCAGTTGAGCTTCCGCGATGAGTTTAGATTCAATCACCAAATTTTGTTCCCTCAACTTTTCATTTTCTTCCTGAAAAAATAAAAACAAAAAAAACACCTACGATAAGTAAAAATCAATGTACACCTGATTTTTGGATTAAGACAAAACATGAGAAAATATAATGCGGTGATTTGCTACAATAGTAAACAAGTCTTCCCAAAATAAAATGAATTTACCGCCAGTGCAGCCAACTCCTTGTTTTTCTCCTCTTCCATTTGCAATTTCTCTTGCATCGCCGCTAGTTCTGCATCTGCAAGGATTTTAGATTCAATCGCCATTTCTTGTTGCCTTACCTTTTCATTTTCCTCCTAAAAGGAAAAATTTCGATAATTATAAATCTATGTACAATAATAGCAATTTCTAAGAGAAAAATAGTTTGTCTGTGATACCATGACAACTGAAGAAAGAGGCAGGATTAGATAGTTTATTTGATGTTATTTGACATGTTTTTTGTTTTTTTGTTTCTATCACTTTTACAATATTGTGGTAGTTCAAGATCATGTGTATAATTCCCTCCGATGTCTAGAGTCAGTCGTTTGATATTCCGATTTCAAGAAGGGTAATTCTCCAAAATTAACAATTTTGAAGTTTCTATTCCAAAAATTCCTTTCATGAGTTTTTCCAAAATATTAGTGTGAAATTGAACATAAATAATGATACAAAATACTCCCTCCGTTTCATAATAAGTGCCGTTTTGATAAAATGAATATGGACTATTTATTGATGTATCTGGATGTGTTTTGAGTTTTAATACATCTCTATATATTTAAATACATTGGGTATGTCAAGAGTCAAAACAACACTTATTATAAAACGGAGGGAGTATTATATTTCTTAGTCAAAGAAATCTAAACCTCTGGAAAAGTGAACCTAAACAATTAAACATAATACATGTCACCAACTAGAGCCTTAATGTTCTGTGTAATATAATTAGGGGTAAAAATATATTTTCACAAGATAATTTGAACTACCTTTGGAAGAAAAAAAAGTGATGGGTCTATTTCTCGAAACTTTGGTCAATGCATAACAAGATTTAAACCTACGAACAAGAGAACCAACTTTTTTAATTACCTTTTTTTTTGTCAACAACTTTTTTGATTACCAAGCGATCACCACTTTCGTTACAAAATCCATATAATATACTCCCTCCGTTTCATAATAAGTGTGTTTTGATAAAATGAATCGAAACTATTTATTAACGTATATAGGCTGTAACTGGTGACCAAGGAATGAAGGGGAATTGTTTTATTCCCTCTCATTCCCTAAAATTTACACCATTTACAAGGAATATGTATTCCATAGTATTCCTTATCATTCCATATTAATTAGGGAATTTTAGTGTAAAATTATTCCTTATAAAATATGAGGAGGAATAAGTTCCATATATTTTATTCCTCCTCATTCCATTCATTCTCATTCCTTTTGTTCCTTTACATGTCACCATTTAGAACTATAGAGTTTTAATACATCTAGATATATTGGGTAAGTCAAGAGTCAAAAAGACACTTATTTATGAAGCGGAGAGAATATATATAATTATATAAAGCTAGATACACAATATAAACATAAGCATAACACGTAAAATAATACTAGTTCATCCGATAATGTCATAATGACATGTGTCTAATACTGATTGAAGGATAATGTGTGTTAACATGTAAACTTTATTAAAAAGAATGATAGAAAATAGAAAACTAAAAGAAAAAAGTACCAAGCAACTAATAAAATAATAAAAGGAAATTTTTTAATATAGATGATCAAACTTTATTTTTCATATTTTTGTATTTTATCAACTTAGTGTATAATAGTATATTATAAATGCTGTGTATACGCTATGCTTATTCTAATTTTAAATAAAAGAACTATGATTTGAGATCTTCTAATGGGAGTTTTCTTGTGTAAGATTTTAATGCTATTGTAAATATTTGTACTTTTCTCTTTACCTTTATCTTACGATGCATCTGGTAAGTATACGGGATCCCACCAGTCTGCTTTTCTACATCTGCGACAAGGGCCATAAGCTGCTTAATTTGATCAGCCTTCTTTTCTTTATCCATAGTTCTATTATCAAACAGAACCTTCCGTCCACCACAAAGTCTGAGGGCATTCTGAAAATTTGTAACTAATTCAATAAAAAAAAAACTGAAGGAAAAAGGAGAGATATGTTGAACATGTATTTTTCACTAATTTAGAATGTGAAATCCATGTAAGCGAACTAACCGTCAAAAACTCAGGGCAACCAGCACCGAAATAATCGTCCAACGTCTCCTCCTCTCTTCAAGATCGTCACCGCCAGTGAACACAACAATGAAATAGTCAAGAATTTTGCTGTCGAATATGCACTGCAAGGTATTAAGTGTAGACTCTTCCTCCTGTGAAACTCGAGCCCTCACAGACAGAACAAGCAACACAGCATGTATTCCTTCTTCCGCCATAGTTAAGCAATTGATTATTTCCTTACTTAAGTCTTCGAACACAGCCGAGTCGAACAAACCTGTCTCAACCATATATAGCAAAGTCAGACTTTGATTTAAAGCACAAGCATTATGATTTATGAATATATAGTTTTTTTTTCTTTTTAATTGGGAGGCACGGATTTTTTACTAGAAAATCTAATCTCGAACATATTTCTTTTAAAAAATAACATTTGTGTATAATTTTCTATTGGTAGAAATTCATAACCTTGTTTATAAATAATTTCTATTAAGTTTGGATTTTGTCTAAACAAATTTATTCACTAATCAATAAAAACACATACATTTCATATATGCCAAAGCTTTCTGATAGACATGTTAACTTAGGGTTTCGGAGTAGTTTTAGGATATTTAGTTAATTCAGACGAAGTTTTAGTGAAGCACATACCAGGAGTGTCAATGACATTGATTATCGGGCCATCTTGTACCGCAGTTCTATACATTTCACATTTCATGGTAACACCTACTGCCTGTTTTTTCGTTTTGAACATTTTTTCACCGATGAGGGTGTTCCCGGTGCTGCTTTTTCCATTACCAGTACGGCCTACCAGAACTATGTTTTTTATCGGCTCTGACATATTTGAAGAGGAGCAAAGAAAGGAAGAAGTTGATTAGGGAGTTCCAAATAAACAGAAATGGACAAGTTCACACAGTTGAAGTTTATATACAAGATCGGTTGCGACTTAAAAAGAAAAGACCAAATAGAAAAAAATCGCACGATGAAGAAATGTGAAGAGCACTACTACTTAGTGACGAAATTACGTGTGGATATATAATATTATTATAATAAGTCAAACACATATAAAACTCAAGTGGAAAGGGAAACGGTAAACGTTGAGGTCCCAATTGGTGAAAGACCGTAACTTTAAGCTCTGAGTCTCTGACGATATTGCACAAAACTTCTTTGAAACACTTTGATTGTGTTGTGTTGCATCATTTCTACTTCCACTTGTTCTCCACACGACGTATATAGAAAAATACGAAATTGGACTACAGGTAATTCGAAAGTCAATATAACATTTTCTACAAACAAGTATATTATAAATATATACTAATAAACGTGTTTAACGAATTTACCAAATCAAAAGTCAATATTTTCTGCAGTACTATTCGAAATTAACAACGTAGCCCACTACGTAACCTTATAATGCATGTTCTCTACATATAAATACACGACGTGTCGACGGTACACATTACAAAACTTCCAAGTAAAAACCTTTAAAGTTTAGACCAACCAAAAATCCAGAAGAATGTACGTGGTTCGGTTAGTAATGTTGATCATTCTCGCGTTCTTTGTATCATCAAACGCAGTCTTCGCTCGATCAGTACCATACGGTTACGAATCTCTCCATACAAGTAAGTTACTTGTTGTGAAAAAATCTTCTTTGTCTCTCAATTCGGTTTTCTATTGATCAAAAGTTAGTAATTAATATTTTTCGGTAGAGAAATAGGAGAAGGAGTTTGGGATCAAAAAGTCCTCAAGGAGAGCAAGCAAGTGGGCCCCAGCATATCAAAGCGTGCACCCGGCAAAGGTAGGAGACCACAGGGATTTATTTTCACGGACATCGGAGGTTTTTCAAAGATTTTTTGATTAACATGAACTAGGGATTAAAGCCCCGCGCAAGCGGGGTTGTTTGCGATAATTTTTCTGTTTGATTTTATTTATATTCATTGATTTGAAATTTTGAATTATGATGGTTATATGTTAACTTCCATGTTTTGGTTATATTTTGAGTTAACCCAACAATTAACACTAACAATATGATCAATTTTTTTTATTAAGATATTAACACCTTACTTCATCTCGAGTTTTCTATTTCTAAAATTTAATATGCATTTGACTCAACGTTAAAATTTGTAAACATGGTGTAGAATCGCAATTGCACTCAAAATATGATGAAAAACAAAAACATGTATAACTTCTTACATATATGCTTTGTTGTGGTAGCATATGACAATTGATTATTTTCTATTATGTTAGTTTTGTAAATATAAATTGTATTTTTGAAACAAACATGTCACCATTCTTAAAATTTTCATACTTTTCGTTGCAATGAAATTTAAATAATAACTCGACTTCTATTTTTTAATAAAACAAACTCTAACTCTAATTTTTTATTAGCTTTTTACTATGTTAAATAATTTATATTGTACCTTTTTTACTTGTAAGCACATTATAACATTTTTAAATAGGATAAATCCTTTGAGTTAAAACCTAACTATATACTATTTCAAGTTAAATATTTCTTTATTTCATCTCCATTTTATATTACAACTTTCTTTTAACTTTTAACATCAAGATATCACATACTTTATATTAATCAATTAAATTGTTTGTGTATTTTTCTTAGTTTTGTTTATGTGTAAAATAGGAATATATATAAAGAAATATTAATACACATATATTAAATATCTTAAATACAATTAATGATTTTTTTGCTGATGTGGATAGCCTAGGAGGAGAGAGCAACTCTCCTATTATATATAAGATAAAAATGTAACGTCTCGGGGAGGCATTGTTCCAATAACTCATTTAATTTATGTAACAATTACCTCTATCAAATTTATATAAAAGTAAATATGATTAATCCATTTGTGAAAATCTGTTTCACCCCTTTAAATTTTCTTCTTGAATTATGTGAGCGAATGATTTTAGTTGACGAAAAGATTATAGTTATATCTTCTCATGATTGTAAAGAACTTTTTTTTTCTTTCTAATCAACACAAAATTTTACTTTTACAGTTTTACTACATGAAGAGAAAGTAAAACTGTGTTGTTCACAATCTCTCAACGTCACGAGAGATCTGGTTATCTCTGGCTGAACACTTCAACCAGAGCTCTTTGGCTCGTCAGTTTGCTCTCATACGCCTGCAGTTTCTGACCAAAAGAAAAGAAGATGGGAAACGTTAAAAAGAAGAAGAAAATTCGAACATGAGGAAAAAAAAATCAAAGAAGAAAAATGGAATGTGAAGAAAAAAAAAGAAAACGACGAGATAAATGAAAAGTAGAATAAAATGATGTCAGAGAAGACGAAAATTATAAAGATAGAGAGAGAGATGGAGAATGAGTAAGAAGAAAAAACGGAAAAAGAATGTAAATAAAATTAGAAAAATAAAGAAGAATAGTGAGTTAGATGATATGAAGATACAAGAAATGATTGAAGAAAAAATTTGGGAGAAGAAGAAGAAATAAAATGATGTTGACAACGAATAAAAATTGGAAGAAAAAGAAGAAGATGGAATCACTAGAGAAGAATAAGAGGGAGAAGAAAACAACCACTACAAAAAAAAACATGGGTCTACTGAAAAAAAAATAAAAAAAATAAAAGTAAATCCAGAACCAATTTGTAATGTGGGTTCAGATTATGGAGGGGGGGGGTGTTATAATGTAGGTTTGACATAAAGAAATAGATAAACAACTAGATTATTTAATTTTTTTTTCAAATGATATCGATAAAATAAAAAAATTGTGTACTCTTAAAATATCATGTGAAAATTTGTACAACAACAACAATTACAACAAATTAAGCAAAATAATATTCATTAAAATTGAAAAAAGTTGTCTATTATTATGTAATTATGGTGTACTGTATGTATGTGCGGGTGTATATCACTATATTTTAGGGTTAGGGTTAGGGTTAGGGTTTAATTGGTGGGTATAGGGTTTAGTTTGTGCGTCTTTTAAATTCTTAGTTCTTGAAAAACTTTACGGATAATGGAAATAGCTAAACAACTAAATTATTTAATATTTTGTTCAAATCATATTAATAAAAACATTGCGTATTCTTAAAATATCATGTGAAATTTTGTACAACAACAACAATTACAACAAATTAAGCAAAAGAATATTCCATTAAAAATTGAAAAGAGTTGTCTATTATGTGGTTATAGTGTATTGTATGTATGGGGGTTTGTTTATTGTAGGGTTAGGATTAGGGTTTATATTGGTCAGTGTAGGGTTTAGTTTTTTGTGTGTTTTTAAAATCTTTAGTTCATGAATTTTTTAAGGATAAAGAACTAGATAAACAACTAAACTATTTGATCTTTTTTTTTTTCAAATTATATCGATAAAATAAAAAAATTGTGTATCCTTAAATATCATGTGAAAATTTGTACAACAACAACAATTGCAACAAATTAAGCAAAAACATATTCCATTATAATTGAAAAAAATTGTCTATTACGTGATTATGGTGTACTGTATGGAGGGGGTGTATATTGTAGGGTTAGGGTTAGGGTTTTTATTGGTGGGTGTAGGGTTTAGTTTGATGTGCGTTTTTTAAATCCCTAGTTCTTGATAATTTTTAAGGATAAAGAAAATAGCTAAACAACTAAATTATTTAATATTTTTTCAAATCATATCTCTAAAATAAAAAAATTGAGCATTCTTAAAATATCATGTGAAATTTTGTACAACAACAACAATTACAACAAATTAGCAAAAAGATATTCCATTAAAATTGAAAAGAGTTGTCTATTATGTGGTTATGGTGTATTGTATGTATGGAGGGAGAGGTGTTTATTGTAGGGTTAGGGTTTAGAAGGTAGGGTTTATATTGGTGGGTGTAGGGTTTAGTTTTTTGTGCGTTTTAAAAATCTTTAGTTCTTGAAAAATTTTAAGGATAAAGAAATAGATAAACAACTAAATTATTTAATTTTTTTTTCAAATCATATTGATAAAAGAAAAACAATGGGTATTCTTAAAATATCATGTGAAAATTTTTATAACAACAACAATTACAACAAATTAAGCAAAAAATATTCCATTAAAATTGAAAATACTTATCTATTATGTGATTATGGTGTACTGTATGTATGGGGGGAGGTGTATATTGTAGGGTGTGTATATTGTAGGGTTAGGGTTTTTATTGGTGGGTGTAGGGTTTAGTTTTATGTGTGTTTTTTAAATTTCATAATTCTTGAAAAAGATTAAAGGATAAAAGAAATAAGTAAATTAGTACTGATTCAAATGATTGACCAGTTAAATTCAGATAGATTATACAATTATAAGTTTTAGTTGACCAATAATTTTGTGAAAAATTATTTGTTTACTCTAACAAAATTACATATAAAATAAAAACATTTAAAAACAAAAGCGAGAAATAAAACAGAGAAGAAATATAAAAACTAAAAGAACAGAAAGAAGAAGAAGATGACGAAGACAACGACGAATAAAAACCGAAAATAAGAGAAGAAAACAAATAAGACAAAGACGCTAAAAATGTTAAGAGAAGACAAAGACAATAAACAAAAAAGAGGCGAAAATTGGGAATAAAAAAGATGAAGAAAAAATAAAAAAAGATTAACAGAGGATATGAAAATGATACAAAAAAAATGAGAATATAAGAAGAAGAAAATTTTGAGAAAAAAAAAGAAGAAGAAAAATAAAAATGGATATGGTTTTTGAAAGAAAATAAAATGATGGATATGTTGTAGATGACACGAAAAAGACGGATATAATCATTATAATTTTATCCACTACATTAATAAGTTAAGCATATTGAAAATTTTGAAAGAAAATAAAATTTTATGAAATTTGGTTAATATAGTGCATAAAGTAGTCTTCCAAAACATTTACTTTAATTTTAAATTTGTATTATTTTAAACATAATTATTGAATTTCTTAAAGGAGAATTTCCACATATAACCCGAAATTTGCTTTTTTTCTATAACCATAACCCGAAACTTGAAAGTATTGCAAAACTAACCTGTTTGGGTAGCGAAATTACAAAGGTCACCCTCATGAACAAACAAAAAAAATTTGCCGCGATTACCAAATTAACCCGGAGCGTAGGTCTACGCTTGCTGTCTACATATAGACTTTTATAGTCGGTCTACCTTGTATTTTAATTTTATATTTTAATTGGGAAAAACAAAAAAAACATTTTGATGAAACCATTTGCATACATAAATCATAAATAGTAATTTGCATCTTGGAAAATTATAATTGCATACAAATGAGTCAAATTAAACTAACATAGGCAAATTAGTTTGGAAAGCTGTAAAAACGTAAGAGGTCTACGGTTTAATTAAATGAAACTTTTAATTTATAAAATAAATAGAAAATATTTAGATGAAAAATTTGTATTCATAAACAAGACAAAGACAATTAGAGTCCATATAAAATAAACATACATGTTAATAAGTGAATTTAGGTTGACAAAAACAAATTAGGTTAGAAACTTGCAAAACCGTGAGAGGTCTAACAACGAGGTCTACAGGAAAATGAAATCTTAAAAATAATTTTTAAAATTGATAAAAAATAATTTGATAAAAAACTTGTATGCATAATTAATTCTTATACATTTGACATCTATTGAAAATAAATTATACGAAAAATGAATCAGTCTATAAATGTCATGAGTAAATGTTTCAAATTGATAAGAGTTTGGATAGATAGTTTAGGGTTTAGTTGTCCAATTCTTAGGGTTTAGATAGTTTCAATTTGTATTTTTGTTTTTGGTTGGTTTTTTTTCTATATTTAATTGTTTTGTTATCCAAACCATAAATATTGTAAATGGCAAACAAAATTTGATATTTGGTTCATGTTTTTTATAAAATTTGTGGTTTAGGGTTATGTAGACCTCAGTTGTAGACCGCGAAAACAAACAAATGCGGGAATTTCAAAATTTTTAAAAGAACCGAGCGGGAATTATGAGCGCGAACCAAAATTTCAAATTCTCTTAGACCGCAGTACTAGACCGCAGCTCCCTCATCCTCCGGCCGCTGTTCTCATCCGTCTTCTTTGCCGCCGTCGACAGTATCAAGTGTTCCGGCGATCGTATTGGTTAGGTTTGCTTCTATTTCATTTTGTGGGTGAGATCTGGTCATTGAATAATTACTGTTTTTTAAAATAACTGATATCTTCTCATCGTACACAGGAATGGGGCGCTTTAGCTGGTTAACGGAGGGTTCGAGTAGCTCTGACCAGCTGGCTACTCGAAGCTCTGCTAGGGTAGTCAGTAAGGACGAAGAAGATGTGAGTTCTCATACCAGTCGAGATATAAGCTATGGAATACCGAGCAGATGCTACTGCGGTTTGTTAACTCCGCTGAAAATGATGGACCATACGGACGAGCATCCAGGGCGGATGTTTTTTGGATGCAAGAATTATAAGGTAATGTTAACTGTAAATAGTTTTCGACATCTTATGTGGCTTTGTTTTACCAAAAATATTGAAGAGATTCGTTTTTTTCATCATTGTAGCTTGGTTTCCCACATCTTATGAAATGGTGGGACGAGGCTATGATGGAGGAGTTTCTACAACTCAAATGGGCCGTCGACAACCCTCGTTTTGGCTTTCGCCAACCTGAATCTGAAGAACGCGAAACCTTGCTTCGGACTGAGGCAGAGTTAACTGATGTGAAGAACCAAGTTCTGAAGATGAAGCGTTTAAGAAGAGTCGAGGTGACGACGGCGGTTACTGTAATTGCCGTGCTTGTCTGTCTCATTAGCTACTTTGTGTTTGGTTGTTGAATGTAGCTATGTTGTGTTTGGTTGATGAATGTAGCTATTCGGGTTGAAACACTTAATTTGGTTGTGCGTATTGCAAATCATCGTATTCCTAATCAGAGACCTCTTACGTAGAACTCCAAATAGACCTCATACGTAAACCTCAGACGTAGACCTCAAACGTAGACCTCAAACGTATACACTGTGATTGAGACCTCTAAACACTAATTTAACCGTTAGGACTATAAAGTTGGGAATAAAGTTATATGAAAAGAGGAAACCGTAATTTAACCGTAAACACTAAGAAATCAGAAAAGATAAACCCAAATCGAATGGAAAAATTAGTCGAGTATAGTTAAACCGATTCAGTTAATTCGAACCGAAGAAAACCAAGTTAAACCATTTAACCGACATATATATACGGAAAACCGCTGTGGTAAGCCTCATTCGTAACCCTAATCTGTGTCTGACCTTTCGCTCTCCGCTAGAGGCGATTTCGTTGTCTCCGCCGAATACACAACCGCCGTCTCCGCCGATTACACAACCCGCTGTCTCCGCCGATTACACAACCCGCTGTCTCCGCCGCTTACAGAACCCGCTGCCGCCGGTAAGTTCTTCATTCTAGTGAAATTCTAACTACTTTAAGTTTATTTCCCACTGAGAGTTCTTTGGCCTTTGCATGTGGTGGTTTAATCCGTAATCCTTACTCCTTACTCCGCCGCGGTCTAATCCTTAATACTTCACCCCGTAAGTCTCGTTTCCGACATTGATTTCACGGGTAATTTTGATTGAAAAATTGCTATTATTACGAAACTCGATATGGTAATACTCCTTCTGTTTAAAAAACTGTATCAGGTTTCCAGATCTTCGTTGGCGTTAGGCGTTGGGATTTCGCGAACAACAGGTATCTTAAAACCGTTTTTTAATGTTGTATTGTAGACCGCTGTCGTAGCCCTCAGTGATAGCCCTCAGTCATAGCCATCATACTTAGACTGTAGTTGATAAGTAAATGTAGACCTCGAGCTTAGACCTCCTTGGTAGACCTCAACTGATTGGACTTAATAGCTTCTATCTTTTTGTAGGATGTCAAAGCCGACATTCCCCAGGAGATTCTACACCAAAGGAGGCGATCCGGACGCAGGGAAAAGCATTTCCAGGTGTAGCAAGAACACCAAGCTCTTCGATAGTCTCCGAAAGCTCCTCACCGACGACGAATGGAATGAAATCAGTGACTCCAGGATTGGTATCTTCCTAAAGTTCCGTGACCTTCAATTCGAGTGGGCTTCACGGATTGCGCATGCCATGCTCTGTTTCCAGGTTGTATGCAAGAAGAAGTATGAGATATGGAGCGCTGTGGGGGCAAATCCGATAAGATTCTCATTGCACGAGTTCTCAGCCATCACCGGCCTCAACTGCGAGTATGTTGAGAACCTAGAGACACCTGATGCTCCAGCAACGGATGCCGTGTGCGAGTTCTGGGAGAGGTTGGGTGTCAACGTCGAGGTAGGGCCTAGCATTGACCAGCTGGCTGAAGCTTGTGAGTGGGCAGGCGAGTGGCCAAGGGAGGATAAGCTTAGATTGGGCTACCTAGCCATATACGCAGGCTTCATTCAAGCCCGTAGATCCGCTGCCGAGACACCTGTCAAGCTAGCTAGGCTTGTGTTGGATTTGGAGAAGTTTGAGGAATACCCGTGGGGCCGAGTTTGTTTCTTGCAGCTCATCAAGTCCATTAAAGGAGTGGATTTGGAGAAGTCGGGTTATGTGCTGGAGGGTTTCATCGAGGTTCTCCAAATTTGGGCTTTTGAGAGCATGCCGAATTTTGCAGAGAAATACGGTGCTCCTCTGCCATCTAAACCATCACCACCGCTCCTTGCGTACAAGGGTATTCAAGGCAAAAGGTACATCGCGGAGGCAATGCTGAAGCAGGTAAACATAAATCTGAGAATCGAGTACTTGCTGGCAAGTAGTAGTTAGTAGATAGACCTGGACTCATTTTGTTTTGTTTTTGCAGGTTGTTTTTAAAAACTGTGAGCTAGTCGATAGGGAAGAAGTTTATCCACGCTGGGATGATGATGTAGAAGATTTGTACGTCGACAACCTCATCAAGGCAATCTACGGGGAGTTAGGTGGTCGGTGGAGGTGGAAGCCAAGCGACTGGGACGAGGAAGGTGTCTTGGTCTCCAATCACCCGCGAGTGGACGTGAAGCCTCCAATAAAAGTGGAGGCTAGTTTCACAGATTCGAAGAAGAGACCTCGTCCTACTCCTCCATCGAACTATGATGATATCGAGGAGACGATGCAGAGGTTGATTTCTGACTGCACCCGGACCTTGTCTGCTGATCTGAAGGCAGGGTTCCAGAGTATGACCGGCAACTAGCTGCACTTACCTCGACAGTTGCTGGTCTGGAGCGTAGTGTGAAGCAGCTGATGGATGTAAGGCTTCAGGAGCAGCGTAGATCCGACGATCCCTCTCCCAAAAAAGATGAAACCGGCGCCAAAGAAGATGAGACCGGCGCCAAAGAAGATGTGACCGGCGCCAAAGAAGCTAAAACTGCTCAACCGGTTAGTACTGATCCCTCTCCCAAATCTCCCAACTCTTCTAAAGTGCAAGATAAGCGTAAAGTGCAAGTTAAGCCTGTCCAGGATAGGGTCCTTCGACCTAGAAAATTGAAGACCAAGTAGAGCCCAATCCGTTGTTTTTTTCAATCTATAAACACAAACTTGTCACGTTTTTCTTTCCTTGCAAATCATGTGTGTAATTTTAATGAACCTGTTTACTTGACTTACAATAAATGTTCCGAGAGTGTTTGTGCCTATTTGTTGTGGTCTGAATTGTTTTTCAAACTCAAATTGTCCTCAAATGCAGAACCAAAACGCCGGTCCATCAAACAGTGCTAACCGGGACGACAGCAGCGTCGCATATGTTAAGACCTATGTGCCAAGCAAAGAAGAATGCCTAGCAGACATCAGGAAGAATCAGCGAAAGTTCAACGCGAAACTAATGAGTATCAGGGCTAAGGATCAGAGGGAAAGGAAACTGGCCCCATCTCAAAAGTCTCCGTTCGTGGGAAACGTTACGGTTAAGGAGCTCATACGTAACAAGAAGCAGCGCTTAGCGGTCTACAATCCGTATCTGCCCGAAGACAAGAATGTTCGGAAGGAACTAACGGCGTTCCTGAAGTCTACAGCGTAAGTAACCCTCTGGAAAACTTCTTTATAATTCCGATTATTGTGATTAGTATACTAATTACACACTTTTGCTTTAGTGGGTATCCAAAGCTTGACAAGGATAAGTTTCCCGTGTGGTATTGGTGGTGGGAACTCATTACGCAGCCGCAATGGCTATCGGACTCGGTAAGCATTAGTACACCATTTAGAGAGGTCTATGTTTAGACCGCATGAGTAGACCTCTGTCATAATTCTCTTTTGTAGACCGCATATTGAGGTTTAGTGTAATTGTAATGCAATATTCAATCTTTTTCTTTTCATCAGCACATGGACGCGGTCATCAATCTGCTGCGGCTCAGAATGAAAGAACAACCGCACAGCTTTAGAAGTGACAGGCTTTGTCTCATCGATAGTGGTCTTAGTCTGTTTTGGACGGCAAAGTATGACGATTTCAAGAAGTCTGAGCCTAATGTCTTTGGACTTGGGAAGTACCTCCCACCTGACTCACTTGACTACTTCCAAGGCACGAAACCAGAATTCTGCCAGACGAATAAACGATGGTGCAGGGACATTGACGACCTATATCTCCCGTTTAACATTGGGAAGAACCACTGGGTTGCTCTATTCATCTCCTTACCGAAGAGGCACATCACGATCTGGGATAGTTATCCCTGCCGTATGGACGATGAAGAACTGGCGACGGAGGTGGAACCCGTGGCTGTGATGATGGCGTACATGTTACGCGAGATGGCACTGGTGGAAGAACGTGACAACTATCCGTTCGATAAATTTACTCACGAACGGGTTGCTGGTGTGCCGGAGCAAAAGGGTCCCGGGGATTGCGGTGTCTACTGTCTGAAATACATCGAGTGTCACGCAACTGGAAACGATTTTTCAGCCTCTTCACTGTGCAACAAGAACGTCAAGGCAATTCGGAGTAGGTATGCTTGTGACATTTTCAAGGAGACCGATTGCAAGGGACCGAGGATCCGTGACTGGGACGGTCTTGATCCTTTCGACGGGAGATGCTGATCTAACTTTAGTAACGGCTTCAGGGTGGGTTAATTTTATTGTGCCCCTCTACTAACGGTGAAAGGGAGGGTTTATATTTTTTTGAGGCCCCTCTTGACAACATTGATCTCACCTTTTGTATAACTATTTTGTATACTATTTCGGATGTATACAACTACGCAATGAAATCCGCTTTAGTAAGCAATGAAATCCGTCTTTAGTATTACGATCCGAAACAAGGAAATCATCACTTAGTATTAAACAATAATAATGATCAAATAGTGAAAATAATAGACCGAGAGAAATCTCGTACGAACGAATAAAGTAGATCGCGAGATACGCCTCGTAGACCTCCACAAATTTCCGTAGCCTCGTAGACCTCCATAGAATACGGAACCTCGTAGACCTCCGGAAGACCGCTCGTAGACCGCCGAGTTTACTTCTCAGCAGGCTTGGACACCTAGTGAAGAGCAAACAAATTACAGAGTTGTGTAATGAAAACTAATGGAACTGCGGGACGCACGAAGCTTACACAATACGGGCGCGTATGTCCTGGTTGCTTGCATTTGGAGCAGCTGTAAACTTTGGGCTTCTTCCTTCGACTCTTGCCTTTCTTCTTAGACTTCCTAGAAATTTCCAGCCACGACTGCCATCTTGATTTCTTCTTACGACCAGGCCCATCCTTCGGTTTTGGAGGTCGGCACCGCTCGCTCTTCTTCTTGTGGTTGTCAATTTCCTCCTCAGGATATATAGGATGGGCGTAGGTCGCATACAAGCATTCCTGCGAGTATGTGTCACATGTATGGTGTGAGACGTGTGAAAGAGAGATTTTTGTATACTCTTTACAAATGAACCCCCTTTTTAATCAATTGAAGTATAGCTTGGGGTTCTTTGTCAAATCCAGTAAGGTCAAGATAGAGACATCAAGAATGCATGAAACATAAGTGAGCTAAGCAAATTCGAAATAGTTTTGTTTTAACAACCTAAATGAACATAAAGCATAAGATAAAAATGCAAGAGATGAAAGAAATGCAAATGGAGGCACTTGGGATGAGGGTCATTGACCTTGGGAGATTCTCAAGTCAGTTTATGATGCTCAAACAGTTTAATGATTGCTAATCCTTAGGCAAAGAACTCATTAACAAGACTAATCCACTCTCATGGCACTAATCACTTTGCTAATTACCAATCTCAAGAACTAATTCTCATTAGTGAAATTGATTTAGCAAGCATAAAGATTCAGTTCTAGAAAGCCAATAAACACCCTAGACAATCACTCTCATGAGCTAGGAATGTAAATCCTTTAGATGGTTGGTTCAAGCATTTCATCAAACACTTCTGGTGCATGAAATGCCTAAGATCTAGAATCAACTTGATCAAAGAAGATCTAGCATTAAGACCACCAAATAAAGAAGGATTAAGCAAATCAAGTCCTAAACATCAAGGTTGACCATCAAATCTCCCTAAATCTAACTCATCCCATGAGCCTAAAGAGAACTACTCAAAAGACATGAGAAATTCGAAATTAAGAGAAACAAGATGATGATTATGATAAACTAAGATAAATAAGAAAGATTCAAAGAAGAAGTACTTTCAAAATCATAAAATCAAACCAAGATCTTACAAAAACGAAAATAAAAAGAGGAGGCAAAGAGAGAGTTTTTGATCAAGGAAAAGATCCAAGATGCCTAATAAAATTAGGTCTTCAGCTATTTATAGTAAAAGATAAGTGAACCCTTGGTCAACTCCGTCCCTGTTGACTTTGTCCTTTATGACGGTCTTGAGCAAACTTCTCAAGTGCTTTGTTCTTCTTGCTCAAGTCCTCTGGTCTGCGAATTTCTTGAACACTTCTGAGCTCTGATCAGCTTCTAGCTTCTCTGTCTTGCTCCAGTCACTACCCCAACTTGCCTCCATCTTGCTAAACGCCTCAAACACCTAGGAAAACACTCCAAATGCAATGGAAAATGCAAAATGCTAATTTAAAAGCTAAATGTTCCTAAGGAGATGAAACCTTACACTAAATGGTATGAAATGAGACTCAAAGACATACAAAACCATGCAAATTATGATGCTAAATGTATGCAAATGTTGAGTACATCAACGTGCACACCAGCTGAGGCAAGCGCTGCAAGGACATGTGTACAGGGCATTTTCTCGACTTGGAACACTCCTCACTCACATTTACCCTGTTCTAGATCAACTACGAAGTGCGAACGTCCAGTGGCAACATGGAAACTAGTTGCATCTATTCGCTGAACATCCATTGACTGAGCGTAATGTTCACGGATGGCCAGTATATACTCAACTCCCTTGTTGTATGGTGTCTGCAGACTTAAAGCATCTTCACGCTTTTTGTAGAACCACCGCCCTAACATCTCTCTAATAAACTGGAGTAGAGAGGGTATGGGAAAACCCTTTGCCTTTTTAATAGCCGAGTTGATAGATTCAGCAATGTTGCTCGTCTTGATGTTGTACCTATCACCGGAAAAATGTACTCTAGACCAAAGCTTAGGGTCGGCCAACTCCATGTATGCTGCGAGTTCTGGGTGTGCAGCTTTTAGTGAGTCCATGCACCGATTATATTTAGCTAGAGTGTGGGCATAAGCAGCTCCTTTAACCAGATACATAAGCTCCTTACCACCATATGTCTTGATAATATTTTGCTGAAGATGATAGTAGCATATTCCTCTAGTGACCCATGGAAGCACATTCACACAAGCATTTTCAATAGACAATGCTCTGTCTGAAACAATGACCATCGGATGTGGTGAGAAACAAGACTGTAATTTATCAAAAAACCATCCCCAAGACTCATTAGTCTCGGCATCAACAACACCATATGCTAGAGGAAATACTTGAAAGTTTGCATCTTGTCCACATGCCACGAGTAATGTGCCTCCGTATTTCCTAGTAAGGTGTGCTCCATCAACCACAATAACCCTCTTCAAGTACTGAAATCCCGCTGTTGAAGCCGCTAACGCCACAAAACAGTACTTGAAGCGATCCTCTTCATCACAGAGCAGGTGTGTTATAGTGCCAGGGTTTGCTTGCTTCAGTCTTCTAAGGTAGGAAGGAAGGTTAGCATATCCATCTTCTGGAGTTCCCCTGACAAATACTTGAGCGAATTTGAGAGCCATGTATAACGTTGTATAGGTAAGATTCAGGCCAAACATGATCCTCATCGAATCTGCAATTTGTCGAGGGACAATTCCATGTATGAGTCCAGTCCGCTCCACAAACAATTGTCCAATATATCTTGGAGTAGCTCGTCTACGGTGAGCTACACGGTCCATAATTGAACAAGTGTGACCCTTTACGTACTTGGTAACCCAGAAGCAATCCGGTTCATTCTTCACAGCTGCTCTCAACTTCCATGCACATCCATTGACAACACATTTTGCCACAAACAAATCCGTAGTGGACTTGTAGACTTTAAATGCGAATCTTGCCATCACAGCCGTCAGTCGCAACTCAGAAAGAAGGGCTTCCTTAGAGGCATAGCTCTGATTTACCTGAATAGTGTCACACCAACTGCCTGTGAACCCTCCATTTCCACCATTCGAAACACCTCTACGGAGCCTTTCACGGAAAGACAAACTCTCTTCACCCTCTTCCTCATCTTTAACCTTGCCATACTTACTATAATCTGCATCGATATCGTCGGGGTTGTCGACATCATCAGCACTATCATTGTCATGAGCATCATCAGATTCATCTTCTGAATTTACATCCCATGCTTTGTCATTCCAGTTTACATCATCATAGTCGTTATCATCCCAGCCTTCATCACCGAATTCTTCTTCCACGTGTTCCTTATCCACCTCTTCAGACTTTTCTTCTTGGACACACTCATGTATTGGTTCGTTGTAGTTCCTTCCCATACCAACGCGGGTCGAGACGCAAAGACGGACCACATGCTCCTTACATAACTCCACCAAGCTCCCAACTTGTATGTCGTTCGTCACATACATAGGAGGTGAATCCGTTGGCAATTTCTCATGCTTTGTCATTCCAGTTTACATCATCATAGTCGTTATCATCCCAGCCTTCATCACCGAATTCTTCTTCCACGTGTTCTTTATCCACCTCTTCAGACTTTTCTTCTTGGACACACTCATGTATTGGTTCGTTGTAGTTCCTTCCCATACCAACGCGGGTCGAGACGCAAAGACGGACCACATGCTCCTTACATAACTCCACCAAGCTCCCAACTTGTCTGTCGTTCGTCACATACATAGGAGGTGAATCCGTTGGCAATTTCTCCATCATAGCAGCTGGTAATGGATATGACAACTCCAGCAGCTCGCCATTAACTTGCAACATGTAGTCGTTCACAACCATTTCAACCAGCTCTTCATGTTTACAATCATCCTGCAGGTAGAACATTCTACCTCCTCTCGTTTTCTCAACCTCAAAATACCATTTTCTGTCTCTGATAGTCCACGCTCCATACACGGATGCCAAACAAACCATGATCTGCATGAAAACCAAAGGGAAAACACATTAATATATATTGATGGATGCCATGTAGACGGAAACGTAGACCTCCACACACGGCTGCGGTCTACAGAGTTTAACCAAGTTACCAAATTTAACCAAAAATCTAATACAACCTTCATTACATAACATTAGCATGCAAAACTCTCATAGGGACAAGTTATTAGGCTAATAGAAGTATTTATGAAAAAATATTAACAAAAACAATTTTAAATTTTCGCAGAAAATCGATTTTAAAAAACGGAAAAATCGTAGACCTCCAAACTAGATCGTAGACGTAAACCTAGCGAAGAGGTCTAAAAAAGGTTAGTTTTGCAATTGACCAAGGGAAGACTTTTTTGAGATCTACAAATGCGGTCTACAAAAAAAGAGGTTAGTTTTGCAATTCATCCAAAAAATTTGGGTAGACCTCACGAACAAAATAGACCTCAACCTGTAGTCTAGAAAAATTATACGGTCTACGGGGAGGTCTACGAAATCTGTAGACCTCAGACAGGTTACTTTTGCAATTGTTTGAAATTTTTTTCCACCTGTAGACCACTATCGTAGACCTCCTATTATTTTGCGTTGACCAACTTTTTAAGGTAGACCTAAGACTGAGATCTAAAACCTATGTAGACCTCTGACGTAGACGTCAGCTTAAAATTAGTTGTTATAGACCACATTAAGAGGTCTAAGGTAAAAACCAGAACTTCAGTCAATTGCAAAACTAACCTCTTTGACCAATAGACCTCATCTGTAGACCTAAAAAAAAAAGCCCTCCCTTGGTCAATTGCAAAACTAACCTGTTTTCAAAATAGACCTCTGCTTGAGGTTTACGATATTTTTTTTGTTTTCAAAGGGATTATGTAGAACTCTCTACGCGGTCTAACTCCACAGATTTGTCTTAGTCAATTGCAAAACTAACCTCTGCGTTGACCTATAGACCTAACCCTGAGATCTACGATATCGACTCAGATCTGAAAAAACGAAAATGGAGTAAACCACAACCTGGCCGTCGTCTTTAGGGCCGCCGAGGGATGAAACTTTGTCTTTAAGCCTTCACAACCGTTCGGCGGTGGTGAGGAAAGCCACAAACCCGATTTTGAGAAAATCAAGAACTTGAAATATGGAAAAGTAGAATTAGAGAGTTTTTGGGATGAAAATGTGGAGAAAATGATAGTGTTAGAGTGTATGGGATGTGCAATTATGTTTGGAGTATCACAATTACTAGTATCAAGCATTAAAAGCTTGAAGTTAGTTGAAAATGGTGGTTGGGTTCATTGATGAGAGTGGCAGTTTCGTGAATAAGTGTAGAGGATGAGGTTCTGTTGGTCTTCTGGTCGACAACGTAGACCTCATTCGTAGACCACAAGAGATAAAAGTAATGGCATTTTCGTTATTATCTGGACAAAACTGGGTAAAGCCAAATGAAAAAAACAGCAGGTTACTTTTGCCATTGACTTCAAATTGTGGGTTAGAAGTGCAAGAATCCCATTTCTTTATATATTTTTATCATAACGTTTTAAATTATTAATAATTTTGTTTTAGATTGTAAGTTTTATTTTTAAAATGACTCATGTCCACGCAAGGCGTGGGCAAACCACCTTGTATAAAGGTAAAAAAAGAGTGTTTTAAGTTTAAACCTTAGCATATGAATTCAATCTGAATTAAATAGAATTATAAAATCATTAAAATCCAAATTTTATAAATATTAAAAATCATCAAATCAAAAACGGTAGATTTTAGTAAGAATGTCTATATCCATTAACTAATAACAATAGAATTTCCAAATTTTAATGAAGTTCAAAAGAGAGGAAAGAGAGAAACATATAGATAAAACTGAGATATAGGGGATATGAGCAAAATCGTCCGCAAAAATAGTAGTTTCGTGAGATGAAAGAAAGTGAAGGATGTCATGGGCGAAGATAACTTATTTAAAAGGTGATATAGAGTGATATCACTAATAATATATGGTGTAGTTTACAAACGCAATCGGTAAGTGTGTAGTAAAATAAGGAAGATAAAATTTTAGGTCCAGTTCGGATGGCTGACTAAGATAACATGTGGTACTTTAGAACTGCTTGAATGAAAATTTTAGGTTCAGTTGCTGATTAGGATAACACGTGGTACTTTAGAACTGCTTAAGTGAAAATATGAAAATTTTACGTTCAGTTCGCGCAGTTCTAAAGTCACTACAAGAGAAGCGGGATTTGGCGACGGTTTTTATTGCGTTTCACGTCGGTTGTAAAATGACGTGAAAAAATTGACATCGGTTTGAAAACCGTCGTTACTTCGTGTGACGTTAAAATTCATAACGTCGCTTTGAAAACCGACGCTTTCTTTAACGTCACAAATTTAACGTCGGTTCAAATCAGTTTTGCGTCGGTTATCATGTGATCCCAAATCAATTTTAACGTCGGTTTAATTCAATTTTGCGTCGGTTATCATGTGATCCCAAACCAATTGTAACGTCGGTTTAATTCAATTTTGCATCAGTTATCATGCGATCCCAGACCAATTTTCACGTCGGTTTACACAACTAAACCGACGGATATCCAATATTAACCAAAAATCAATTCAATTGATCCAAGAACAATATTCAATATTAACCAAAAAAATCAATTCCAATACAAATATCACTCAAAACATTATATGAAAAATACAAATGTCACTATTATATACTGATTTTCAAAATTTCTCTTCGTATACTCTTTCTCTTTCACCTGCTCTTTCTCTTTCACCTGACCTGAAATCAGATGCCAAATTCCAAATATACAATCAATTTACAAAATTAATATAATATGCTAGTACCACGTGTTATCCTAATCAGCAACTGTTCACGGTTAAACTCACATTGTTTGCGGTTTTGATTCTACCCTATTTCTTGAGTTCATGAGGTAAATTTAAATTTGTTATGAGTTTGTGTATATATTGGCATTGGCTCACATGTCAAATATGAATAATCAGCAATCAGTTACTTCATAGGGAAACTGGTCGTTTTCCCGACTTCGAGACGTAAAAGAAATCATTCTCATTGTTTCAAATTAAACTTGTTAAATGCTTGTGTGTCTGTGTTTTTTCATTTTTTTTCGTGCGTGTTTATCTAGCTATATTTCTTTGTAAGTCATGTGAATTTCATCTTGGATGGATTGCCATAGATGCATTCAGCACAACACTAACACATACTGTTTTTAATTAAAAAAAATATATATAAAACGGTACTTCAGGAAGTGAATGATAAGTTCATGGAACAAGAAACAGAAATTGAAGCTAAAAACCTTACGGAAGCCTACATATCAGTGATGAAGGAAACGTTACAAGAGCATGAACGAACCATGAACAAGATCATGATGGCACATATTGTAAAATTCGTATCTGTAAGCTTTGTAAATATGTGTACTTGTTCTTTATTGCATGCTGTCACTTTAGTATTTTCTGGTTATCTTACAGGTGGAGAATGATTTAAAACAGAATGCAGCATCACAGAAAAGAGAGATGCATCATCTGAAACAGCTACAGGAAACTAAAACCATGAACCTGGTGGCAGATATGGTAAATATCTATTCATAAACTTTGTAAATATAAATACTTATTCTTCTATGCAATCAGTTAATTTTGTAGTATCTGGGTATCTTGCAGTTTAAGAAAGGGTTTGTAAGAGGTACCACAATAAATGAAGTACATACAAATGAAGTACCTCAACAGCTGAATCTTGAACTTCAGCTGTTTAACAAAGAAACCATGAACATAATAAAAAAGATGGTAAAATTGTGTTCATAAATATTGCAAACGTGAATACTTATTCTTCATTGCATGCATGCAGTTAATTTAGTATTTTTGTGGTTATAATTTAGGTAGAGATTGCGTTGAAAATGAGTGATGCAGCATATGAAAGAGAGATGCATCAGCTGAAAATCACACTTCAGTTGAATGATTCACAAACCATGAATATGATGGCACAGATGGTAATTAATTTTGTATTCTAAAGTTTTGTAAACGTTAGTACTTGTTCACTGCATGTAGTTATTAGCATTATATGGTTTATCTTTTTGATGTAAAGTCATTAAAACAGAGTGCAGCAAAGCATGAAAGAAAGATGCATCACCTGCAGGAACAAGGCAGACCTGAACCATAAAGATCTACTATATAGGTTGCCCAAATTCGAGTTTCCATTTTTATTTTTCGTTTATTTCTTTCCAAATCCCTTTTGTACTGCAACATCAAAAGTTTCTCCGTCCTTTGTGAAAAAAAAAAGTGTATAATTTCTATATATACATTCTTTCTCCAAGTAAAGAAGAAAAACCTCAAACATAATATTCGATCTACAATAGTCCAATAAAAATATGAGAAAGTTTAAGCCTAAATTAATCCTGTAAAACCCCTAAAACAATTGCAGCTCAAATGATAATATTATGGCCTATTTTTTATTCCGTTTTATCTAGCGAAATCTTAATTAGCCCCAAATCAAATATCTTGTACTCAATACACGAACATGATCAAATTCGGTTTGATTTTAATAAGCATAGATTTGGAAACAATCGAACCAAGCACCAACCATGAATCAATCATATGGCTTGATCTAGAGTTAATAAGGTGTAAAATGTAGCTGTGAAACCTATTGAACTAAATGAATTTTATCTAGAGTAATTTGGTGCAGAGAAATATCTCAGCACATAATTAGGCAAAAGACAATTGCTATCTTTGTTATTAACAACTAACAAAAGGGTACCCATAAATACCAAAAATTGAAGGTGCATCACGTTAATGTGCGAGTGGGCAAACTTTAAAGTAGTAGTCTTTGAAAACCAAACACATTAAATGTAAGTTTTAATATTCTCTATTCTCTATTCTCTATGGCCATCTTTCTCTCTGATTCCATCTCTCTCTCATTTCTCTATTTCCATCTATTTTTTCTTGTTGCTCTCTCTTTCATTTTTCAGCTCTCTTCCTTTCTCACATTCCAGATATTCATATCATATCATTCTTTATCTTTATCTTTATTTTTATACATAAGCCCGCCATACTCTCTGTAAATTTACCCTCCTATTTTGATCAATAAATTTGAAATTTCATCAAAAAAAATAATATAGAAATTCATAAAAAATTTCATCAAAACATATACTACTCTTTTAACAACTAAAAACACATTCACATAAATATATAGATAACTATATCATAATATAACAAAAAAATAAGCATACTAAATAAATCGCCATATAAAATACACAACCATATAAATATATAGACAACCATCTAAAATAATATCATATCAAAACATATGTATATATTGACAAATAAATACATTGTCATATAGATATATAGACAACTATATCAAAATATATCGAAACATATACATTCATACATCACTGTATCATAATATAACAAAAAAAACAAGTATATGTTGGTAACTAAATAAATCGCCATATAAAATATAAACATTCATATAAATATATAAACAACCATCTAAAATAATATCGAAATATATACATATATTAACGATTAAATACATTGTTATATAAATATGTAGACAATTATATCAAAATATATCAAAACATGTACATTTATATACAACTAGAAATATTGCAGTATGCATATATAAACAATTATATTAGCATATAAACAATCATATGTATGATATGTACGATAACTTAAAACAATGACAACGAGTTACCTCAATCAGTGGAATTTGCCAAATTGGATTTCATGCAGACAGTTATTTACAGCCAACTGCTGAAACGAAATCGAAACTAGAAAGAAGAAGAAAGTGAATAATCTAGAGGCTCGGTTGAAGACACAATTATGATAGTTTATTATGTGTGGAATCAGTTGTCCATTGTAAAATTGGTCGTATATGATATATCAGTATTTTAAAATAAATCAAACCAAAAAAAGAAAAACTCAACTTACCTCGTAATATGAGAGAAGAAAGTCAACGGCCATGTTTCCTCTACAAACGCGTGAGGTTATATTCGGTATAATTGGGACGAAACTATTTTCATTGTTTGAACATAGAAATGGCTCTTGTCAAAAATTAAAATAGGATGCACAGTATTGTTACCCAATGCAAATACAGTAAAACCTCTATAAAATAATAGTGTTGGGACTTTAAAAATTTATTATCTTATAGAGATATTACTTTATAAATAAATTCAATGTTTATATATATTTTAATTCATAATCTTCAAAAATTATTCGATATGATAATGTATTAAAAATTTTAAATAATTTATTTATTAATATGATATACATAAAGTTGAAATTATGATTACACATCTTTTGGATATCGTAATAAAACATATATTATTAGCTTCTATATATTTATATCAATATAAAATTTAATACAGAATAAAATTTAAAAGTTTAGAAAAACTTTTAGGTACTAATGAAGTTGAAAATAATGGGTTTAAAACATATTTACAATTTCACATGCATAGAAATATTGTATAATGATTTTTTTATATAAGAAAAAGTTGGAGATAAACTTAAATTCATAGTTTAATAATTTTCTTAGACATATACAATGTATAGTTTTATATAATTATTACTTTAACTTATAATTGGGACCATATTTTTACATAAGAGTTTCAAAAATATTATTATCTTATTATCTTATCGCATTTTGCTTATTTTTACATTGGCCCGAGTTGGGATCGAAGAAATTTATTATTTTATAGTGATTATTATTTTATTGAGTATTACTTTATAGAGGTTCTACTATACACTTTTATCTATTAGTTCTACTTATATGGAGCATTTATAAATTTAGCATGGGGCACATGCTCCACCCATCTGCAACGTGGGTCCGCCACCGTTAATACATAGTATATTGATTAATACCAATTACTGAAAAAAAAAACCAAAAATTTCAAGTACCAATGGTTGTTTCTACATTAAGTCAACTCATCATGTCGTGCAAGCGACCTTGACTTCTGTCGTTGATTAACTTGTTCATTCATTTTCTTTTCTTCTTCACACATAAAAAGATAAGAAAGCTTCGCGAGTTTCAATTTTGTAACGTATGCTAATTACCGGATCAGATCAGAATATATATGGCTGGACATCGCACGAGGTATGAGCCCATTACAAACATAGTTCTTGTGGGAAGTATTGGCCATGGAAAAAGCGCCACCCGGAACAGTCTCCTCGGTCAAAAGCTGTTTCTCTCCAAAAACTGGGGAGGAGGTGTTACCACGACACTCCTGGTATTGGTACTGTATGTGCTTCATTAAAAACTCAGATTTAACGTTTAGTTACCACTATTAGTTTTGAACATTATTGATTTCTATGAAGCACATACACTAGCATCAAGAAACTGTAGAATATATAATAGTTAAGAGCAGCCATATTGCAGTTTTAACTGCAAGTGGTGGGTGATACAAAAGGGCTTCGCCAACAGCAAAGATGAAGAAAAATAGCCTAAAATGGATTAAAAAAAAAAAATATATATATATATATATATATATTTTTTTTTTTTTTTTTTTTTAAAAATTATTCTGCGAAAAACATTTGTTTACCCTAACTACTAACATATTTTATTTAAACATTATGTTTGGGTTCTTTTTTTGTTCCCTCAAATTATGGTTTAGCTTTTTTTTTTCATAGAAAAATTGATCTCGAAACAATTTTATGTTGAATTTTGGTCCATTTTTTAGAAATAACCTTACGAGCCTATTTTGATACTACCAACATCCTTTAGTCCAGTTTGGAGAATTTCCCAAAGATAAATAATTAACTATAATTTTTATGTGATACAGGTTTTGTAAATGAGCATGATTCAACCAACTATATCAATAAGGAAATAGGCAATTGCTTAATTATGGCTGAAGAAGGTATACATGCCATGATGTTTGTTCTCTCTGTGAGGCACCGGGTTGCACAGGAGGTAGAGTTCGCACTTGATACATTGGAGCGCATATTTGGGAGTAGAATCTTTGACTATATCATTGTGGTATTCACTGGCGGTGACGAGTTAGAAGATGAAAACTTCCGACTGGATGATTATATGCGTGAAGGTTGCCCTGAAGTTTTGACGGTGTGCTTACTTTCATTACGAACTTCACATTTTATTTACTAGTGCAACAGTTGGTATTTCTACACATCACTCTTTTACCCTTTTTTATAATTGGAATAGTTATGAAATTTCAGAGACTTCTCAGGCTCTCTGGTGGACGAAAAGTATTGTTCGATAACAAGACTAACAATAAAGAAAAGAAGGCTTGGCAACTCAAGGAGCTTCTGGCACATGTCGCAGATATTCAAAAGAAAAATAGTGGGATGCCGTATACTTATAAGATAAAGGTAGAAAAAAATTATCTGCATATTGCATACGCTTTGCCGTTAGATGAAAATATTTTTTGCACACGAGAACATGTAACTATTTCCATAGGTACTGTAGTTAATATTTTTTTTTTTTTTGAACAACTTTCCATTAAATGAAAATAAAATATTACATTTGTCTCAAAGTTGATGGAAATGAAGCGGTTCCAAGAGACCAACAACGAAATCGCATGCAGCTGATTTTGCAAGCGAATCCGCCTTCGAATTCTCCGATCTCGGGATAAAACGGAAAGAGATAGAGGTAAATAACTGTGCTAGAGAAGTTATATCAGATAGGAGACTATGGATTTCCTTGATTTTCTCTCGCGATGTTATGGCTCGGAGTAAATCCTGAGCGTCTGATTTGATCTGTAGGTGGAGGAAATTCATCTCCAGGGCTTGGATTAGTGCAGATCTGATGGCGATGGCTTCTGCTGTGAGTGGGGATGGGGCAAAAGCTTCGGCCGTTGTTCCGGAGGCGATTTGTGTATCGTCCTGTGTAGTGAAGATCCATGCCGCTCCTGCTATCTCGCTTTCACTCTTCCACGATCCGTCGGTGTAGCAGAGAATTGTTTCCGGGTGAAGTCGCTGATGGGGATTGGAGAAGAGTCTGACCGGAGGTTGATTCTCTACTTTTATTTGGGCCTCATGCCACTCCCGCGCATCCTTGATTGCTTTAAGGATTGTTTCCTCGGGTGGGAAGAGTCTTTCTTCGAAGATGTGGTAGTTACGGGCTGACCAAATAGTCCAACAAATCCACGGGAAGAAAGAGCCGGAGCTGATTCCGGTTGGTGGCAGGCAAACAAGGCTCTTCAGGGTTTTAAGCGAAGCTTCAAAGCTCACCGAAGATAAGTCAACAGCTCTTGAGAAGGGTGCAAGAGCCCATACTTTCCGTGCATACTCACAGAGAAAAAAGAGATGTTCAGTTGTTTCAAGCTCCCCACAATGGATGCAGCATACACTATCAAACAAACCTCTATTGAGTAGATTCTCTCCCGTAGGTAACGCTTTTTGAGTGATCTTCCATAGAAAAATCTTGAGCTTTAGTGAGAATTGACCTAGCCATATGTCTGCATTCCAATTGATTGTTGAAAGATGGTTGTCTGCAGGTTTCTCTAGCAGGGATCGGGCTATGTGGTATCCGGTTTTTGCTGTGTAGTCACCTGTTTTTGATGGGAGCCAGATATAGGAGTCTTGTGTTCCCATTATGCTCGGTCGGATGCTCAAGATCGATGGTAAGTGGTGTGGTAGCATCTTTTCAATCTTCCTTTTATCCCATTCTGTGCCATTGATTAGCGAGGCCACCGTTGCATTTCTATCATTTAGGTTTGGCGGACCCATTGGGCGTAAAGATGTCGTATGAGATAGCCAGGAATCGTTCCACAGGGATGTTGATTGGCCATTGCCAATTGCCTTTCCAAGTTGTTCCAGTAAGAGATCTGCCAATGAGAACTCCTCTCCAGCCATGTGAAGATGAAGTAGAGGTAGGAACATCAAGGAAACTCTGGTCGTTACAATACTTTCCTTGTAGGACCCGATCTAACAGGCAATTTGGATTTTGCAGGATTCGCCAACTGAGTTTAGCAAGCAGGGCATCATTAAAACTCTGGATATCTCGAAAGCCTAAACCGCCGGAGGTTTTGGATTTCGTCATTTTCGTCCATGAGATCCAGCTCATCTTTTGCTCAGAGGGCGTTGAGTCCCACCAGAAGCGAGTGAGCGCCGATTGTATCCGTTTGCAAAGGCTAACAGGGATCTTAAAACACGACATGGAGTATGTTGGGATTGCCGAGAGGACGCTTTTGATAAGTGTCAATTTGCCAGCAGTGGAGAGTCGTCTTGAGGCATAGTTAACGGATCGTTGGCGAATGCGATCCACTATCAAGGAGAAGAGATCTTTTTTCTTTCGTCCAAAACTTTCAGGTAATCCCAAATACTTCCCTTGTCCTCCCTCTTGCTCTATACCAAGCGTCTATTTCACTCTATCTTTCATTTCTTGAGGGGTTTTTGACGAGAAAGTGATAGATGATTTCTGGCTGTTGATTTGTTGACCTGATGCTTCCTCGTATTTCTTCAGGATTGACGTTAGCGCAACGCAGCATTGGTGTTTCGTTTTACAGAAGAACATTGTGTCATCTGCAAACAACAGGTGATTGATGCGTGGACTCTCTTTCGCAACTTTTATTCCCGGAAGTAGCCCACTTACTTGAGCATTGTTGCAGAGACCCGTGAGGACCTCTCCGCAGAGGATGAAGATGAATGGAGATAAAGGATCCCCTTGCCTGATACCACGTTGAGGTATGACGCTTCCTTGTGCTGATCCGTTGATTAGGAAAGAATAGGAAACTGTAGAGATGCATTGGAAAATCCAATTGATCCATTTGGCATGGAATCCCATTCTCTCTAGGACCGTAGCTATAAAATTCCATTCCAATCTATCATAGGCCTTACTCATATCTGTTTTCACCGCCATTGAACAGAATTTAGTCACTTTTGATCCCTTTAGATAGTGTAGAGTCTCATGAGTGATCAAAACATTATCTGAGATCGCACGTCCCGGAACAAAAGCCGTTTGATTCTCCGAGATAATAGTTGGCAAGATAGGCTGTAGACGCTTAGTAAGCAGTTTTGAGATAATCTTGTAGATCATGTTGCATAGAGCTATAGGTCTATATTCCGCCACCTTCCTTGGACAGAGAATTTTTGGTATAAGGCGGATATAAGTCTTGTTGATTGAGCTACGTAGGACTCCCGAAACGAAGAACTCTCTAGTTTCTGCTGTGATCTTCTCTCCCACGACTAACCAATTTGTTTGGAAAAAACTTGCAGAAAAACCATCTGGTCCCGGGGCCTTATCAGGATGGATAGAGAATAAGGCTGATCTGATCTCTTCATTCGATGGGATAGCTATCAGGAGATCGTTGGTTTCCTTTGTGATGCATGGTTTAATTGCTTGAGACACTGTCTCCGTGCATTGGGGGGATCTTGTGATGAATATATCTTGGAAGTATGCACTGATCACTCTGACGAAATCCTCTTCCTCATACACATGTTGGCCTTCCTTTTCTTCTAGTACTGAAAACTTGTTTATCGCTTTCCTTCCTCGCGTAAAAATAACCTGAGTTCTTATCTCCTAGGGCAAGCCAGAGGGATCGACTCCGTTGCTTCCAGTATTATTCCTCTTTCCTGTAGGCTATCTCCAGAGCCCTGGTGCTATTTTCAATCTTAGCCGGATCCGCTGTTGATGCACTCATTGCAGCCTCAAGGTTAGCTTTCTCTTCATCTATTTTCTTCTTGTTATTGACGTGATTGTCCCGGTTCCAACGAGAGATTGCTTTCCTGCAGTTTGCTATCCGCCTATCCACTGAGTCCTCTTCGAGTTTGTTCCAGGTTTCTTTAACCAAATTTGTTATCTCCGGGTTGTGACGCATAGCTCTGTCGTATCTGAAAATACTTCGTTTCTTCTTTTTCTCTGGTTGAAACTCTGACAGGATCGGTCTGTGATCAGAGCCCTCAAAGTTGAGGTACCGACATCGGCTAGTGGGATAAAGGTCAAGCCACATTCCATTGGCCATTGCCCGATCCAGACGGCAGTGAATCAGGTGTGAGTACCTTGTCCCTCTCCACGATAGGAAGTTGCCGGTGTGTTGTAAGTCGAACAAGTCGCTCTGAGAGATGAACTCACGGAAATTCCCAAAAGATGCTTCTGTTCTTTGTTGTCCTCCCGACTTCTCAGTGTTGTCTAAGATCTCGTTGAAGTCCCCCGTTAAGAACCAGGGTTTATCTCTAGAGAGACCCAGGTTTGTGAACTCTTCCCAGACTAATTTTCTCAATGGTAGATCTGGCTCACCGTAGATAAAGGTTGAGAAAAACGGTATTCCTTTATAGCTTATTTCAGAATCAATGTAGGATTTACATGAAGAGAGGATCTGGACATGGATCTCTTGTTTCCAATACAATTTAAGGCCCCCACTCCCCGGGCTATTAGGTGGTACGAACATCTTTGAAGCATAATCTGTGAGTGGGATGAACTTGTTGATTTCTTCTTCCTCATTCTTTGTCTCCATGAGGAAAATTATATCAGGTACATGGTTTTTCACCAGTTCCTTTAGCCTATGAACTGTTGAGGGATTTCCCAAACCGCAACAGTTCCAACTCAATACTTTTAAGGAAGAGGATCTTGCAGACTGTGAAAATCCGCCTTATCCTTCCTTGTAGCTCGCCGGATCGCCGGTACCATGGTGTTGGTTGGTGGGGTTGCAGTTGGAGTTGCTGGTATCGATGGTCCTCGTTGCAGTGTTACTCTACTTCGTCGGGTCCCGTGATTGTGTGTGACTGGAGAGGTACGGGTCATGACAACTCTGGATAAGGGGGAAATCCTCAGGAAAGGTGATATTCTGCCTTGTTTCGTTTTCCTCTTACTTGGTCCAGCTTCTGACGGGTTAACCGCTTGGTTGGGTTTCGTTGTAGGTGGTCTACCTCTAGGTCGTCTCGACGGCTCCAGAGGCTGAGACACAGGCCGAATGTCTACATCAGTACAGACCTCTACCAATGGGATAACAGTCGTTGGAACAAGATGGGTATCGGCAGTGATGTGTTGTTGCAGGACTTGAGCAGTAAACATGGATCTTGCTGTATCCGCCATGAGACCCCGAGCTTCTCCTTCAAGGACACGTTGCAATCTTGCTGCTCTCTCAACCGGATCATCAACGTTAGCGTATTGCACTGTTACCTCCTGAAGTGATGACATTATCTCCGCTTCGGAGTGTGTTCTTTGCACTGGCGTAAAGGCTTCTGTATCCAGGTTTCGTCCTACTAGTGCAGTCCCCCGAGTGGTGGAGATATCAACGCTTTGATCATTGAGGTTTGGGGGCTTCTCTCTCCAAACCTGGCGCGGAGGTGAGTTCCGTTGATTTCCTCTCCTAGATGGTCCTGACAAACCTAGACCTGTATCAGATCTGAAAATTTCACGGCCATTTTGACGGTGTATGGTCGGAGGAGGAGCTAGACGGTTTCTGTTGTATGGCGGCGAGATGTCTGGTGTGTGTTGGTGTCTTGGTTGTGGCGGCTCCAGATTGTGGTTCCTCAAAACCGGCTCTGTAACCCTTGCTATCAAAGTTCTCTTAGTAGAGGGTCTTTCCCCAAACAGTCTCCCGTAGCGGTCTTGGCGTTGGTTGAACGGGCGATAGATGGTTGGGGAAGGTACTTTTGCAGGATAGTGACTTTCTCTTATCGCCTGTCTTGTTGGAGCTTCTTGTAGATCTGTTAGTTGGAGCTTCTCCGGGCATAGATCTTCCTCGTGGCTCAAGCTGTAGCAGAGAGAGCAGTGTTTTCCCAGGTTCTCGTACTCAAAGGTAACTACAGCTTCTTGGCCTCCTTCAAATTCGATGACTGCATCTTTTGCAAGGGGTTGTAGGCCATTGACTTCCACTTTGATTTTTGCAGTCATTTTTGTGAGGATCTGTTCCTTGTAGTCGCCTAGCTCACGTCCGATGTTACACAGCAGTTCTTTCTTCCAGTAGTGAAGAGGCAGGCCTTTGAGTTGGATCCAGAACGGGATCTGGGATGGGAAAGTCGAGGAGATTATTGGTTCCCATTTTTGGAGGATGAGCATCCATCTCGCATATTGATAGGGTCGGTTGTCGAGAACTTTTTGTAGATCTTCATCGTAGTCAAATCTGAACTGGAAACAGTGGTTTCCTAGGTCAGAGCCCACCGCTCTTCCCCGTAGTTCCCACCAGCTAGAGATGTAGGGAATCATCGTCCACATCCTCTGTTCCTGTGGGTTTGTGAGCCTTCCTATGAGAGTGAGCGAGTTTTGGCGGACAAGGTCGGTTGTGTCCATCTCTGGAGCTCTTATTCGCCTTCTTGGTGGTTGATGTGCTGTGGGTAGGTCTAGAGCTTTCCCTTTCTCAGCATATGAGAAGCGTCTCACCATGGCGGCCAAATTTGTTGTTGTGAAGATTTGTAGTCGTCAGATGGTTTGAGAGATCTTTGGTGTGTGGTGTGGATTCAGGATGGAGTGAAAATGACGAATCTTTGGAGTTATAAAGAGGCAGTAGACGGGAGGAAGCGTTGGGCAGATGGTGAGGATTCCAGGAGGAGGAGGAGCAGAAGACTTACCGGCGGAGCTTTGGCGGACCCTCCGACTAAGTCGGGGGTGGACCCCGGGAACAAAGAATCAGGAACGGTTGTATTTTGAAAAAACTTGCCAAAAAGAGAAAGATATGCTGGATAAAGGGAGGTGATCACGACAGGTCAACCCGGGTAAAGACCACTCTCGAAAGAAGTGCCTGAGAGCTTTTTTCCATTACGATCTGTAGTTAATATTCTAGTTCCAAATTTAAACTGTTTAATTAATAACTAAGCTTCTAGGTAAAAGAGAGGGTCAGGCAGGTTCTTCTTCTCTTCCTCTTGCAATAATTTTAATGCTCTCGATATTTTGATAAGGTCAAGGCTTTCTGAGAGTAACAAGGCTCTCTATATTGTTAGGTGTGAGTTCGGGCCATAAAAGCAATCGTTCTGATAAATATAAACTCGTTAATTGCTTGATCGCTTTCTTTTGTTATACATTTGTTGCATGTTTATTTATTAAGTTCTGTTAACTTCATTGATGTGAATTGCGTCTTTGATCGATTGGGAGGGATGCAATGCAATATATATATAAAAAGATCTCGGTTTTTCAGGAACTGAATGATGAGCGCATTGAAGGAGAAATGGGCATTCAAGCAATGGAGGAGAGGTTACAAAAAGAGCGTGAAAGAACAAAGAATAACATGATGATGACACATATTGTAAATTCGTATTTATAAGCTTTCTAAACATGCATACTTATTCTTCACTGCATGCGGTCAATTTAGTATTATGTGTTCATCCCTCAGATGAAGATTGCTTTAGAAGAGAATGCGGCATCACATAAAAAAAATGGATCAGCTGGAAGATACACTTAAGCTGGAAGACACAGAAACCATGATTATGGTAAATTCTTAATTATTAACTAACTTTGTAAAAGTGAATTTTTATTCTTCACCGCATGCAGTTAAATTTAGTATTCTCTCGTTATATTCTAGATGGAGAATGCAATTCAAAATGACACGGCAGCAATAGCGACGTTGAAATCTAGACTTCAGCAGAAAAACAGAAAAAGCATGTCCATGATGGAAAATATGGTTAATTCAGATTCAAAAAATTTCTTTAGGTGAATACTTATTCTTCACTACATTCAAATAATATAGTGTTCCTTTGTTAATTTTTAGATGATGAATGCGTTCGAAATGAGTGAGGCAACACACAAAAGGGAGATGGATCAGCTGAAAAATACACTTCAGCTGAATGACTCACAGACCAAGAATATGATGTCACAGATGGTAAACTCCTATTCTTAAAAAAGTTGAGATACTCTAACACACTTGTCAGCTAATGATTGGTGTAAACTTTTTATGGTTATTGGTGCTAACTTTTTATGATTTATATAAAAACGAATAATTTAATTCAGTTAAATTACAATTGTAGGAGCTTTCAATTAGTGCCTAAAAACGCTGTTTCACATACATATGATTTCCGAAAATTTATGGGGATTAATACTTTTTTTCCGGTATGAAATCTGTAAATTCATAGATCATCTCGAAAATATCTGAAAGATCTGGAGAAGCTTTGTTACGATTCCGAGAAGTTATAAAAGTGTTTATACAATTTCTATAATTGTATATATATTGTCTCGAAAACGTGGGTTTCATAACTGTTTATACATTATATAGCATGGAAAGCTAGAGTGACAAATTAATTTTTTTTTGTTGAGTTGCATATCAAATTTTGGATTTTAAGCCTGTTGACTGAAAAAAAAAGTGAGAAACGTAATCATTATCACAAACTTTAAAATAGAATATTCATAGATTACATTAGATCAAACTTTAGAAGAGATTATTTCTGTATTACATTAGCACAAACTTAGAAGAGATTATTTATGTATTACATCATTAGAATAGTTGATCAATGGATAGAAAACGAAGGATGCATGCACACATATATGCCTTAATTTTTGGGACGAATCTCAACACCTTTTACAATGAGCCCTTTCTTCCAAGAGTTGGATGCAGTCTCATACATGGAGAAACTGATCTGTCCGGCATTCTGCGGCGTCGTTATGAACTCACCGGCTGGTATGGCTACCCAGCTTCTCCCTATATACACGTTCAACCTCACACTCCGCTCTTGCGCCCTATTGCAGGGCAAGGTCAGCTTTAGGTTCACTGGTGTCTCCCATCCAGAAGCTGTATCTTCTAACTTCACCACGTACACAACCTCGTACCTCGTCCCTGGAGTTAGTACTCTCGTGTCGAAGGTTCCATTCACGTCTAACCAACAAACGTTTCTAAGCACAGCAGCTTCAACGCTTAAAATATCAAAAAGCAAAAAAAAAAAAAAAAAAATGTTTTATCTGTTTATGTTCAAGAGAAACAATCGCACAAGCTTTCTCCCTATTTTATAACCAGAATCAAACCCTTTTCTCAATTAAAAAAAAAAACAAAAAAAAAAACAAATTGAGTGTTACTTTTGACTTTCTATCTTTTTTTCGTTGAATGTTTGCATAATAAGTATGTATACTAACAGTATTTTAGTTGATATATTTATTTTTGCGTTTAATCAAAATTTTCGAGGCGGTCTGATTTGGATCGGGAAAAGAAAAGAGGACATACACTCCCACAACTAGTCACATTCAAAAGTATTTATAGAATATATAAATTAGTTATAGAACTCTTTACCATGATGCTCCGTACTGGAGAGATTGCAATGACCAATACTCGCTGTTGTCCGACCAAGTGATGCCAAGATTCCTTGCGTAGATCATGCCACTCTGTCCATAAATTATCAACCTCAGTCAATGTCAGATGACTCATATATACACATGTAAATGACCCAACAAATCTAACAATCTGATAATCAAGCGGAGTATTTGATACACATGACATGTTAAACTTTCCCTATAAAAAAAATAGAAAAAGAAAATATGTCTACAAAAAAAAAAAAAAAAAAATATATGTCTACAAGTAGAACGCCGCAACCACCTGAACAGAATACGCCATCGTCGATGAGGCCCTTAAAGCGTTGTCTTTTGTTAGTAATTAGCCGACGAATGATAAGATTCTAATATGTGTTGTGTCTTAGAAATGGTATTGTGAAAGTTCGTTATACAGAAATTTACTTATATAGTAGTTCTATACGTACATAAGTAAATTAAATTACCAATGAAAAATACATTGGAAATGCAGTGTAAACTTTGTTTGCAACTCGGTCAATTCATTTTAGAGTTGGCTTTGGTTTAAATATATGTATCTTTGTTGATTGGGGTTCAAGAAGAAACCAAAGATTAATCTTTACTAGATCTTGACCCGTGCTGCCACAGCACGGGTTATTAAAATTCATGTTGGACTGACTTAGCAATAAAAGAAAATTGATTATTGATATTTTGGGCTCATTTTTCGATTTGTAGATAAGTTGGATTCAAAAATGAATGGACCTGATGGTATTAGATGTCTTACTAAGTAAAGTGACATCGTTTTGTTTTTTACACGTATTTGTAAATAAAAGTTTCGAATTTGGGAGCCGTTTACAAACCGAACCCTAAATCGTTAATCGAGATTGAGTCTCAAACAAATTGGAGATCCTCTTTTCTCTTCTTTTGTTGTACCTATATACTGGTCGATTGATATTGCTCCTAAGATGAAAGATGTCGTGAATTTAGAATTTGGAGTTGTGGACGTGAGAATTCGAATTGAATTTCGAGGAGTTTATTGAGGTATATGTGGCTATAATATTAATTTCAGTTGTCCATGAAACATGTTAAAGTCAACATTACAAATTTTCAGTTTTGATCACATATTTTTTTTATGTCTCTCGGGAAAAACCCGGATCTAAAGGAATGTTGGTTCTGATCCGTGATATTCCTAATTTTTGAATTAATTTCAATTGTGAACATTAGGTTTCTAAAACTGGATATTGTTTTAAAATTTGATTAAAATATTGTTGTGATAACATTTTTTTTTATCATATTTTAAGCCTCAACTATTTGAATGAGATTTATTTGTTTTAACCTATATCATTTTTTTCTCTTCTTTTAAAGTTGTCCATGAGACATATTAAAGTTAACATTACAAACTTTCAGTTTTGATCAGATCCGATCATTTTTATGTTTCTCGGGAAAAAGCCGGATCTAAAGGAATGTTGGTTCTGACCCGTGATGTTGCTAACTTTTGAATTAATTTAATTTGTGAACATTAGGTTTCTAAAATTGGATATTGTTTCAAAATTTGATTATAAATGTTGTTTTGATTTATTTGTTTTAAGCCTCCACTATTTGAATGAGATTTATTTATTTCAACATATCTCATATTTTTTTCTCTTCTTTTGCAAAGTTGTCCATGATACATGTTAAAGTCAACATTCCAAATTTTCAGTTTTGATCAGATCCGATCATTTTTATGTTTCTGGGGAAAAACCCTGATCTAAATGAATGTTGATTATGACCCGTGATATTGCTAACTTTTGAATTAATTCAATTTGTGAACATTAGGTTTCTAAAATTGGATATTAATTGTTTCAAAATTTGATTAAAAATGTTGTTGTGATTTTTTTATTTTAAGCCTCAACTATTTGAATGAGATTTATTTGTTTAACTCAGATCATTTTTTTTCTCTTCTTTTGTAAAGTTGTCCATGAGACATGTTAAAATCAACATTACAAATTTTCAGTTTTGATCAGATCCGATCATTTTTATGTTTCTCGGGAAAAACCCGGATCTAAGAAATGTTGGTTCTGACCCGTGATGTTGCTAACTTATAAGTCTCAACTATTTGAATGAGATTAACTTGTTTCAACCCATATTTTTTTTCTTTTCTTTTGTAAAGTTGTTCATCAGACATGGTAAAGTCAACATTATAAATTTTCAATTTTGATCAGATCTGATCATTTTTATGTTTCTCGGGAAAAATCCGGATTTAAAGGAATGTTCTCACGTGTAATGTTGTTAATCTTTGAATTAATTTAATTTGTGAACATTAAATTTTTAGAACTGGACATTGTTTATTAGTTTGATTATAATGTTGTTGTGACAACATATGTTTATTGCACCTTTGATATCCGCTAAAAACATCTCAATCTAATAGATTTAACCTCGCTAACAAACTTCTTTGCCCTTTTAATATCTTTTTCTTTACTTTGACTTGGAAAGCAGTCTTGATGGCATAGAATCCCCTGTTGTAAACAGGATCTTTGACAAAATAAATTTTCAAGCCGAATGTTGTAAAGTAAAACTGGACATATAATATATTTATACAGTGATATATTTACACATGATTAAATTTCTTATTAACATTGTAATATGTGTATCATTTAAAAAAAAACTTATTAAAAACAGTACAATGGACAGCACTAACACAAGATCAATATATAATAATAAACAAAAACATTCGACCCAAATTGAATCCCAAATTCCATTGCTTCTTCCGTTTTCTCTTACGAACACCATCTCTCTGTATCTTCTCCTTCTTCTTTTTTTCTTTCTCTGGAATTGAACTCTTCTTCTTCAGTTTCGGTGAGAAGTTCCAGAGTCTTCTTCTCCGGATCTTTTTTTCGACGCTTGTTCATCTCCGATAGAAACTTTGTTCTAATCAGTTTGAATTGAATCCACGACATGCAGAAATCAGTTACTACCGGTTTGGAGATGCTGGAGATGCAGTTTCTAATTTGCAATTCACCGATGACCGACGAAGTTCAAGGTGTCTCAAACGTCGCCATGGAACTCAGCGAAACTCTGAAACCTGCTCATGTCGTAATTGCTTGGATCCGGTTCCAGCCATAAACTCTTGAAACGACGAATAAGTGTCTCTTCCAGTGCCGCACGAATCGCCGGACTTTCTGCCATTAATAAGTGTTGTGAGAGCACACGATCAGAGCAGGATGAAAACTCCCAACCCAAACCCGTCACCTTACAATCTCCTCTCCAGGAGGCATCAGCTCTGCATGTTACAGTGGTATTATCTTTAATTCTCTGTAATCTCGATCTAGGGATCTGGTTTCGGGTTTTAGGTATACACCGTCAAGCAGTATCAACTTCTTCACGCCTTAATCGCTTTTGATTTACAGAATCCAGTGAAGCCATACTTTTTTATTTCATGATTTCTTCTCCAATGAATCATCGGGACTTTCCGATGCCTTGATGATCTCAGGATAACCTTTTCTGACAACTATCATCTCCTCCTTGCTCGTATGATTTTCGGTGATAGTGAATTTCCGATGCTAAAAACTGAACCTTACATCGCCAAACACAATACCGATGTTGTCAGGTACAGACCAGTCCATTTAAAGCTTCATGTATAGACCCGTTGCATGATTAATAACAATGAATTGAATGAATCTCCATTCTTCTTGAGGCATTTGAGGTTCAATTCTGTCTTCTCGAGCTAAATATCTTTTTTTTTTGCTAAAATAAGTTATCACTACTTGTTTCCTTTGATAGCTCATAGTGTACTTTCTATCTCTTCTTTGATAGCTGTTCATGGGCATTGTTTGGTTTCTTGAGTTCGTCACTTGATAGCTTTTAAAAAAATTTCTGGTTGTGTTACTATCTCCTCGTCACTGATAACAGTGTTTCAAACTTGGGTCCGAACTAAGCAATTTTTCACTCTTTTCAATAAAGGAAACTTGTAGAGAGGAAAGGTCCAAAGTGTTACCTTTGATGGAGCTAAGGAGTTTATCATTGTTTTCTAAACGGGTTAAAATAATCCATGCTTGATTAAGAAAACTAATTAAGGTTAGTACACAAAACCACTTTTCATATAATGAATTGTAGGTTTTTTCTGACTCTAAATTGACTACATAGCAAAACTGATTCTAAAATATGGCATTAGATACTAAACTGATTCAAAAATATGGCATTAGTATATCATAGATAATTTAGGGCATGTGTACTCTATTTATATCTTTAGTTCATCCGTGTTTTAATTTTCCGTTTACGTATGAATGTAATACATGATAAGCTTTTTTTTTTGCTGATTATTTTTGGTTTTTGTTTCTGTGCAGGTCTGTTGGTGTCTCAGTAAAACAATGACTTGTGGTTTATTCTCTGTTTCTTAGAAAATTTGGTTTTTGCTTGTAGAGTTTTGGACAAATATTTCGTTGGATAAATAATTGCGTAGACAAATGCGTAGTTTGTGAGAAATCAAGCTAAGTAAAGTTAGTTACCTTCTTGCCTTCTCATTTCTTTAAGCGTAGCTTGATCAACTTTTAACTCTTCCTTTTCCGGTTTTTCTGAAAGTCCATATACTTCATCATCATCAGAGTTGGGCTTAGCCTCCTTTGCTTTTCCATTATCCTTAGCTTTGTTCCCACAAACTGGATCCTCCTGAGTCTGTTCTGTTCTAGCTTCAGGCCTTTGATCAACTCAGTGTCTTACAATTGTTCTATTTTTAATAGATGAACCACACGTGTATCATTGCTTCCTCCAAAGCCAAATCTTATGAGAGTGAAGTTTTCTACGCGGATTCGATTATGCGATCGAGGTTAGCTATTAGATTTCATTATTTTTGTTCTAGTTTGGTTTAATATGGTCCTTTATTTCATCAATTGATGTGTTTCGTTCCTCAATCTTTTGAACCGGAAATCACAGGAGAAGGATTCCATTGATCTTGATGTGTTTAAGTGAATAATTTATATGTGATGTTCTCACAATTTCTTTTGGTATTCTTTTTGTTGTGAGCTTTGTTTCTCTTTTTATTTGAAATTGCCATGTGTTATGTTTATCATTTCTTTTGAGTTTGGTCTTCTCCAAATTTGGTCGCAGGTTTGTGCACAGCTATGAAATTAGTGACAAAGTTCTTGTTAACACGCTGAAGATTGTTTGTTGTATTGTCTCGATGCCCACTCGCCAACATGAAGTTTCCTTTCAAGACGGGTAAAGCATGTTTCAAAAAATATACTTTCACACCCTAAAAAGCGTAACTGATTCTGATGTTAGAATTACTTACCTTTCTTCTGCTAGGATCAGCTTCACCGCAGCTCCGATGTTTTACATAAGTAGAGTACCATCTCTATTGTATGGAAGATCTTCACCTGGATGGCCCAATTTAATTTGAAGGGCTCCACATATAAGATTTCAAGGTAATGGCTTGTTTACAGAGTTTGAAGAATAACCTTACATTTTGATCTGCTAGAATCATCTCTAATGTCTATCCAGCAGCCGCCATGTATTGCTTCCAAACATGAAGAAGCTTGCTTGGATTCGCCAACCTGAAAAGAAAGACATCAAGGTATGTTAAACAAAAAGGAGCCACTAAAATTGATTCAAAGAATATAGTTATTCTCGACTTTTTTCTTTTTCTTTGGGAGGCTATAGAGGAAGGTCTATTTATACTGAAACAATTAGGTTAAAATTTTGATTTTTGTGGAGAAGAATCCGGTCTCAGGGTTTCACAGTGTTGGACACGGAATATCCTCGATTGTAGATACGGGACTTTAAGTTTGAATATTAAATTATAGCAAGAGGATCAATCTCGAATAATATGTCAACTAATACCGGCAAATCTTTCCATTAACTGTGATTTGTTAAATCAGTTTTAATTGTGAGGTATAATCGCATCTTTGATTCGAATCAGTTTTTCCAGGAAAGGATTGTGGTCCACGCAACTCCACACAAAACCGAAGGAAATATCTTGATTTGAAATTTAAGATCTCAAATGGTTTCCTTTCCAATCCGGACAAAGGATCCGCGTGCTTTTAACTGGATCCGGGTCGGGTCGGGTCGATTCGTAGTCAACTGAGTCGACTCAGTTTTGCTCCGAAATTTCTCCCGAAAAACTCCCTGTTTATCTCTATTTCCAAACACCTTTTCTTTGTTAACTGATTGGTCTTTTGATAAATTACTCACTTTTCCTCCAATTTTTTTTAGACTGGAATACCCTTTGTGACTCAGTTTTAATAGTATTGATCGAAAGTTTCTAATCGTTGACATTATTTGGACAAGTAATCTAATGATACATAGTTTTGGATTCAGAAGGTACTGCGAGTCGGTCAAAAACTTTCCGTAGGTAAGGATGCGTGTTACTTTTTTTTTTTTTTTTTTTTCTTTTTCATACCATTAAATATTGATATGGAATGGATCGCATCATATAATATATTCGACATAGAAAATGTGAAGAGAAACCAACAAACTTTTCTGTACCATTTTTTTTTTTTTTTTTAAGGTCAACGATGAGGACATGCTTCTTTAGGCATCTTTAGGCATAATAACACCGCCTTATACCGAGTCTAAGTACAAAAACCACTCCCGCACATCTAATATTGGTGTTAAGATGGGTACTTAATTAACACATATTGGTGTATAATATTGACTATGCTTCACAAATTTGTCTCGTCTAAGACATTCTTTTTAATTTTTGAATAATAATGAACATTCTTTCAAAATAATAAATAACAACACGCCAAGATATTTTTCATGAATTATTCTAAATTAATAGTGTACGTAGGTGAATTTCATAAGCAGCAATATTGGGAATTTAAATAAGAATAATATTTTTTTGTAGGATAAACACTAATGTCCATTTCTCACAAGAAATAGTCGCAAGAGAAATCTGGTCCCATGTGTAAAGATATTTTGTGCGTGTATAGGCAACAAGTTCTTCTCATCAATACTCTTAGCTTAAGCTGATTTAATACATGAATTGGATAGAGTTATTCAATCTCTTGATTAAAATACCAAAGCGTAGAAGCAATATAACGAAAGAAGATAATTCTTCTAGATAGAGCGAAAGCAAAACCAGCAAATCGGATGCATCGGGAAACTAATCACGCTCAAGCCGGAGAGTTGATGACAGAAAAAAGTTCGAGCGAATACACGCTATAATGATGAAATTACAATTAAACAAAAAGATTTCCCTGTTTTAGTATCAGATTTTAACCCCAAAAAAAACAAGTTTTAGCATCAGCTGATTTTGAACTACAATGAAGCCAATGGAGATACCCATTTGAAGAGATCTTTAGAACATGATATTTAATTGGTAGATAAAATCATGCATGTTAGTACGTAAAACGTTGATTTACCATAAAACCAAATAAATTAAAAAAAAAAAAAAAAAACGTTGTTTGACCTAATTTCCGAAAATTGATGGGGATTGATAGATCATCTCGAAAAATTTTGGAATATCTATCGAAGCGTTATTATGACTCAGAGAAGTTACTCTTATACAGTTTATATAATTTTATGTAATAATGTGGCTTTCATAACTGTTATACATTTGATTTCAAAGTGGATTCCACATGCATGGCAATTGGCAAGCTAAAGTGACAAGTTATTTGTGTTGGGACTGCATATCAAATTTTGGGTTTTACGCTTGCTAACTGTAAGAAATGTGAGAAAAGTAAACATTACGTACCACAACCTTTAGATGAGATTATATATGTATTACATCATTGGAATTTTGGGTTTTACGCTTGCTAACTGTAAGAAATGTGAGAAAAGTAAACATTACGTACCACAACCTTTAGATGAGATTATATATGTATTACATCATTGAAATAGGTGATCAAAGGATAGACAACGAAGCATGCATGCACTGATGCACACATATGCCTTAGTTCTTGGGACGAATCTCAACACCTTTTACAAAGAGCCCTCCCTTCCACCAGTTGGATGCCGTCTCGTACAAGGAGAATCTGATCTCTCCGGCATTCTGCGGCGTCGTTGTGAACTCACCGGCTGGTATTTCGACCCACCATTTCCCTATATGCGGTTTCAAACTCACACTCCGCTCTTGCGGCCTTTCCATATTGCTGGGCAATGTTAGCTTCAGGTTCACCGGTGTCTCCCATCCAGAAGCTGTATCTTCTAACTTTACCACGTACACAACCTCGTACGTCGTCCCTGGAATCAGTACCTTCGTCTCGAACGTTCCATTCACGTCTAACCAACAAACCTTTTCAAGCACAGCAGCTTCAACAAGTGTCTCGCTTAAAAAGTCAAAAACAAGAAATATATTACCTACAAGGGAAGCAATCGCACAAGCTTCCTCCTCATAATAAATATACGGAAAATAACATTTAAAAAAATAAAAATAACATTTTAAATTTGCTGGTTTTTCGTTGGATGTTTTATTTCGAAAACTGATAAAAAAATAACTAGAGTTATTATGAAAAAATAATTGTCAGAAGTGATTCTTTTTTTTTTTTTTTTTTTGAAGTGATATAATGTATGGTATTAAAACAAAAATTAAGGTTGATTATCTGTTTCTAAGGCATAATTGATCCAATCCGCTGATCAAACGGAGTATTTGATACACATGACCGGTTAAACCTTCCCTATAGAAAAAGAAGAAAAAGAAAACATGTACAGAAGTCGAACACCGCAGCCACCTGAACAGAAGACGAATACGCCATCGTCATGAGCCCTTAAAGCGCTATCTTTTGATATCAATCAGTTGACAAATGATAAGATTCTAAGATGTGTGTTCTTGCTTAAAAATGGTATTGTGAAAGTGGGTTATACAGAAATTTAATTATATACTGTAGTAGTTATTACCACAAATAAATAAAAAATACATGGGAAAAGGTTTTAAACAAAAAATGGATTTAAAATTACAATGTTATCTTTGTTTGGCAACTCGGTCAATACGTTTGAGAATTGGCTTTGGTTTCAATCTATTTATGCTCTGTTTGAAGAAGAAATCAAAGTTTAATCTTTATTGAAAGTTCCTCATCGTTCACATAATCTGTAGATATATAGTAATTAATTGATACATTCTTTTGGATTCATAAGGTAATACGAATCGGTAATATTTGACTCCCAACCGTGGCACGTCTTGCCTCCTATAGGAGCCGGCCTGATCGTTAATAACCAAAATGTAATCGAAAAGTAAAGTAACAGCATAGAATTGCCAAATCAAATGCCTAAATGAATATAAAGTACATCTCCTACTATCTTTTATTGGATAGTCTAGTAAACTAAAAAGATTGGAAAGTTATACGGCTTTGTGGAGACAAAGTCATATTAAAATTACAAAGAAACATAGTTATCTACAACTTGTCAAGTTATCGACAAGATTTACAATTATAAAACTAAGCAAAGTGCTAGTGACTATATAAGTACCCTCAACGATCACCACAAAGTGCCATCAGCTCTTGCCCCTTCAAAACCAAAGGTTCTCTTTCTATTTATTTCTCATTCACGATGTTTGTTTACTGATTAGGAACAAGTTATGTGATTTGTCGTTTATTCTGATTAATCTACATACGTGTAGATTGTTGTTTTATGATAATTCATATTTATTTGAGAGCTTTTGTTAAGAAATATTTACTATTGACTAATTGTGATCATTTGCATACAAAAGATTAATAATCAAGCGAATCAAGGCAGAGAGAAAAGTCATGACACAAAGGGTGGATGCACAAGGAGGAAATGGAGGAGGTTCTTGGGACCATGGCATTAACAGTGGTATAAGAAAAATTTATGTGGGAAGAGATGACACTTGTATTAGTTATCTCAGGGTCGAATATTTCAGTGATGGTACGGTGAAGTCACATGCGCAAGGTGCCCAGATTCACAAACCACAAGAGGTCTTACAAAAACTCTCTTTTCTATATAAACGATAGATCACAATACCCAAGATTATATTTATTTTGGTGGATTTAATGCAAATATATTTCAATCGGGGAGTAGTCGTACATTGACATAGAACAGGCTAAATTGTTTATGATTGTTAAATTTCTTTTTAAACATTTTACTGACTTGTGTTGTTGAAACGAAAACAAATCCAAACGATCAATTATTGCAGTTTGTTGTTGACTATCCAAATGAATACATCACATCAGTCGAAGGAACTTACGCTGTTGCTTACATTACTGCTATTGTCGTAACGTCGCTTGTCTTCAAGACATCAACGGGAAGAGTATCTCCGAGATTCGGAAACCCTGGATTCGTGCTTGAGAATAATGGTCGGAGGCTTGTAGGGTTCCATGGGAAATCCGGTGACGCTCTAGATGCCATCGGAGCTCATTTTGCACCGGACACATCATCATCGAACTGGGCTCCGCCTAGGAAACTTGCCGCGCAAGGTGGTCCAGGAGGAGGAATGTGGGACGATGGAGTTCACAGTGGTGTAAGAAAAGTATATATTGGAAGTGATGGGAGTTGTGTATCTAAAGTCAAATTCGACTATGTCAGCGCGGACGGTGAATTAGAAACACGTGAGCATGGCCGGATAATTCAACATCCACGAGAGGTAAATGTAGAATTGAACTCAGTCGTTTTGGATCATGAAACAAAGTAGATATTTGCTTGAATACGATAGTGAGACAACGAAAGACCTTATTACAACACAAACCACAAGAAAATACATTACCATTTATTAGTGGATGTCAATTAACTTTATCATCATCTATACACATTTAAATAGGAGCCAAGGTCAATAATTTTTCTAGGGTGATTAAAGTCTTTATTAATTGATATAATTAACTTTATCATCATCTATATAGATATTTTGAACCGCTATAAAAGGGAGAAAAATAAACTTTCAGTTTGATTGTTTTGGTGTGTGTTAGGATACATGTTCTTTGATATCATGTGTTGCATTTATAGTTATTACCTCTAGGCTAAGTGAAATAAAGTCTCACTTAGAATTGTATACGTCAAACTAAAACATAGTCAAAAACTCTGTTTACATTTTGTAAAATGTGTTTGATAGGAAAATTTGAAATGTTATCTTGGTCAATATTTTTTGTGCATTGGACCGTATCCTTTCTTATAGTATAATAAGAGATAGTAATTGATGATTGCAGTTCCTGCTTGATTACCCAAACGAATATATAACATCAGTGGAAGGAACAACTGGAAGGACTCCTATTTATCATCAACCGTCGTCACGAGTCTGGCCTTCACAACATCAACAGGAAGGACTTCGCCAACATTTGGAGCTACTAAGTTTGTGCTGGAAGACAATGGTCGTCAGCTTGTTGGCTTCCATGGCCGATCTGGAAATGTTATTGATTGCATCGGAGCACATTTTGCTCCTGTGCCACCACCTTCTTGAACACTGATCGAGTAAGCTTGTTTCACTTTACTAAAAAAAAAAAAGCTTCAAACTTCAAAGACAAATGTCGTATATTTTTCGCTTTATTTTTTTTTTCTTTTTCTGTAAATATTTTTTTCGCTTTGTTGTTTTGTTGTTGATGTTCTTTTCTCTGTATTATAAATTTGTGTATACATCTTTGTATAATTTATTGTGTGTCCTAAAATCCAGTTTTCTGTTTTTCTATAGTCTTCCTATAATCCATTGCATGTAACTAATACCTAAATCCTTTATAAAACTAGGACTTTCACCCGCGCACTCCCGGGTCTGTATCTTAAATCGGTTTAAAATATATTTTTAATGTATAATTTTTTTAAACTGCAAAAATCAACAATTAAAATTTATCAATATTTCAATACCAAAATTTTCTGGAAACAAAAGTTTTTAGATATATCAATATCGTGTTGAGATCAAATCTTGACATACAAAAATATTGTTTAGATCATATCCCGGTAACAAAAATGTTTGTGTATGTCTAATGACCAAAACTTACTTGAAGATATTCAAATCATTATAATAGGAAAACTTTATTAGTATATATATATATATATATATTGTAAAATGTAATGTTAATTTATGAACTATTGTGACGTGTTAGTCATTTTCTAAACAGAAATATATTTTTAAATATGTATAGTGATATTCTTAAAATTAGATGTCAACAGTATTTGTATGTAACACAATGTTTATTTAAAATAACTTCAATTCGTTATGTTAGAACTTAAAATGCTATAAACAACATATAATTTATTTTTCAGTACATTTAACTTACACATCGTGTTATTAGTTTATAAACTTTCATAATAGTATTTGAAAATGTAGAGAAATTGTAGAAAATGTAGAAAAACTGATTATTCTACCCCTAATAGGTTTATTGCCTATATCTCTTTATCCTTATATATTTTGCCATTTTTGGAAGGTTCGTGATTTTCTCTTATTTGAAAATCGTTATTTACATGGAGATGAAATCTTCTTAAAGGATGTGAAGGATGCCAGACATCAACCTCTTCTTTCTCTCTCTGTCTGACCTCCATTATCCTCCCGAATATGAACTCTTATTTTGTTGATGTAGGGTGGAATGCTTTCTCGAAAATTTGTTGTATGGGTTGCACTATTAAATCTCCTTTGAATTCTTCTGCTCCATAGTAATCCAAACAAACTATTTACTTTTTCGACCATTTTTTTGAAGCTACGATGAACTAAATATTATATAGTATGCTATTGTTTTTTTTTTTTAGCTCCCAAAGCTTGATCTCTCTCATCACCTAAAAAACTGCAAATGAACTTCATATGTCTTCTATACGACATTACACATTTTTGTTTCTATCTCCATTTTTTTATTCATAGATTATGTAATGTTGAGATCGACTCTTTTGCAATGTTGGCTTTGTTTGCTTAGAACAATTCTTCAGTTATTATGGTGTAACCTACTCTTTATTTGTAAAAACTTAAGTTTGGTCAAAGATAGTTCACCTTAAGGTTTATTTAATTCTTTATAACTAATATTTTAGTTATACAAATGTTTTTATATAATTTTAAAATTTAGTAAATTATATTTTTTAACAATAATTTTTAAAAATCTTAATTTAATTACGTTGGACTTGTGGAGTTTCTAATTTAAACCGGTTCTATTAATTAATTTTCTTGAAACATAAAAGAAGTTAACTAATTTTAAAAATATAGCTAATTTTAGATGACGATATAGATTAATATTATTGGCTGTTTAAAATTTGAAAAAAATGAGATGATGATATAGATTAATACTATTGGTTGTTTAAAATTGAAAAAAATAATTATGTAAATGTTTATGTGGACCAATAAGATGCTTTTATAATCTTATGTGGACACTCTTAAATGCATTTAGCCTCAAATTTTATATTAAAAACATATTTATTAAAAAAATATTAATTTAATCACTTTAGACTTGGGAGTTTCTAATTTAAACAGATTATACTAATTAATTCTTGAAACATAAGAAAGAAATTAACTAATTTAACAAATATAGCTAATTTTATATGATGATATAGATATATGTTTAAAATTTGGAAAATTTCTTAATTTTATATGATTATGTGGAATGATACTATTGGTAGTTTAAAATTTGGAAACTTTCTTAATCTTGAAGATGCTTATGTGGACCAATAAAATCGTGTTTTAAATCCTATGTGGACGCTCAATGGCTTATAGCCTCAACTTTTATATAGTATAGATATGTTAATGCAATAGAAAAATAACATTTGCTTTATAAAGATAAGTTTAAAAAAAAAGTTTTAAATCAAGCGCATCGTTTGTTTCAAAGAACAATCAAATGAATAAAAAAACTTTATACTTTACCAAAGAATGATCTATGTGTAACTATCCTTGTTGCAAACCCAAATGACTTTTTTCTTTTTTTGATAAAGCAAACCCAAACCTAAATGACATCCCTTCCATGTATTCCATGTAAACCCCAACCCTCAGTGTTCATTGAGAAAAAAAACTCTTTCTCGACTCTTTTATTAAATTTAGATAAAAATGTGGCGCCTTACAAAGCACTTACACACAAATTTAAAATTCGAAAACTAGAAGCAAATCAAACAAAGATTAGGCTATACGAATCGCCTAATCATAGGAAATAACGGAAATGAAAATGAAACAAAAGCAAAACACAAACACTCCCATCAAACGAAGAATATAGAAGACACTCTGCATTAGAAACACAAAGTATTTATTTATATGAAAAATGGGCAGAGTCGCACAGTTGATTGATCAGAGAATGTTGCACCCATGACCTTTCGCCATTTGCGCTTCCATTTCTGCACGGTGCTGGCTATCCAACTGAGCTAGCACATCATGCATTTCCGCTCTATGTCTCCCCTCGTCCGCTTCATGCAGCTTCTCCTCTGCTAAATCTCTTTGCGCAAAGATCTTCTCCTGAGCGTCCGTAACAATCCTCATATTTTTCTCCATCTGGACAAAAGAATAAGATCTCGTTAATGTCCACATCGTTATCAACACTATATAGATGTGTGTGTGTGTGTGTGTGTGTGTGTGTGTGTGTTGTGTGTGTATATTAAAGAAGAGGAGTAAGTTTATACCATGTCTGAAATGGCCTTGAGGTTCTGTTGGTTCAGTAGAAGTAACTCCTTCATGAATTCTTGCATATCTTCTGATGAATGCCCTTTATCTTTAGCAGCCTGGTGTTCCTTCTCGTGTCTATCTTTCTCTTCCTGATAAGAGATACCATTTGATTTCAGTAATTAAAGACACACTATAGATAGATGCAAATGGAATAACAAAAACGGGACACTATTTTCAAACCTTAATCTTTAGGTACATGGCCTCGGTATACGGAATGTTATTGGTATGCTTTCTGACCATTTCGACAAGTTTGAGAAGCTCTTGGTTTTGCTTCTTCTTGGTCGCATCATCCTTGGTTTTGTTATCGAACACGACCTGCCTTTTGTCGCACGCAACAAGAAGTTTCTGAAACCACAAGAAATGTAAATCTTAAGTCCCAAGCTAAAACCCTCTCTAATTCCACAAAATTTCGTAAAAATGTGATCGAAGTAACCAACCGTTAGGAATTCAGGGCAACCATCCAAATAGTTATCAATGGTTTCCTCATCCTCGGTTAACTCATCCCCGCCGGTGAAAACAACGATAAGATAATCAACAATTTTACTCCCGAAAAGGACCTCCAAGGTACTAAGTACCAACTCTTCCTCTTTGGTAACTCGGTTCCTCACCGAAATCACCAAGAGAACAGCATGCAAGCCTCCTTCCGCTTGATGTAGGCAGCTAACGATTTCTTTGCTTATGTAATCCGCCGACGACGTCAGATCAAGTAGACCTACACATCATCCCACTCCACATGTTAACCATTTACATACAATTTGATGCCATAAAATAAATCAACTTGAATATTTTTTCATTTTTTAAAAAACTTTTGAAGAGAGTGCATGTGTCATAGCTTTGTGATGAACACTGAAAATCAAAGCTATTGGAACTGATCATTTCGTGATTGTGTGTTTTCACTTGAATATATATATGTAATGACAATGTACCTGGAGTGTCAATCACTCGGAGATTGGGGCCTCCTTGTATCTCAACTAGCGTTGACTTGGTTTCCATTGTAACGCCAGTTGCGTGTGGTTTCGATACAAACACATGTTTGCCGGCGATGCTGTTCCCGGTGGCGCTCTTTCCGTTCCCTGTACGCCCAAACAAGACTATGTTTTCCACCGAAATCTTCTGAGAACTGGCCATCTTTGGGGAAATTTCCGTCACGCTTTCTGTTATTAAACATACAAATTTATTTATTAGCTATAACCCGATCATAGTAACACAACGTTGAAAAGCTTAGTTTGATATTTGATAGTACTAAAAAGGGAAGCTATGAAACACATGGACAAAAAGGGTATATACGATTACAAGTGAATTATCCATACAAATGGATAGATACAAGTAATATGACATTAAAATTAAGAAAGGGAAATTGTGAGAAAATGACGAACTTGATTTTAATGCCGAAAGTGTTTAAGCTTTTAGTAGATGCTAGACAGATGTTGTTAATCTACAAACCTAGTTTCAGGTTTATATAGAAGTGCTGAAAGTTTCATTTTCTTTAAAAACAAATAATTACATATTTTGCCACCCAACTATTTTACATTCCAGCATGACGAATCTTTTTTTGTATGAATGTTAGTAAGATGCATGACGAGTTTTTCGTTAAGTTGCATATTTTAACGAGTCTTTCTTTAAGTTATTATATCGAGTCTTTCATTCTTTTTTTCCATTTTTCTTTTTTTACCCCAGAACAAAACGAATCTTTCTAACGCCATTACATGTGAAGGCAAGAGAAGAGTCTTTGGTTAATGATGACTTTAGGGCCGAGTATTCTTAAATGACAAAGGGCCGCTTAAACGATTATTTCAATTGGATTTTTTTGAACTGTTATGTTACAATGGTTTAGATCTTGCAAATATTGATATGATTCTTCATCTATATTTGTTCTTATATAATGCACCGGGTTTAGTTGATCACCTAATCTATAATCTTAATTTAGGTTAAACATATTCCTTGAAAGTGTTTTGGATTGCTAGATAGAACATGGATGAGTAGATATCCGTATCAAAATGAGAGTTGGTGACAGAGCGCATATTGAACATATTGAACTTGATCCTGAATCTTGGTTTAATCTCCTAAATTCAAATGAGACTTTAAAATATTGTTATTTATAGTACTTATTGCTGCGAAAGTGGAAAAATTGTGTAGTTGTCATTTGAGTTCTACGTACTATTTTAAATATTACTGACAGATATTCATCTTGATTTTCATTCTATGAACTTTACGCTTATCTCTACTATCTATACTGTTAATTCTTTTTTTCTTACATCATTTAAAGTTACGTTAGGATTTTCTTAGGTTAAAACTTTGTGTATACATTTGGCGCCGTTTACAGGGACCATTATGTTGCTTTCGAGTTTTAAAATAAGCTTCAATTAAGATTCTTTTTTACTTGTTATTAATTTGTTAGTCTTCGCTAGGGACTAAAAAGACTTGATCCAACACTAAAGACGCATTAGAAGCGTACGTATTACAACATATCAACTATCTATAAAGCAACTTAGAAAGATATTTGTTTGTTCAAAATTTAAATAATCATTAGTTTGCCGATCCAAATAAAAAGTATTTGCTTCAAATTGTATAATATGAAGTCTTTGTTTAAATCATATTGTAAGAGGTATAATGAAACCTGGAAAATTATTCGTTTGTTAGAAGTTATACAAAAGCCAATGTTTTTTTGATAAAGGACATGAAAAAAAAGTCATTGTTATAAGTTCTATTTGATAACGTCTTATAAATTGTATTGTTTGAGGGAGGTATATCGCATGATGAAAAATATCCATTTATCAGAAGTTAAATAATGTCTTAATTTTATTTAATTAAGGGTATTGAGTTAAGTTTTTAATTATTTTAATAGAAACTGTATTATAAGAGGTACAATGCAACTTGGAATAATATGATCTTGCTAGAAGTTAAAAAAAAAAGTCATTGTTTTTAGTTGTCTTGTATAAAGTCGTCTAAATGTATTGTGTGAAGTACAATGGAACATGGAAAGTATAAATTTGTCAGAAGTTAAACAGAGTTTTATTTTTATTTTTCAAGTTGTATTGTGTGAATATTTGTTTAATTGTATTGTATCATTCTTTATTGTATGAGGTCTATAATGAATGGATCATTGAAATGATCCGATAACCTTTATCAAAAAGTAATTGGTCCGATAAAAGTTCAAGGATAAACAACATTTTTTTCTTTTACAATAAACTTCCAAACTATCATTTGGCGAGCTTTATCGGGATGGTGGGTATCGAAATCTACGAAGCTACGAAATAGAGGTATAATTTGTGACGCACAATATTCACAATATTGGACGGAAGAAACGATTAACCTTATTGTTCTCGTAGAGTGTCCACTATCATTACAAACTTGGGCTATTTCTTAGATACCAGTAGCTCCCAATAGGTGTTGGATTTTTAATAATTACATATAGTTTTTAACAATTACATTAGGTTTTTCTCCCAACAGGCGTTCATCAAACGTTTGGCATATCTGGAAAGTTAGCTAGAAATGGCAAATTTACAATAATTTGGATTGAGATCCGCTTAAGGTCTTCAAGCTTAAGGGAACCGAAAGAACACTTTGGGAGTCGGCACAAACTGATCCTCAGCATACTGAAGCACAACGTTGTAAACATTCTTTAAAATTAGAAGATTATACAAGTGATCAATGTTTTATTGAGGGCTTGTGGAAGGAGGCCGGTGAACTTTTAGGTAATTAGTAATCTACGCAAAAGACTCTTTCCTGTACATTTTGAATTAGAAGTTCTCATCTAACCATGCACTTCATAATTGTAAATTGGTGTACATCGATACCTTATACATGTCTCCGAGTTAAAGAAGATAGTTAGAGAAGATGGTGTTTACACCAGAAAATCAGCATGTATTTTCAACATTTGGAAGAATTCATCAAGAGTATAAGAAGGCCTTCACTTTTTTCGCCATTTGCAACCATTACAAAGACGAAAAAACTAGCACGAAGAACCTATCTCTATTGTTTAGATCTTATTTTGTATTTTCTAATTTTATTAGAGACTATATATAATTCAAGTTAAACATTAATAGCTACCAATAATACAATATACTCTTGTCCAAATTTAAATAAATCTTTTTTTTTTGCCTGACATTTGCTTTAAGTTTTACTTTGTGAAATCTTATTTAAATTGAAGAGGTAGAATGAAACTTAGAATAATATGCGTTCATCAAAAGTTAAGAAAATGTCGTTTTTTAGTTGTATTGTATAAAGTCTTACAATAAAAAGAGAGACAAACTAGCACAAACAACCTATCTCTATCGTTTTGATCTTATTTTGTATTTTCTAATTTTATTAGAGACTATATAGTATATATTATTCAAGTTAAACTTTAATGCCTACCAATAATGCAATATTTTCGTGTCCAAATTTAAATAAATCTTTTGTTTGCCAACGATTGATTTAATTTTTACTTTGTGAAATCTTTGTTTAAATTGAAGAGGTACAATGAAACTTGGAATAATATGCGTTCTTCAAAAGTTAAACAAAAGTCATTGTTTAGTTGTATTGTATAAAGTCGTTTCAAATTTATTGTGTGAGGTATATTGCAACATGCAAAGATATGTATTTTTGAGAAGTTAAACAATAATGTCTTTCTTTCTTTCTTTTTATTGTTAAAGAACAAAGTCTTTCTTTTAATTTGTATTGTAACAGTCGAAGTCTTTAAAAATGTATTATGCATGTGAGGTATATTGCAACATGGAAATATTTATTTGTCGGACAGAAGTTAAACAATGTCTTTCATTTTTATTTTTATTTTGTTAAACAACAAAGTCTTTCTTTTTAAGTTATATAGAATGAAGTCGTTGTTTAAATTGTATTGTCAGATGTACAATTTTTTATAGAAATTAAACAAGAGTCATTATTTTAAGTTATATTGTATAAAGTATTTTAAAATGCAATGTGTGAAATATAATGCCATGCCGCATGGATATTTTTTTCTTTTCCGAAATTAAAAGTGTTAAAAAATGATTTGCTTAAGTTGTATTGTGTGACGTTTGACGTGTTTATTTAAATTCTATTGTATGAGTCTTTGTTGTATGGAATTACTGAATTTGTTTGATTGGATTAAGGGGTAATAAAATAAAAAATCTTTAAACTAATTATAGTTACCAACTTATATCCAATTTTTTCAATTTTACAATGAACTTCCACACTGTTCACAACCCTAGAAAAAGAATCATCAACTTTGTACCATCAACTTTGTACCCGATTGTATGGTTAGGACATCATGATTCAAGAGTACCCGGTTCCTGACTCGAGTCAGCTATCACTTCTATAATATTCATCACGCTTTTGTCTTTGGTCTGCACACACCACAATCATAAGAAGGAGGGACGTTCGTCGATCATTCCACTAACCCTTCTCCTTCCTTTCATTTTATCCAAAATAACCATTGATTTAAAAAGGGTTCCAACCACAAAATAGGTATCATTATCTCCTTTTTTACTCTCTACTCACTAGGCCTGGGCAACTTTACCCGAACCGAACACGAAAAAGATGGAACCGAACCAAACCAGAACCGATACAAAATATATCCAATGGGTCCAAATTTTTCATATCCGAAAAAAAAGAACCCAAACCACAACTGAATAAAAAACCGAATGGGTACCCAAAATATCCAAAATATAGTTATATATCCAAAATATTAGTTATACTCAGATTTAAAATAATAAAAAAAACCTAAAGTTACAACTATAAGTCTAATATAATAGTTATATTTATAACAGAATTTCCAAAATATTGGAGAAATCTAGAAGATGGAATAAATACATGTTTTTTTGCACATTTTCGAGTTATGATTGGGTATTCGGTTAAAAAAAAACTAATTAAAGCCGACCCGAATCAGACCCGAAATAGACCCGAACAAGAACCAAAATTCGAACAAACCCAAACATGTCTACAAAATTTAGCCCCAAACCCGACAGAAACCGAACCGCAACCGAACCGAAATTTCCCTAAACAAATCAAGGCTCTCGCAATAAATATAAATATACTTTTGGAGTTTAAAAACTCTAATGTGTATGTGGGCGTAAAACCTCTTTGAATAAGTATATGAGGGTCCATTGCAAGTAAAATTCGACTTTGTAGGGTTTGACCTGCTATTTGTTTTTGCAAGTTAAAGATAATCTTACGAAAAATGTTATTTCGAGAGTTGTTTTGCAGCTAACCCTAACAACAAAATATTCCTAAAGTTCTATTTAAACTTGCGAACAATGTTGAACACTTATACTTGTAAGACTCATCTCCTACTCTGTCTCACATCCACGTTCTAAGTACGTTCATCATCGTCTTATTATCTTATCCTTAAATCAACTTTTTTTTTTTCAATCTAAACATCAAATTTTATGTTATTTTCTCCGAATGAAGATGGTTAAATTATAAGCTTCCATTCAGATTACTCGTCTTGGCAACATCCGTTCTTTTCTTTGTTTTTTGGCTCAGTCAGGAACATAATTGTTCAAGTTAAGATTTTATATAGCTAATCATCAAACAATGGTTGCAGGAAGTTTGTGAAGATGAACAAAGGTTATTCCGGATCAGCTTCAGCATCAAAGAACGCTGAAAACATCGTCCTAGTAGGCCGCACAGGGAATGGAAAAAGTGCTACGGCGAATAGCCTCATTGGAAAAAGGGTGTTCGAGTCTAAACCACATGCATCTGGTGTTACCATGGAATGTCAGATACATGAAACGGTAACAGGAGATGGTCACGATATCAAGGTGATCGATACTCCTGGTAAGTTTGCTTTCACTTATATGAATATTGATTTGGCAGCTTGATTTAGTCATTGCATTGAATTTCTGGCGTCAATTATGGATTGCTTAATTAATTGTGGGTGTGATGACTGATGCAGGTCTGTTTGACTTGTCAGTGTCGGCAAAGTTTATAAGCAAACAAATTGTTCAATGCCTAAACCTAGCGGAAGGAGGGATACATGCTGTGCTCTTGGTTTTTTCTGCAAGGACTTCGATTACAGAAGAGGAAGAAGAAACCCTTAGTACCTTGCAGGCACTCTTTGGGAGTCAAATCCTTGATTATGTTATTGTCGTTTTCACCGGCGGTGATGTGCTGGAAGAGGAGGGTGCGACACTAGACGAGTTTTTGTCTAGAGATTGTCCTCCCTTCATCAATGTTGGTTCTTTAGACATAATGATCCTTAAAATGCAAAACTTATTAATTTTTAAGATTCTCATATATGTATACTTTTAAATTCCAGGAAGTCATAAGTATGTGTGGTAACCGGAAGGTTCTTATAGATAACAAGACTCATGATGAAGGCAAGAAGGCAGAGCAAGTCCGTAGGCTTCTCTCCCTAGTAGATGAAATCAGAAGGAGAAACCGTGGAGGGTCATATACCGATGACATGTTCCATAAGATAAAGGTGAAATTTATGTTATAATGGCATCTGCATGCATTTCTTACGTTAAAATTATTTCCTCGGGGATATTTGTATATATGGTCCTATCTTTGAGCAATCTCAGAAAGAGACCGACAGACTACAAAAGGAGCATGAAGAGCTGGAAGAGAAGAACCATCCTCACGAATTGCATCTGCAGATGAAACAACAATTACATGCATCGTATGAAAAAAATATCAGTCACTTGTCAAACACGGTACAACAATAATTACTAATCTTGACGACTATTTGTAGATTGATATTTGTAAAGTTCTGAACAACCTCTTTTTGTTATGTGAAGTTGGAGAAGAGGTTGAATAAAGCTTTGGCGGGACAGGGGAAAGCATTAACCAAGTTTGGAAAGTATGTGCATGTGAGTGATGATAATCAGCATCAAGGGGATCAGCCAGTCATTTCAATCCCTCTTTCAGCACTCCCGCTTCCAACTCGCGGGTTTTGCAGCATCCTGTGATTAACGTCCCCAAAGATCAATATCACCGTAACTTCGGATTGCACTGTGAAGATACTATCAAGGAGGGTCTATTCTCCATATTTCGATTATTTTCTCTCTTTTTTTTTTTTATCAAAAATCTGCTTCCTGCTTTTACTATGTTTTTCCCGTTATGTACGTAAGAATACATGCTCTGTAAATGGACACATGTAGTCTTTTTAAAAATGTTGTTCCATATAGTTGTGTTGGTTTACACGTTTGCATGAGTGTATGGCCACATACACTAATGAATAAAGGATCTCATTGTTTCATTATGCACCTACTGTATGTATTGTGTTTGCAGTTTTCATGTAGTTTCTATACTTGAATATGTCGTTCTGCCCATCATTGCTGGTGGTCTTGTGGTAGTTTCCGGCTGTTGTTCAATCGTCTATAACTCTTAATCAGTAGAAAAACTGTCACATAGTCTCATATCTCAAGTACGCATTAACGACTTTCTCGTCCAGTAGATCTCCGCAATATACATTTGTCAATTTGTCATGCTGTGTCAAATAAAACTGAAAAAAAAAATGAAAGCACAAATGAAGAAAAAGAAAGTAAGGTTACACATAAATTGCCAAAATAAAACTGTGCCTCCATTTGTCATGTTGTTGCCAAAATGAAAGCATAACTGAAGAAAAAGAGAGTAAAGTTAAACATAACTTGTTCACTGTAAACCAATAATGTTTCCGAACTCTGTTTTGCCAGGTTGAACAACCAATCACAGAATATTTTTTTTTAGTTATTGAGTAATAACAATAAAAAAAACAACGAATAAGTTTAAGACAAAAGTTAATTAATTATTGAACAATAGCTTTTGGTCGTATTTATGTCCCTAATATTGAACGACTTTGCGATAAAATAGCAATTTCAAAGGTTTGTTTTGGCAAGTAAAGTAACGACTCATGAGTCATGATGAGTCATGACTGCTATACTGCACCCCTAATATATTAAAAGAGAAGATAAATAAATAAATAATTTTTTGTTATGTGATATTAACAAAAATGTTATGCTGATGTGTTATTAATTTATCATGTTCATTCTCAAGATAAATTTTAATTAAGACAAATATTACTAGACTAATTACATTTTATGTCATTGACATTAATTGGAGAGAGAATAGGTTATTTCAATATTTATAAAAATTGAGAATTTAATTATGAAAAGATTATCAGTATTTCCATTTCTTACACATAATATATCATATTAATTAATTTTCTTAAATACTATATTTTCTTCTCTATTTTTTTTTTGTTGAACTAAGTTTTGTGAAAACAATAAATTATCACATCATCTATATATTAATAAAAATATATATTTTCTACTACAAATTTTAGTTTGAAATTATTAAAAGGAATATCAATTTGTCAAATGACAAAAATATGAGTTCTTCAAAGTTTTTGATTGGATATAAATGTGTGGGTGGTCCATAGAACCTTTATCAATTATCACATAAAAAATTATCCAATTACATTTTTAAAAATTAATTAATTATTAATTTTTCATTTGTGCATGGCGCGGATCCAACCGTATTTAGTCATTAAATCTAGATACCCTCAAAAGTCAAAGCTTAAGGAAGCATAATTCTTTTGCCTTCGCATGTAACGACAACTGATATATTCAAAAAAAAAAAGATTTAATTGAAAAAAAAGACTTCAAAAGTACAGTACTTTTGAAATACGCTCGTTTAGAAAACTTAAAAAAAAAAAAAAAAAAAAAAAAAAAAAAAAAAAAAAAGACTTCATACAATCCAACTTAAACAAAGACTCGTTATAGTGGAAAGCAAAATAATAATGTATGACTTCATACATTCCAAACATGAATAAGCATTCTACATTCTAATATTTAACCCTCAAAAGTCGTCAAACCTTAATTACGGCTCTTCTCTTAGCTTTACATGTAATGACACTTGAGAGATAATTATTTAAGTTTGGAAAAAAATGAATGACTTGAGAGAGTTGAGATAATGCAAACTTAAAACAACGACTCGTTAGTCGTTATGCTGGAAAATAAAATAAATAAGATGGCCAAAACTGTAAATGAAACATATTTATAGAAAAGGAATAAAGGGAAATGGCCGGCTTAAAGGTTTTGTAAGCCTAAGGGCAAAATCCAAATTTTATTTGAAATGTGCCCTCTTTTAAATCTTTTTTCATTTTTTGTGCACCTTTTTTAAGACTAAATTTTGTTCTTCCCCTTGGTCCCTAGTTCACCGCACCGATTGCACCCCCTATTAGCCGCCCCCGAAATCATTCAATTAATGATCTATTTAAACTTGAAAACTAGCTTGGTTGATTTACTACTTCTGTCTAGCATCTGCGACGACGAGGTACCAGAAAGACTTCTGGCATCTGCGAAAAGGTTACTACCGTCCTTTCATTTTCCTTTGCTTTAATTTGTTTTGTTCTGTGCGATAACGTTTGCATCTGTAAGCTGTGGAAGCTTTCCCGCATAGATTATAAAATTAAATAAGATCCGTTAGTATCAGAATTAGTCACTCACTTCTCGTTGTAATGCTGACAAGCTTAACGCAACTCTCTTCCCTTGTGTTTATTGTTAGATCTTAAAATCACACAATAATAGTAAGATAAGAGATGTGAGGTTTAGGAGAACTCTTTATTAGATCAACCAAAGACAAAGATGATACAAGGGGTGATTCGTCTCGACGAAAAGTGTGACGAGACGAATACGAAAAGAATAGAGAAACTAAGAACAAAGGACGAATTATAACTAGGGTTTTGCCTCTTTGCTCTCAGTGATTGTGGTGGTTATGAATGATTCTGAATGGTCTTCAAGGAATAGGGGGTCTTCTATTTATATGGAGAGGAGGTTGGCTTCCTCAAGATATTCTTCCATATTTCTTTTGGAAATATTCTTCTTTGGCGTTGATCTCCTTCTATTTTTCTTGGATGTAGTCTTTTTCTCCAAGTACTTCCTTTTCTTTGAGGAGGTGGAAGTGGAAGCGGGCCGGGCTTACATAGTATTATTAATTGTGACGGGCTCAGGAAATTGTGCTAATTTCTGCTCTAACAATAAGTCCCCCCCAGTTTGGCGAGATAAATGCAATTTAATCTCGGCGAACTTCATGTATAAAAGAGGAGCTCAAGAGCAATTAATAATAACTATGTGATGCCGACGCGATGCCGATGCTGTCGCGATGCTGCGCTGACGTGATGCTGCGTTGCGTTATTGACTTTAGATCCGTACTGCCTCGTTAAAACCTTGATATGGAAAAACCCTATGGGATAAAAACCATAAGAAGGGAAAAGAGTACAGTGACGTAATCTTGTCCGCAAATAGAATGTGCTTTTGATAATTTCTCTCGGACTTGACGAGATGACTCTTTTGTCTCGTCAAGGAGAATAGATTGCTGTGACGATTTTTCTCGGATTCGAGCTTCGACGAGATTGGTTTTATCGGGCTCGTGTGATGACGAGACCGCTCGATTTCGTATATGATGACGAGATCGGTGTCTTCTCGGGCTCGTGTGATGACGAGACCGCTCGATTTCGTATATGATGACGAGATCGGTGTCTTCTCGGGCTCGTGTGATGACGAGACCGCTCGATTTCGTATATGATGACGAGATCGGTGTCTTATCGGGCTCGTGTGATGACGAGACCGCTCGATTTCGTATATGATGACGAGATCGGTGTCTTCTCGGGCTCGTGTGATGACGAGACCGCTCGATTTCGTATATGATGACGAGATCGGTGTCTTATCGGGCTCGTGTGATGACGAGACCGCTCGATTTCGTCCTTCAGACCTCAGACCTTTCGGGCTCACCCCAAAGTCTGAAGGCATTCCCATCGGTTCGGACGCGACGGCTTCGCGTCGGCTTACTCCTCATGGATGATCAGTCCGTATGTTTTTCTCGGATTCGCGCTTTGGCGAGACCGGTTTTATCGGGCTCGTGTGATGACGAGACCGCTCGATCTTGGATGACAAGATCGGTGTTTTCTCGGGCTCGTGTGATGACGAGACCGCTCGATCTCGTGTGATGACGAGATCGGTGTTGTCGAGAGGTTTGGCCAGAACGTCGACGTGTGCCTTTGGAGGTGAATAAAATTTTACAATGCTCATCTCGTCAGACGGATTATAGAATTTTATTGGGGGTATAGCTGAACCTTTGGAAAGGCTGCCTACGTACCCATGCCGGGATCAAGCCATTCGTAGTTCGTTTTCTCGGTCTCGTGCTTGAGACCGGTTTGATGCCGAGATGTTTATCGGACTTGCCGTTTCGGCGGCGGAGGCAGATCATCTTGGTGAGGGAGTGATGCAGGCGCGTTCTTCTCGGCGTCGTCGTCTCGATCTTGGCGTGTATTTCTACTTTGGCGCTGGTTTGCAGCTCGTCGATTTTCGTCGCGGCGTTCAGCATCATTGTGGCTTTGCGGAGTATTGCGTACTCTAGTATCATGCTGTTGATGCGCCTACATTCTTCTGTAGTATGATCGGTTCGTCCATGGAGTTTGCACCATTTGGACTCGTCGCTGCCCTGTCGAAAGACTCCTTAGAGGCCTCCTTTTATTCTCTTGACGAGATGACTCTTGATGAGATGAATCTTGACGAGATGATGCATGCGAGATGATCCTTCGTCATTCCATGAATCTTTGAGTGGTGCGCCTTGCTTTCTTCAACACAGACGTATTTTTGGGATCTGTGCAAAGCGTCCTGGAGGGTTGCGGGTTCGTCGAGCATCAGACTCTCTTTCAACTTTGATTCGAACCAAAGCCCGTTTTCGAAAGCTTTGATTCCTATCGTCGGGGATGTCTGAGTGCTCAGCTGCTGCTGTTTTGAATCTCTCGACGAACTTGCGAAGAGACTCATCTTTTCCCTGTGCCATAGTGAAAAGATTGGTGCTGCCTTTTGACATAAACATGCCAAAGTGTTTCATGAATGCCGTGCTGAGATCATCAAAGTTGTCGATGGTCTCGGCAGGGAGGTTCGAAAACCAGCTCGTCGCGTCTTTGTTCATGTGCTCGATGAACACTTGACAGTAGTTTGCGTCTTGTTCTTCGGGGGAGGCATATTTTGCCTTCTCATGGCCATCTCGAAGTTTCTTAGCCAGTTTCGAGGATCGTCGCCATTGTTGTAGAACTGAAGACGGAGAGCCGTTTGATCCTTTAGAGGTATCGCGGCGATGCGACGAGTGAAAGGACTCCTTTTCGTCTCGGCGAGGATTTTGGCAATCTCGGGTGACGAGCTGATAGCGTCGTGCACTTTGGAGCTGATTGCGTCGAGGTCGCGGCGCAGCTTGGCCACTTCCGGGTCGGTGTCTTTCTCACCATTCGTCGCGGCATTGGAGCCAGTCGCGGCGGTGCTTCTTGTCGGCGTCTGGAAGAGAGTTCGTCCCGTCGGGATGACTCGTCCGTCGCTGGTGACGTGGAGGGAGTCGATCTTGTCGTTGTACTTTTGCTGCTGAGCTTGCATCTCGGCGAATTGAGAAGCAATTTGAGCAGCAAAGCCTTGCATGGCGGCGGTTAACGCGGCGGTCGTGACGGGAGCTTCTACGTCAGGAACCGGTGGCGGCGGAGGGTTGACGTGACCGTTGGTCGCGTCGACTTCGACGGGATGGACGATGGGGTTTCCATCTGCGCCGAGTTGACTTTGCAGTCCGCCTGTTCTGATGCTGGGATCATCAGCTGGAGGTGCCATCTTTGAACCTTGATTGACTTTTTTCAGAGTTTTTTCTCCAGCCCCACGGTGGGCGCCAATTGTTAGATCTCAAAATCACACAATAATAGTAAGATAAGAGATGTGAGGTTTAGGAGAGACTCTTTATTAGATCAACCAAAGACAAAGATGATACAAGGGGTGATTCGTCTCGACGAAAAGTGTGACGAGACGAATACGAAAAGAATAGAGAAGCTAAGAACAAAGGACGAATTATAACTAGGGTTTTGCCTCTTTGCTCTCAGTGATTGTGGGTGGTTATGAATGATTCTGAATGGTCTTCAAGGAATAGGGGGTCTTCTATTTATATGGAGAGGAGGTTGGCTTCCTCAAGATATTCTTCCATATTTCTTTTGGAAATATTCTTCTTTGGCGTTGATCTCCTTCTATTTTTCTTGGATGTAGTCTTTTTCTCCAAGTACTTCCTTTTCTTTGAGGAGGTGGAAGTGGAAGCGGGCCGGGCTTACATAGTATTATTAATTGTGACGGGCTCAGGGAAATTGTGCTAATTTCTGCTCTAACATTTATAGCTTTCTTTTTTCCTAATTAATGATACATGTAACTCCTGTCAAAGTTCAAAGTTTTCTAGGTTGGTATTTTTATAAATCAACTAATAATTTTGTTCTGACATAAATACATGAAAGGTTGAAGAAAATTTTCCGGCAAATGGCGAGTGATCAGAAGAATGGTGAGTCTTTTCCAGCGAAGGAAGAACGTGAGAAGGATGATGTCACACCTCCAGCGAAGGAAGATCATAAGAAGGACAAGGCCATTGTGTCTGGCCTAACACCCGTTTTTTCTTGCCAAATTTGGGAGATTTTAGTAGCCATCAAAAAAATAATATTTTCTCTTTGGGACTTTTTATGTAAGATATTTTAAAAAAATTTGGCATGGGTCCAAGGCCATGACCCCTCCCGCCAACCTCTAGAGCCTATCCCGAATGCGGCACCACAGTCACAGCCGGTGCAAAACTAGTCTTAATAGGGCGTACCGGGGATGGAAAAAGCGCCACGGGAAATAGCATCGCCAGAGAAAAGGTGTTCATCACGAGAACACACGCAACAGAAGTTACACAAACATGCCAAACATTTAAAGTTGTGACACCAGAAGGCCCCATACTCAATGTGATTGACACTCCAGGTACATTTATTCGTATTGCATATTTGATTATTTATGGTGTCCATTTCCATGTAATTCCTTAATAAATGTGTAGTGGGGGTGAAACGAACCCTAGCAACTATTAATGTTATATGTTAATTTATGTGTAAATGTTTAATGTGGAGTGTGGAATGTAGGTCTACTCGATATGTTGGTGGCGCCTGACGTTATAAGTAAAGAAATCTTGAGATGCCTAACCCTAGCAGAAGGAGGGCTAAATGCTGTAATCTTAGTTATATCGGCAAAGACTCAACTTTCACAAGAAGAAAAGATGACATTTCGTACCTTGGAGGTCCTTTTCGGGATTAAAATTTTCGACTATGTTATCATCGTTTTCTCGGGAGGAGATGTATTTGAAGACGATGATGTTACATATTTGGATGATTCCCCCGACTTCATAAAGGTCGATACTTCCTATTAGAGAATACATAAAGCCCAAGATTACAAGCCCATTAGCCCATGTGTTTAGGGTTCCTTAGAAGTGTATTAGTATAAATATTGTTGTTATGAACCATTGTTGGTCACCTTTGAGAGTTGCCGTAAAGAGCAACTCTTCCTTCTTTGTATTTCATGATATCAATCTAAATCATTTGAGTTCTTGGTGACAATCTAAAGATCTTTTCTTCTCTTTACTTTCTGCATAATAAAGCTCTTATGAGCTATTTCATTTCATCACAATAAAGCTCTTTTGAGCTCAAATAGTCTTAGTTTTGCATTTCCTAAGACTTCCATCATATACATAAACTTTTTAGAAAGTGAGTTTAATATTGGGATTATTTCAATAATCTCAGGAGAACTTATGAATTGTATTATCTGATTTTAGAAATTTCTCACATTGTGTGGCCAACGAATGACCCTTTTCGATAACAAAACCAAGGATGATGTGAAAAAGGCAAAGCAAGTCCATGAGCTTCTCAACCTTATGGACCTTGTCAAAAAGCAGAACAGCGATAAACCGTACACTAATGAGATGTACCTTAAGATAAAGGTTAAATAGTTTGCCATCTTTAGTATTCTTTGAATCCATCTCTATTGTGGTTTATTTGCTAAAAATAAAATGGTATGGCTTATTAGGAAGAGAATGAAAAGCATAAGAAAGAAGAAGCACTCCAAGCATTGATGAAGGAGTTACATCAAGCGAATCAACAGATGCTCAAGGCAATTGAAGAAATGGTATTACTCCTCTAACTCCTCTTATTCGTGACTATATATATACACAAACACACAAGTGTTTTGAAGAGTAAATTAAGAAGGACCGAAAGTAGAACAATATAAAACGACATATTGATGGTGTATTTTTAAATAAAGGTTATATAGTTTTCTTTTTTTTTTTTTTTTAATTCCAGTTTTCATCAACTTGAAATAATATCGTGTTGCTTATCAGAAAGATAATGATAGACGCAAGAAAGAGCAAGAGGAGCTTGAATCGAAAAGGCGTTCGGAAGAACAATTCGAAGAATTGTTGAAAACGAATCAACATAACTTCAAGGAAATGGAAGAAGTGGTATAAACTTCTCCTATTCGTGTATATATACTAATATACACATAACACACTCATATCTTATGAGTCAAGTGGTGATTAAGTGGACGTTAATATATTTGATTATTTTTCTCAGATGGAGAAACGATTAAAAAGACTACGGAAGCGCAAGAGGAGCTCTTTGAGATAAGGTTAATGGGAATGGTTGATCGGTTAGATCAAATGGAACGTACGCTTGCCAGAATGCATGGGAACAATTATATTGAGGATCTTTTCATATTTACTTATTTAGAGTATGCTTCTTGGCATGTTCTGTGTCTGCTTTTTTCTTCTCTTCCAATTTCATTTCCGTTCTTTCCCTAAATTGATTAGGCTTCTATGTAGCCTAATCATTGTGTTCTTTGCTTGTTTTATTTCGTTATAAATGTGTGATTATGACTAAAACCAACTGGTAATGAACCAACTAAATACTTTTTTTTTAAAACTTCTTTTGAACTAATCAACTAATTATGGCTTAGAAAATATTAATTAGTTCTTCTGCCAAAAATTCATTCGCAAGTATTTTAAGTCTTCCCTAAGACCACAGTAAATGACAGCTTCAACAAATTATGTGACTAACATTTTGCAGTAATAAGATTATAATATTTGAGTCATACATATAGCTGAAAATAAAAGGAATAATACAAACAAAGAAACATTCATAGTTATTTCAAAGAAAAATGATCAAATTATAAGAACATAAAAAAAGAAACACAACATATGACAAGCTCTGTTTACATGTCACATGTGCATATGAGAGATCAAGATCTCATTTCCTCAAAGATTGGCTAGTTCTTGAATGTTAATGGGGTAAGCGTAAGCTCGGGAATTGAAATTAGATTTGGCAAGCAAAATGTTGGCAGTTTCCGTTGGGTGGAACGCGTCCCAAAAGAGATACTTGGTCCGGTCACTGCACGGTTGCTGCAGCGGCAAACACGTTATCTGACCATTGTTCCTCCCCACCCCACAACAACCTTTGTCCACCACCTCAAATCCTGTTGGAGTAAATGTCAAAAAAAATAGTATAGCCAGTGGCCATTATAAAAATTTGTCAACTTATTTTCATTTCTTTTGGATTGTGTGTATCTCTATGTATAACTCACCGTAAGTGGCTCCATTGGCAGCAAGATCGGAGGTGCTCGTGTATGAATCAAGAAAAACAAACTTCGCTCCTTCCAACTGACCTTTGTTGAAACGGTCCACAAGTTTCTTGAGCTGAGTGTTAAACAACACGATTGCTTTGTTGATCCTGTCATTGCATCTACCAGTACTGTTGTTGCGGTTATTATAGCGAGCTAGCTGGTAAGGTATGCAACCGATCTGTCCCACTGCAGTCACTATCACTTTCCGAGCTCCAAATTGGTACAATCTCTAAAAAAAAAGAATCATTTAAGATATGCGAGTAAATGACTTATTGCTTGATGATATTCTACGTTATTGATCAAGTCTTACAGTGAGCTGTTGTGTATAGTTCTGTATGAGAGCATCTGCATAGGTTTTGTCATTGTAATCTTGACTAGTTGAGTAAAAGTCAGGCATGAAGTAGTTGTTGAGATAGTCGTTACTTCCCATTCCCGAATAAAATATACAACGGCTCAAGTATCTTTGTAGCTCATTTGTGTCTCCTCTGAAGTATCGAAGCATTTGTTGAACCGCGCTCGTGTACTGAGTTACCTGCTGGTTCATAGAAGTATGTGCACCCTGCCAAACATTTTCAGTATAATTAGGTTTAGGTTTTACAATAAAATTGTTGTTCTTTTAAAAATTTATGAAAATGTGACAAAATATGTGTAGCTTCTGTACCAAGTTATCACCGGTCTCATCTCTAATGCCGGCTGCACCAGATGCGAAATTCGCACCTCTTAACAGAGCCTGGCCACGAACCCTGGAAAATGCTGGAATGTAAGTCCGAAAGCCAAGAATTTGAGCTACAAATTAAAAACAAGAGTAAATTGTTAATACATACAAAAATCACAAAACCACAAACCAAGCAAATATAAATAGAATTAGGGTAACATAAATGCACACTAATTACCAAGTGCGTCAACGTAGGTGCGACCGTTGGTGAACCGTCCTGTAGCACCTTGGGGAAAGTCGATTCCGTAAGGCCGGTAATTAGCCCTCGCAAGAGATAGCAACCTACATAATATATTCAAATTATAATTAACTTGTGTAAGTTAACACACAAATGAGGATAAAAACTTTCATCATAAAACATAGAAAGACAAAGTAAAAATTAAACCTGTTATTGTTTCCATTATCGACTAAGGAGTCACCAGAGACGAATAAACAAGGGACTTGTGACTGTTGTTGTGGCTGTGACACGGACGTTTTTAGACCAAACAGAACCAAACCAAAAGCAACCAACAATTAATACATAATGGAGAATATATACCCATTTGGTGAAAATTGTTAATAATGTATTATCAAGAACAATGAGTTTGACAAAAGGTTTGAGTGGAGTTCACAGTTATATATTGAGGAAATGTGATTGGTTGGTTGGTTGTTTTGGTACGTTATGGTATAATAGGTTTCATGTGCTGATCGATTTGTGACAGTTGTTTTACAGCATGACGAGTCTTTCTTTAAGTTGCAATTTATTCCTTTTGTTGGTGTCGAAAAATATATTAGAACTTTAAGTTGCATGTTATATCAAGTCTTTCATTAATCGTATTATTTTCCCAAACAAAACGAATCTTTCGAACGTCATCATAACATGTGGAAGCAGGGGAAGAGTCTTTGGTTATTTTTTTCTTAGATATGCTGAGTAATATCATGTCAACCAGGCAAATAATGATTCAAACTCCTTAAAAACCAATATCGCTGTTAAACTGTAAACTCCTTGGCCTTGTGGTCAAAGGTCTAATGTATTCACAAAAATATGTCCACGACCCACATCCATTGTAACTTATCCACAAAAACTTATCAATGACTTCCATCCAGTGGCGGATCCACCTTGAAAGCAGGGTGGGCAGCTGCCCCCTATGAAATTTGTTTTTTAGCCTTTTTGGTGTTATTTGGTTTAGAAATTTGTTTGGTCCCCTTGTAATTTTTGTTTTAACAGTTTATTTTGAATCCGCCCCTGCTTCCATCCATAGTAATGTATTCACAAAAACATGTCCATAACCCACATCTATTGTAATGTATCAACAAAAGACTGTCAACGACCCTATCTACATATACTATATCTACAAATATTCATCTATGTGTACATTTATCAATATTTCCATGCAGCCTCTAATTTTGTTTTCCAAAATTGTTTAATCCATTTGTGTAATAGGAACTATAGTAAAATTGATATCAAATTAAAGAAGAAAAAAATAATAATTGTTCATAGTGGAAAAGAATATATTTTTGTGCAACAAAATTCTCAAACTCAATTATTTTTTCAAAAACAACTTTTACGTCAAAAAAATGTAAGTCAATCTACCGGCCTCGAATGATATTTGGTTGGTAGTTTTGTCATCGGCGAACCACATTGCAATCAATTATCCATTCCAAGTGCAAGGTACAAAAATCTTTTATCAAAAAAAAAAAAAAAAAAAAAAAAACGTGCAAGGGACAATAGGACATCGCGATTGTAATTCATTCCACATTGTTATATTGTACTCATTAGGCAATGGGCATCTTGAAAAGTCAAAACTCTTTTATTGCCTTTACATATAATGACATTTTGAAATATTCTTTTTTATTGGGATAAAATAAAGGAAAAAATTGAAAACAAAAACAAAATGAAAGACTTCGTGTAATACAACTTAAACAAAGCCTGGTCGATTAACCTGAGGTGGCAAACATTGAATATATTAAAATATAAACTAGGAGAGAACCCGCGCAATGCGCGGGTTTATTAAACCAAATATTTTTAATTTAATTATTCAGAACATTAGATTCGAATATATCATTTGTTTTTTACTCGAATATATTAGATTCTGTAAGTTTTGCATTTTGTTTTTTTTCATATAGTTTTAAAATTTAGTTGTTATTTACGTGAAATCTTATATAGACTCATAGTGAATAGTTTCATATGTTTTTTGTTCTTTTATACAATAATTTATCGACTGGAGTTGAGTTCTTCTAATTTTCCTTATACTAACAATCATTATAGATTGATTATTATCCTACAGACTCATAGATAATAATAATTGCAATCCTTTTTAAAAGGAAATGAAATGAGCTAATTAGCCAGTAAGCCCATTTAAAGCTACCATGGAAACGAAGAGGTCCGATAAATAATCAAGCCCATCAAAACGAACAGCATTACACATAATTTTGATTTAGATTTTTTTTTTCGAAAACGACGTCGTTTTGGTGTAAGACGAAAAAAAAAAAAATAAAGCGCAAAACGACGTCGTTTTGGTGTAAGACGAAAAAAAAAAAAAAAAAAAAAAGTGCCACGTGTCAAGGCTGGAGATGTCCAAGCCTTATTAGTTATGTAGATTTAGAAAAGAAAAAATGAAAAAGAATTTTAGTAGTTCTATTTAAACGGAAACTAGCCTCGTTGATTAACTACGTCTGCCGTCCAGCATCCGAAAGACATTCCGGTTTAAAAATAAGTCTGTCCCTCTCTCACCCTTTTCGTTTCTTTCTTCTTTGTTCTCTTTCCCCCTTTGTTTCCTTCTTTTTTTTTAGTTCCTTTTTTTGTTTGTTGTTGTAATTTTGTTGTATCCATCAGTTTGCTGTCTGAGAATCTGAGATTTCCCGTATAGATTTAAAAGAGCAATATGAGTGTATTATAGATCTGTTAGTAATAAGATTAGAAAGCAACCTTTTTCCCCATGTGTAATGACAAATCTATACTTCTATCAAAGTTCAATACTTTTCCACGTTGTTACTTTGATCGATTAGGTATTTATATACTTTTTACGTAACTAAAACAGGGTGAAGAAATTTTCCCCGAATGGCCAATGAACAGAAGAATGATCATAAGAAGGAATGCAAGGTATGGCAGCCACATCCAACTTTTAAATAGTTCCAAATGCGTTCATCTTATATGGTATCGCTTATCAGGAAGAGACTGATAGACACACGAAAGAACAAGAGGAGCTTGACGCAAAAAAACATTCTGAAGAACAACTCGAAGCTATGAGGAAGGAGTTTTTTTTTTTTTGAGAACTAGCTATGAGGAAGGAGTTACAGTTAACGTATGAACGGAACCTCAAGGCAACGGCAGAGACGGTAAAAATATTTCCTCTTTATTAGTCAATACATAATACACAGGTAAACACATAAATGTGTAGAAGCGGAAATTAACGAGATCTTCTTTATTTTCTCAGATGGAGGAGAACAATATCAAAATAGCCGACGACGCCCAGCAGAAGCTTTTTGGTCGAAGAAATTCTGATGCTGAAGAAATGGCAAAGAAGTTTGCTACATTTTAATCCATCTAATACGTCCGGATTGCCAGACTCTCTGATCAATCACTGTCCGATCTTTGGCCCCATCCCCCATACTCTTCCTTTTTAATCAAAAATAAAGAGCAATTGTTAGAAATTTTTCGAAATTAGCCTGTGTTCTATAGGCTGAGGCTAATTTTTGAAAACAAAATCGAAAAATAAAATAAAGAGCGATTCCCAAGACTTCTATGTTCCTCTTTTGAGCACGCTTCTGGCTGCTCTGAGTCTGCTTTTGCTTTTGTTTCATTTCCGTATTGCCCTTGCTTTGTTTTCTTAATTTGTTTTTTGTTTTTGTTTTTTTTTGTAACTTTTAATTTACTTCTTGTTTGCACTACATAGTGCATCTGTGTTTTGTAAGGAGACACAAACTGTTTGAGATCTAAGAAAGAGTCGAGAAAGAGTTTTTTCTCAAGTTACCTGTCTCGGTCCCTAACTAGGAGTTAACAACACTTATAGAGGTTATTTTTATAGATTTTTCTCCATCTAATATGTTTATCCTACAGGTATGTTCCCGGCAAGATGTATGAAATACCCTTGAATGCTATGAACAATATAGCATACAAGTAGTGAATGTTGCCGCAAACATATAGGAGCATTAGCCAACGTAGACGGAGAAAAATATATCACAATATAGCATACAAGTGGTATTTTGTGGGAAGTTAAACTCGTAAAATAACTAGAATCCCATTTGTTACTCCAAATGGTTTTCACATCATTTTGTATCACAACAACACTCTGTTTTTTTATCAATTTTCTTCTTCTTTTTTTCATGTCTTGTAAGAGTTTTGAGATTTCTCTGTTTTGATTGGGTGACGTGTGCCAAAAATGAAAAAAGAAAGACAAAACACCAATTTTACTTCTTTTTGAACCTGATGATTATAATGACTTGATTTGTCCTTCTCTGTCAAAAATACTTGAGGATAGATCATTAGAACTTCCCAAACAAAGAAAAGAGCACATTTATTGGATAAGCAAAAATAACTTTACAATAGTATAAAAAGTCACTGACAGAGAAAAAAGGGTCTATGTATCTAACATTTTGCAATCAGATTATAATATTTGAGTCATACATAGTTCATAGCTGAAAATAAGAGGAACAATGCAAAACAAAGATAAATCCATAGTTATTTCAAAGAAAATATAAATTATCAAAATAGAAAAAAAGAAACACAACATAAAACCAGCTCTAATGAGAGATCAAGATCACATTTTCTCAAAGATTGGCTAGTTCTTGAATGTTAATGGGGTAAGCGTAAGCTCGGGAGTTGAAATTAGACTTGGCCAGCAATATGTTTGCGGTCTCTGTCGGATGAAACGCGTCCCAAAACAGATACTTGGTCCGGTCACTACATGGCTGCTGCAGCGGTAAACACGTTATCTGACCATTGTTCCTCCCGACCCCACAACAACCTTTGTCCACCACCTCAAATCCTGTTGGATCAAATGTCAAAAAATAAGTAGCCAGTGGCCATTATAAAAATTTGTCAACTTATTTTCATTTGTTTTGGATTGTGTGTATCTCTATGTATAACTCACCGTAAGTTGCTCCATTGGCAGCAAGATCGGAGGTGCTCGTGTAGGAATCAAGAAAAACAAACTTGGCTCCTTCTAACTGACCTTTGTTGAAACGGTCCACAAGTTTCTTGAGCTGAGTGTTGAACAACACGATTGCTTTGTTGATCCTGTCATTGCATCTACCAGTACTGTTGTTTCGGTTATTATAGCGAGCTAGCTGGTAAGGTATGCAACCGATCTGTCCCACTGCGGTCACAATCACTTTCCGAGCTCCAAATTGGTACAATCTCTAAAAAAAGAATCATTTAAGATATGCGAGTAAATGACTTATTTCTTGATAATATTCTACATAATTGATCAAGCCTTACAGTGAGCTGTTGTGTATAGTTCTGTATGAGAGCATCTGCATAGGTTTTGTCATTGTAATCTTGACTAGTTGAGTAAAAGTCAGGCATGAAGTAGTTGTTGAGATAATCGTTACTTCCCATTCCCGAATAAAAGATACAACGGCTCAAGTATCTTTGGAGCTCATTTGTGTCTCCTCTGAAGTATCGAAGCATTTGTTGAACCGCGCTCGTATACTGAGTTACCTGCTGGTTCATAGAAGTATGTGCACCCTGCCAAACATTTTCAGTATAATTAGGTTTAGATTGTACAATAAAGTTTGTTCTTTTAAACATTTATGAAGAAGGTTCAAAAAAATATGTGTAGCTTATGTACCAAGTTATCACCGGTCTCGTCTCTAATGCCGGCTGCACCAGATGCGAAATTCGCACCTCTTAACAGAGCCTGGCCACGGACCCTAGAAAATGCTGGAATGTAAGTCTGAAATCCAAGAATTTGAGCTACAAAATTAAAAACAAGAAAAAAATTGTTAATACATACAAAAAATCACAAAACCATAAACCAAGCAATAGAAATACAATTAGGGTAACATAAATGCACACTAATTACCAAGTGCGTCAACGTAGGTGCGACCATTGGTGAAACGTCCTGTAGCACCTTGGGGAAAGTCGATTCCGTAAGGCCGGTAATTAGCCCTCGCAAGAGATAGCAACCTACATGTATAGTATATTCAAATTATAATGAACTTGTGTGACTCAAATCCATGTATAGGCCGGAGGAGTCACTCAAATCCATGTATAGTATGTTCAAATTAATCATAAAACATAGAAAGACAAGCAAAAATAAACCTGTTGTTGTTTCCATTATCGACTAAGGAGTCACCGAAGACGAATAAACAAGGGACTTGTGACTGTTGTTGTGGCTGTGACACGGACGGTTTTAGACCAAATAGAACCAAACCAAAAGTAACCAACAATACATAACTGAGAATACTCATTAGGTGAAAGTTGTTAATAATGTATATCCAGAACAATGAGTTTGACAAAAGGTTTGAGTGGAGTTCACAGTTATATATTGAGGAAATGTGATTGGTTGGTTGGTTGGTTGGTTTGGTTCGTTATGGTATAATTGGTTTCATGTGCTGATCGATTTGGTGACAGTTGTTTTTTTTTATAATTTAATTCTTCTCTCTCTGTCTTAACATACTTCTTTTTAGCTGCGGCTATACTCACAGGCGTCTCATGCAATCCCGTGAGATCTCAGAGTCTAATGTGTTGCTTTCCAGTTGTTTGTGTAGCAAGTCACAAGTCCACTCTTGTAACAAGTGGATCAGTAATTTATTTCTACCCTCTCTGTGGGACACTCGCATTCGTTGGGAAATGCCATTTCCAATGGGCTTAGGGTAGGGCCCATTGAGTTAATGTTCAGCCCATACGGTAACCTGAACTAACTGAAATCTCTTCAGCAAGGTTTTGAGCTTTTAAAGATGTTCCAAACTTTAAACTCTTGGGGCATGTGGAACTAACTAAGCTTGGTTTTAGACCAAAGTGGTTTGTATTTTTGGAAATAGGGAAGCCTTCTGCTTTAATGGAACTTGGAAGTTTCATTGGAAAATTCATAGAAAACATGCCTTTGAGGACATGTTTTAAGCATCCTAACAACAATTGTGGGTACATTCACAAGCTTAAAGATGGTCATATCTTAACGAACACGGCGTTCTTTGTCTTCTTGCCCCAACCCCAGAGACTTTTGTGCATTTGCAATGCCTTCAGGATCTGCATCAAACGATAGCAACCGTTAAACCAGCACAAGAAAAATCAAGGGTCACTGAGGTGGCTCAAAGTTGTAAAACACTAAGAAATACCATCACTACTTTTTACACATCGAACTAGCTCATCGTATTGAAAAATCAAACTCACCAAAGAACTGAGTGAAAATGCGGGTGAAGAAGCTCAAGTTGCGAGAGGCATTGTATGCCATTGCAGGAGGAAGAGGCTTCACCAAAGTGTCTATAGTGAATACTCTTTGCAGGAACTGTAATAGAGAGAGTCAAACTTTACAGGTTACGAAAAAGTAGGTTGTACAATCTATGCAAAGAAAGAAAAATATCAGTAACTGCTTCTCTGTGAACATCCTGTGACTGCACAAAACATGCTCTCTATGTACAAGACACAGTTCGACATGCATGCAGTGTGTGTCATGATTAATGTTCTACTCAAAACTGTTCCAATCCCAAGGTATCTCCTCAACCAAGATAAGTAGTCTATAGCCGAAGTGACCTTGACTAACAGTAGACAAGTTCACAAAAGAATATGTTACTGACCAACCAGCATTTCATAGAATTTCTAGCAATACCAAAGATAGATTCGGTGACAGATTTGCTTCAATCGCCAAGGAGAAGCAGGTTTACATAGGAACAACACAATAAAAATACGAAATTTCCTCTAAAACAGTCTTATGCTTTGGAGTAGTTGACTAGTTTGTTCATGAAATGTGATTTCGATATTTAAGATTCTATCCCCGTGCTTATCAAATCTTGAATGATGCAACACCAAGCAAGTATTAAACTTGAATTGGATATACAATGTATATTAAAAGTTGAAACCTTTATGTAACAAAGAGCATAAATCTATTAGAAAGCATAAAGGATAAATCTTTTTTCGCATTTCTCAAATACCCATTGGTCTAAAGGATTGAACAAAAGCAATAGAGGCAAACTCACAACTTCACTAGTAATCTCCTATATTCCAAAGACACAATTTGATTTCGTAAGGCAGAAACAGAGCGGAGAAAATTTATTAAAATGGAACCAAAAAATTACAAAAATGAGAGAGAGGATTTGAAGAGACCTGATAGTTGCGATCGAAGCTGTAACGAAGCTGAGGATCGATCTCGAGAGAGTCTTCATCCTCGGCGAGACTACCTTTTTTGGTTCCGCGGCTAGGGACGTGCATCTTCGACATGCCGTCAGATTCTTTGGTGACCTTCATCTTCGCGCCGCTAAACTTATCGGAGTCATCGTCGTCGCCGCCTCTCCACGGCGCTTTCGATAACAGTTCCTTCTTCTTCGCCATTGTTGTCTTTGCGAAATTCTGAGTTTGCGAAATTTCGTTTGTGTGGGGATAAGGCCCCAAAGATATTGTTTGGTTACAGAGTAAAACTTGTAACCGAACGAGATATTGGATGTCCGCGTTAACAAACAAGCCCAAATTAAAAAGCCTTCTCGATCAAAATTTCTTGTTGGTTTGTTGGTTTTTTATATTATTATACCAATATAACAAGATATTTTGTTTTATGAAAAAAAATAAGCAGAGTTGAGAGGGTTCAATCTGAGGAGGGGGATATCATCTCTTTAGGCAGAGTTGGAAGCTTTCATTTGGGCTATGCAATGTATGTTAAGGACGGAAAAATTAACTATAGTGTTTCAGACGGACTGTTCCGATGTGGTGAAGATGGTATATAAACCAGAGAAGTGGCCGACTTTCTCATTACAACTTGACGAGGTTGACAGATAAGAGGAGATTCAATTCTTTCACCATCATGCAGCTATCAAGGACGGAAAACACGAAGATAGACAAGTTAGCACGGAGTGCTCGAGCTCTACCTACTGATGTGTACTATGTAAACTTTGTTTTACCAGTTTGGATTTCCGAGCTGTTTTAGAGACAAAGACTGTTGACAAAAAAGAAATTAAAAAAAAAATTAAAAAAAATTAAAAAAAAAATAAGCAGAGATTAAACAAAAAATACCATCGATAATTTTGTGTTGTTAATTTTTGTTTTTACTTTTAATGTTTTATGTAGATACAAAACAATAAATTTAACTACTTCACTTTAGAGTGCTTTTTAAAGCATGTGAAAAAATGAAATTGAGGTATTGTGAGATGAATTTATATAGAGTATCTTGATTTTAAAAGTTGAGAGATCTTTTAATTTAGAAAGAGTTTCTGATAGATTTGCATAGAGTTTTTATAAAATCTATCAAAATATACTTTGAAAAAAATCTCTTAGGACGACTACTACTACCTTGGACTATTCTGACTACTGCTTACGTTATTGATCATGTTTTAAATAGTCTTAAAACGTAAGAATATCAAAAATGCAAAATCAAAGTCACTATAAACTTTGTAAAACGTCTAGAATCCTCAAACATCATCCAAGAGCTGTGTCCAAATCCCAGAAAATGACATGATAAAAGAAATCAACAAAATCAAAGCCTAGGTCCAAGTCCAACCAAAGTCTGGTCTTTGACAAACCTTAACATCATTTTAGCGGTCAACAAACTACGAAATGACACTTGCTAGACCTCCTCGGCAATGCAAGAAGATCTTCCACTAGTTCGTTGCATGTTACCTCCCAAACTCATAACAAGTTTCTTAAGGATTACTGAGTTCTCTGTGAAGTACCTTGCTACTTCCATTTCAGTAGAACGTTGACTGTTTATGCTATTTATCTTTACAAACTCGAGCGAAGACAGGAAACAGTGAGGTACGGACGAGTTTCTTATTTCTTCTGTAGAACAAAACACTAACACCCGTACAACAGCCAACATATATACAAAACACAAGATGGATAAGGTTTAGATTACAATTAAATATGTGTAAAGTGTACGAGTTACAGTCTAACTGTCTAAGGGTTTGTGCAAGTCATTACCAAGATTAGGGATTTTAGATTCGGAAAGTTTTCAAGAAACGTTGGCAGACTTTCCAAGGAACGATGACGAAGCTCTACTTCCAAAGAGGACATTACAAAACTGAGGTAAGTGTATGTTCTCTTGGATGAACTACTCACACACAGAAAAAAAGAAGAGAACACTGGTGAGCAAAAACTTCATCAAGGAGCACTATATATATTTGAATTGCATAGTTATTTACCTTGAAATCATAGTAAGCGATCTTCATTTCGCTAACTTCCGAGATGCTGATGAAACAATTGTGCACTATATATTTCTTACGTAAGTCAATATAATCACTTTTAACAAAAAAAAAGGAGTCAATATAGTCACCACTATGGCAACACACTCTCCCAGACTAAGCTACAACATGCATTTCAGTTTTGTTTAGAAAAAAAAAAACATTTACTACTACTACTACCTTGCATTATTGTTGTGAGTGGCAGAGTGGATGCGGTAATATATCCAAACATAAAATATCAAATCACTTAATGCAAAATCACAGTCACTTTATTCTTTGAAAAAGTCTAAAATCCTCAAACATCACCAAAGAGCTGTGTCCAAAATCATAAAAACGCAAGATAACAGAATTCAACAAAATAAAAATCCAAGTCTGGTCTTTGTCTTTGAAGAACCTAAACGGTTAAACAACTGAAACTTGACATGTCCAGGACCGCTTCGGCAATGCAATGAGATTCCATAAGAGAATGGAATCTTCCTCCTGCTTGTTTCTTCCAGGCATGTAATTCACACACACAACAAGTCTCTTGAGGATTACTGAGTTGTATGTGAAGTACCTTGCTACTTCCATATCAATAGGCCGTTCGGTGCAAAAGCTATATATCTCTACAGACTCGAGCGATGACAGTAGACACTGAGGCACGGGCGAGTGTCTTATCATTTTCATAGAGCAATTCCAAAGCACATCCTGTAAACACACAAGAACGAATGAATGTTAGATAATATTCAACACATTTCTTAAGTTACACTCTAAGGGTTTGTGCAAGTCATTACCAAGCTTAAGGATTTTAGATTCGGAAACTTCTCAAGAAAAGTTGGCAGACCTTCCACGGATTGAAGCTCTACTTTCAAAGAGGTTAGTCTGCAAAACTGAGGTGCTGGCATGATACCTTGGATAAGCTAAAGAAAAAACAAAAGAGACGAAAATATCTGTGAGCAAAATACCTTGGATTCCGAAGGTTCGATAGAATCTTTAATAACAGAGGGTCAGCTAGTTTGCTTATCTTGTCTTTGTCCACCTCTGGAGACGCTTCGTCCGATGTATCACCTTTCTCTCCCGAAAAGCTATCCTCCATAACTGAAGATTTCACAGGACAAGCTCATATATTAAGTGTAAGGACGCATGCATGCATTGAGTATAGATTTCAGAATCTTATCATCTAAAACTCGATTTTCCACGTATCAAAAGAATCCAAGACAGAAAGCAAACAATATAAGAATTAAGAAAGGGACAAAAACGGTGAAATCACCTGATGAGTGTTGGAGAGTCCAACAGCCGAAGTAGTCTGGAGAAGATAACTGGTGGAACGAGCCCGCCGCCATGTTATCTAAAGATAACGAGCCAAATGAGAGGGAGAGGGTTAATGGATATTTATACTAAAATTAAAAATAAAATAATTTTTTTTTTTTTTTTATGCTGCTGCAGAAAAAGAAAAGAACATTTCTATGCATTGAAAATTAGGTGACTCATCTGCATTCTGCACCATGCATGCTAGCAACTTCAAATGACAAAATATATAAAGAAAATATAAACTTATATAGCTATATAGGCAATGGATATGGATTTCTTTCTGTATATGACATGTTTTGATATTTTAAAACAAAGATATTTTTCTAAATAAAAAGATATATAATGCATATTGTGTTTTTATATAGAAAAAAATCTTATTTTATTCTATTTGTGTCCAACTACTATATTTTCTCCATTTCCATCTCTAAATTCATATGAAATTATTTTAAAAATAAATTTATTATTTTATTAAATTTTATCTTTCGATTTTGGAATTTAGTTTTTTGGGTCGCGGACAACGTTTTCCAATTTATGATCAAGAAATTTTTAAAATACACATTTTGAGATTTATATTTTCAAAATTACACATCTGAAATATTCGTTTTCAAAATACATTTTTTCATTTAATAAGAGAACTGAAACCCTAAAATCTTAACTCTAAATCCTAAAATATAAATATTAAACTGAAAATTTAAACCCTTTTTCTTAATCCAAAGTCATTTTATGAGTGTCAACGCATATATACATGTTTAAGATTAATCAATAGTGAAAACACAAATAAAATGGAAACAAAAACTGATTTGAGTGATTTCACAATAAGATTGGTGTGTGGCAAAACCTGTCACCGAATGACGAATTTTTTAAAAACAAAAATCCTTCAAAATTTAAATTTGTGCTCATCTTTTTTTTTCACTTTTTCTAGTTTAGAATAAAATTGTAAAGAAAGCAATAAAAATTATTTAATTTTAAATCAAAATTATCATCGTTTTATAGTATAGTATGTGTTATTCGAAAATTGAAAAACTAAAAATCCTAAAAAAATGTATCTTATTAAAATATTAACCTTATATCATATTTAAGAAATATCTTATTGTAATATGTTTGTTATGAAATTATTATATGACTTTTATTTTTCATTGTAGAGTGGATACTTAGTGGAACTTAAGTATATATGTTATTTAGAATTTTTTTTATCGAATTTTCAATATTATTTTTCTTACTTTTAAAAATAATCATATTTTGTTTAATCATTTTCAAATTGTTTCAAAAATCTTATGTCTATATGCGAGACGTAGTAACATATATATAATAATGTGAAGAACGTTACTATTTTAATACTGAATCCTGAAAACATAAAAATAATCAAAGATAAAACAAAACACACAAGAAATGAAGAAAAGCCAAAAAAAAAAATGCCAGCTAAGCAAGTCACTTAGGGTCCACTAGGTAAAACAATTTGACCGGCGACGGTGAACTGTTACGATCTCCGCCACATATATATTTTTCCCGGCACAAAATCAACGGCGGCGATCAACATCCACCGGACAAAACGGTCGTCCAGATCGAGCCCGGTGGCTCGGAATTGTGAAATGTCTGAGCCTCCCATTCTGCTCCCTCATGTAACCTTTGCACAAGAACGTCGCCGAGAACTCATCTTCCACCGGCCGGTTAACGTCGTGAACAAAAACATCGGTCTCTCCGTCTTCCCGGTTGCGAGCCAAAAGCCCCGCCGTGTAAATAGCACTCATCCTCCCGGGAGCTTCTTCGTGGTAACCAGTTGGAGCATCCACCATGATCAGATCCCATTTCGTCTCGTAAAAATCCGCCGGAAAATCCTTCAACGCAAGCTCGCATTTCGAATTCCTCGGATCGGAGACGGATCTACACTCCTCTGATCTTCCCAGCTCCATCAGTTTGTCAGAATCTTTCACTTTAGTGTCGTAAACGACGTGATAAGATTCTAAATTTGGAAACTTTTTCGTCACAATCGCAATCCAAGCCTTGTCTTCCTCAATAAACACTGAAATATAACAAAAGATACCATTTTTTATGAGAAATCAAGAAATTTTGATTTAAAAAGATAACTATTTTCCGAGAAATGAAGCAATTTGTGTAAGAAAGAAACAGAGGAAATTGAAAGACTTACAGGTACGACCACCATGGTTGAGAGATGCCCACATTAAGCTATCGTGACCTAAACCAAAGACGAGGAAGTTGCAAGGAGACTTCTTGTCCAAGACTCTCTTTGAAACAGAGATTTCATCGAAAGTCTGTTGTGGAGTGACGTTACTGGTGACGTAGTGAACCAATGCGTCGGATAAAGAAACTGGCATCTTTGTGCATTGCTGTTGTGTTGATGGACATCCTTCTTGTTTTGGTTGATTTTCCTCTTCTTGTTTTGTTTTAGAGATGGATTTTGAGGAGGAAGAGATGCTGGATCTTGCAAAAAAGATGACCAGAAAGATCAAGATTGAGCAGCATATGAATATGACCTTCAGATTAATGGAAGATGCAGCTTTGGTACTCGTCCTCATTTTTTTTCTTGGCCAAAAGATTCGAGTTTTCGATCTTGATTTTTGGATCGAAGAGAGAATTGAGAAAGATGAGTGATATATAGTAGTGGGTGAATGATTGAGGAAGTTGAGGAGGACATGAAAGCTACTAAGGTTGCTGTTCTGCCAATACAACAGAAGTTGGTGGTGAATTCCGTATGCTAACTAATTGTTTTGTTCATATAATAATGTCATAATGTGTAAGTTTATTTTTGTATTCATGATTTATTGGAAGATGTGTAACGTAATGGGGAGATTTCTTGTTTTTTAAATTGATGCTTGAAAGAGAAGAATCTTGATATTGATCTAGAAACAAGACATGTGTTGAAAACGAAGTAACATGGTGGTTGCAACTTTCTTATTCCTTGTTTTTTAAATAACCCCTTGTTTGATTTAACAACTTTTGGTTCTTTGTTTCTTGAACACTATTTTATTTGTTGTCAGATGGATTAAACATTCGCTATTTGTTTGTTTTTATTCGTTATATATAAACAAAACCTTCATGTGCATAATTTTCAGGGGTGGCCAATTCGTTTCGGTTTAACTAAACCAAGAAGTTGATTCATTTTAAAATGAAATTTCTCATATTCAGGTTCTCTCTTCTTTTCTTTCTGGTCAAACAGAAAACCCAAACAGACTAACTCTTACATTAGGTTAAAAAATGAATCAATTTGTCAGAATCTTCTAATAAAAATGTAAAGAATAAAGAATGTATATAAAGATTACAGCATAAAAAGAAACAAAATCTGTCCGTCACAACATCTTTTAGTAATCTGTTCCACTATTCTTATTTCTTCTTTAGGATTCTTGTAATGCTTGCTCTTGTTGCGGCAAACGGTAAACCCTTCATGGTCTAAATATCCACCACCAGTGCTCATGCATTCTTCTCATATGTGCCTACAATTATGTGTTATAGCGAATGTTCATGACTCTCTTGAAAACAACATATTGCAATTGAAAGATACAAAGTCTTTTTTTTTCTCTCTCAACGCATACTTTAACTGTGAGTCTGTGACAAGTGAAACACCAGGTTGTTGATATATGGGATGGGAGACTAATTAGATAGTAATCACAAGCAACAAACAATAATCTCTCACTCGTTTGCTTTTGTGTTACGTACGTATTTACAGATATATGTCCCCTGCCTTTAACACTTTAAACAAATTATGTCCCTAAATAAACCATTTTTTTTTGTATTGTTAATATGTACATATATAAAATATATAGTCATCATACATAGAAACAATGTAAAGAAAAATTGTAATTTAATTATATAACTGAAAGTTTTTTTTTTTTGGATTCAACATAAAATGAATCCAAACTGAATCAAATTGAACCAAACTAAAATTCTGTTAAACCATAGTGCTATTCAGTTTTCCTGTATTCAGATCATATCTCGGATTCAAGATTTTATAAAATATGAATTTAAAAACTTTAAATTTCTCAAAGTTCCTAGACCTTTCAAAAGGAGCCTAAGTAAAACTATATCCATTTTTCAAAAGTTTACTATTCTGGTGTATAGCGCGAAAAGCTATCTTGATTTACATCTAGTTTCGAGTTCTAATTCTTTTCTACAAAAAAAAAAAAAAAAAAAAAAAAAACATCATCTGAATAAACCTATACGTAAATGAGAAATTCTGATGAATGTTGAGAAATTTTAAGAAATAAGGTGTAAATTTTTAAAACTACACCTACACTTAGACTATGGTTTAGATTTTGGGGTTTAGGATTTAGGGTTTAGATTTAAGGGTTCAAGATTAAATTTTAGGGTTTATGGTTTATATTTTAGAGTTTAGAGTTGTTTTAGTTAATGAAAAAAATGTAGTTTTGAAAATAAACACCATAGTCCATAGAGGTGTATTTTTAAAAGTTGACATTTAGAAAGGTGTAATTTTGAATGTTTGGTTGTATGAGTTATTTTTAAGAAATATAATCCTACCATTCATATAAGCTACATATTTAGTAATAAAATATCAACATATGGAAACCAAATCATTACTAAATACTATGAATCATCACGTACGTATTTGGTAAAAAAAAAACATTTGCCAGTGCATGGTGCAGATGAGTCAACTAAATTTCAATGCATGTAACAAAATTTGTTAGGAAACAAATTATTAGTAAAAAAACCTTAGATTTAAGTTACGGTTCAAAAATTCATTATCCTCCCTCTCATTGCCTCTTGATAACGAGGCGGCGAACTCGTCAACGTCTCTAGCTGCCGAATCCTCAGAAACTCATCAGGTATTCTCACATATTAATTTCGTCCTTTTCTCAGTTTTCAAATTCTCCTGTCTTTGACTCTTTCTGATATGTGGAAAATCGAGATTTCGAGGATAATATTCTGAATCTGAATCTTCATTTCAGCTTCGCGACCGTAGCTGATGGAGGAACGCTTTCCGAGAGAGGTTAAAATATGCGACGACGACAAACATCATGCAGGTTTCTCTAAATCTAATGGTATGATAAGTAAATTACCTGACTCTTTCAAATCTCAGATTCTGTCGTATCTTCGGACAAAGGATGTTGTTCGGACCAGTCACCTAATTTTCAATGCATAGAATTTTTTACAGCAGCATAAAAAATAATTTTTTTTTTTACTTTTAGTAAAAGAGAGTGTTATATATATTTAACCTAATTCTCAATGCATAGATTTTTTTTTTTTTTCATTTTTTGCAGCAACATAACAAAATAATTAATTTTTTAATATATTTTTTTACCAACACTCATTGAGATTGTTATAATTTTTTAATACCTAATAATTTTTTAATATTAGTAAAAGAGATTGTTATATATATTTAACCTCTCCCTCTCATTGGCTCGTTATCTTCAGATACCTTGGCGGCGGGCTCGCTCCACCCAATATCTTCTCTAGACTCTAGCTGTCGGATTCTCCAACACTCCTCAGGTGATTTCACAGTTTTTGTCCCTTTCTCAGTTCTCATATTGTTTGTTTTCTGTCTTGGATTCTTTTGATACGTGGAAAATGAGCTTTGATGATAAGATTCTGAAATCTGTACTCAATGCGTCCTTACACTTAATATATGAGGTTGTTCTTTGAAATCTTCAGCTATGGAGAAAAGCTTATCGGGAGAGAAAGGTGATGTATCCGAAGAAGCGACTACAGAGGTGGACAAAGACAAGATAAGCAAACTTTATGACTCTCTGATATTGAAGATTCTATCGAACCTTCGGACAAAGGAGGTTGTTAAAACAAGTGCCGTGTCCAAGAGGTGGGAGGGCTTATGGCTTTCGAGTTCTGGGTTAGATCTGAATACTAATGAGTTCCCAGATTACGACACCTTTGTGAGTTTTGTCAATAGGGTCCTAGATTTCTTAAGGGAGCACAACTTGGGCTTGGAAAAGCTCAAGCTAAGTATTCCTGAGAAGGGTACTGGTTTCCCAGGTCGCATAGACTATGTGGATGTGGAAACGTCACCTTAGTTTTCGTGAGGGTGAGAATGGTGGGTCTTGTCTCGCCCGTTGGATAGACTTTGTGGCTAGATCTAAACTTAAGCATCTTCATATTGATTGTCCTCCAAGGTTCATGCAAGTGATGCCGTTAAGCCTCTTTGTCTGTGAGTCCTTAGTTTACTTGAGACTCCATCGGGTATGGTTGGGTAAGCTGGAGACTGTTTCGTTACCTTGTGTCAAGGTTATGACTTTAGAACGCAATTTCTATGCTGATGAGGCGTCTCTGGAGTTGCTTATCTCTTCTTGCCCTCTTCTTGAAGATTTGTTTATTATCAGAACGGGAATGGATCATGTCAAGGTCTTACGTGTGAAGTCTCAAACATTAACTCGTCTCCTTATAAGAATTGATCTGGATTGTGGACTTCTAATTGAAGGATTTGATAATGCTACTGGGGTTGTGATTGATGCTCCTAGACTCAGGGGTTTGGAACTCGTTGATGAAATATCTGAGAATAAAACAATAAGCAATTCGGGTTCTTTAGTAAGGTTCAGTACCTACCATTGTTTTGATCTGAAGAATAGGGTTGACAATTTTTTCACCGCTATCTCGGGAGTTATAGACATGAGGATCTCTTACGAGGCTTATAAGGTATATGTCTATGCAATCCATACATATATGTCAAATATATATGTAATTCGTACCTATATTTACAAAGCTCCTTCATGAAATTCTTGCTCATAAATTCTTGCATACGCCCATACGCTGAGAGAGTATAACCGTTGCATGGCATCAATCCGGGCTGCTAAACCTGCACTTGCGAACTACTTAGAGTTAGCAGATCCTAAGTTATGGTCCAGAGTACATTTTCCAGGGGATAGATACAATATAAAGACAAGTAACATTGCTGAATCTATCAATTCCGCATTGAAGAGAGCAAAGGGCTTTCCAATACCGTATCTGCTGCAATTCATCCGGGAGAAGTTGGGGGTTTGGTTTGCCAAAAGGCGAGAGGACGCCTTGAGTCTTCAGACCCCATACAGCAAGGGAGTTGAATATTTGCTAGCTATTCGTACACACCACGCAGAAACATACACTGTGGAACACATAGATGGATGGACTTTCAATGTTATAGGCGGAGGAGGGCATTATATTGTGAATTTGGAAAACCGTTCCTGCGAATGTGGTGTATTCCAGATTGAGAAAATACCTTGTTCACATGCGATTGCAGCGTCTACTGAGGCAAACATGCACATTTCGCAAAACGTGTGTATGACATACACGAAAGAATCTTTGTATGCAACATATGCACGTCCCATATACCCGGAGCCTACAGAAGATGCAGAGGAAGAAGAAGACATTTGCTTACCTCCAGAAGTGGCGCCAACTCGTGGCCGGAAAAAGAAATCAAGGTATCTAACATGGCTAGAATTGTCAAGGAAGAGACAGCCCAAACCAAGGAAGGTCCACAAAGTTTATAGCTGTTCGTTGTGCAGGGTTCCAGGACACACCCGACCTCATTGTGTAAGCCATTGAAAACTCCCTCTTTCCGTTAATGTTTCAGTTTTATCCTTACTTGAGTTCCATAACTCCTGCAGATGAACAACGCAGCGGCAGACTGACTTAGTCGACTAATTCGGTAGACCGCATGTTTAGTCTACCTTGTCTACGTAGACGTAATATTCGGTCTACTACGTAGGTCTACCCGACCGATCTACTACAACAATCTACCGAAGAGGTCTACTTTAGCTGTTTTGAGTTACTAATGTTTTATGTTATTCATTTTGTTTGATATTGACGGGGTACGTCCATGTTAGTAAACATGCAAGAATTTGAATTTATCCGAAAACAGTTATATTATATATTTAGCTGGGTTAGGTAGTTATATTTTACACCAAAAAATAATGAGAGCGTCGAGTTTAGGTACACAGCAAAATATGGTACCATGAGCGCTTTACAAAACACACCCAGCCTAAAACTGATATATACGATCTCCTAGATAGTTGAATTTATCCGAAAACAGTTATATTATATATTTAGCTGGGTTAGGTAGTTATATTTTACACCAAAAAATAATGAGAGCGTCGAGTTTAGGTACACAGCAAAATATGGTACCATGAGCGCTTTACAAAACACACCCAGCCTAAAACTGATATATACCGATCTACCTAGATAGTTATATGTCATTGTCCAGATCCTCCCAGTTACGCTCTGGAGGGCCGCGACAGTTGATCTCGTGATATAGGTCCGCTGCAAGCTTTGCTCTTATAGCTTTCATGTTCCTACCACAAAGCGTCTTCGGAAAAAGCCTCCCAAGACTATGATACTCGATGAACTTTAGACAGTAGACTCCACAGTCACTCGAATTGTCTTGCGCAGGCACATCTCCTCCGGAAATATACTCGTGGGTGTAACGGTCGATGTCAGATAAGGGATAAGGACAGCAACGGGCTCGATAGCTTTGGCTAACAACCTCTCCGATAGACATCCTGGAATGCTGTCCCACACAGTAATATGCCTCTTCGGTATAGAAACCATCAAGGCCACCCAATGAGCGTCTTTGACGTTCCATGGCATGTAGATCTCATCAATATCTACTTCCCATTTCTTCAAGGTTTGGCAGAAACGTGGTGCTTTCCCTTCGAAGAGATCGGTCGCACCTCCCGGGACCCACCTTCCTAGTCCCTGTCCATCGGGCTTTGTACTCAAAAACCTCTTCCACTTGTCTTTTTGCCACAGCATACTAGGAGTACTATCACAGAAGCACAGTCGGTCACTCCTAAACCACTCGGGGTGCAACTTCATGCGATGACGAAACATGTTCATTACTGCGTCCATGTGCTGAAAACAGATACGAAATTCTTAGGTCCATTCAATATGGTCTACCAAAATGGTCTACCAATACCAATGGTCTGGTCTACCAAAATGGTCTACATTATAGGCGACTTACCGTATCCGCGAGCCATTCCGTCTGCGTGACCAATTCATGCCACCACATTAGTGGAATGTGGAGTTTGAACTTCGTCGGGCCGCTGGATACAAAACATAAAAATCACAATTGGTAATCAAACAAGCTATAAATCTGCCCAAACCAAGGAAGTTTAAGAAAATACTTACAAAATGCCTTTGAAATCTTTCTTCAGCCGTGCAAGTCTGTCCTTATCCACAGGCTCGTTGGGATCATATCCATATCCAAGCCGTGGCTTGTTAGGAATGATTCCCTTCACTGTGCTATCTCCTATAAACGGAGACACTTGTGATGCGGCCAGCTGTCGCTGTCTCTGTACGTTTGCACGTGCAATATCTATTGTTGCTTGTTGTTTTAATGCCATCCTCTGTGCCTCTTCCACTTCCTCAGCTTTTGTTGGTGTATACTCCTTCACGAAAACCAGGTCCGGGTCTACGCCATTGTCACTACCGCATGGAGATAAAACTTGTTGTTTCTGCAAATGACAATGAACGCCGCTTGCATCAAAATATTTTACTTGTAGCAAACAGATATACATATAAAACAGATATGTTCATTGTTTTCCGCAGAAAAAGATTCACAAATATAGAAACAAGTTAAAAGACACAAGTTTATGATAAAACAAGAAAAGCAGCAGCAGACAAATCTACTGCTTGTACTTGGGGTTCTGCTTCCTATTTCGAAGGATCCTAGTAGGTTCAGCAGGCTGATTTTTCTTCATAGTAGGAGAGGGTTTGTTACTAACCCGAGCTGGAGCTTTTCTCTGCTTAGGAGTGGCAGCCTTCTCGGTGGAGTTATCGCCAATCTTCTCGCCGATGTCAGCCTCCTCCTCCTCCTCTTCACCTGACGACTCGTCCTTCTTGGGAGTGGCATCCTTCTCCGAGACTGTAGCATCCTTCCTGGGAGTGGCATCCTTCTCCGAAACAGCAGCATCCTTCGCAGCCTTCTCCTCGGCTCGACCATCTTCAACAGACGGCTCGTTCTTCTCATTATCTGCGTCAGGTTCCACAGGTTCGGTGTTTGGACGCCTTGATGCTGCTTGCATAGACTGGACTGTTTTTTCTATGCGGATCACCTTCCTAGTCAGGATGGTGAACTTGGAATCAGACTGTTCAAAGCCAGACTTCATCGCCGCAGACAACTTACCGAAGCCATCTTCAAACAGAACCTTCATCTTCTCCTCGAAGCGACTGAAGCCATCTTCAGCAGAGGATACGCTCTCAGGACACTGCCTCTTCTGCATTTCATCTCCAGGGCAGAGGCTCTTTTCCTCTTCGCAGACTCCGGGGGTATAGGATTCTTCACCAGAACACCTTGAGGATTCCAGTCCGCCGGCTTCCACCTCCACCGGCCCAGGTCTCCATACAGCGCGTTGATGAGTTCATCTACACGCGGGTCTTCCTTATCCTCATCCCACTTTGGGTAAACGAAGTCTCTCTCCACCATTATGCAGTGATCAAAGTTCACCTACACACGAAAGGGAAAGTAAATAAATAGGTCTACCATAATGGTCTACCATAATTGTCTACCATAATTGTCTACCATAATGGTCTACCATAATGGTCTACCAAAATGGTCTACTGCCTATCGTGAGTTCAGTATCGTACCTGCTTCAGTATCGTGAGTTCAATGTTCCTTAGACCCTGGACTCCTTTGTAGGACAAGAGCGGAATGTCAGGAGCGTTTCGTATGGGCGCACCACAACCCGCTCCGAATTCAGGCATGAAACGATATGCCCATACTTGTAGAGCCTCAACAAACCCATCCAGGACATACCCGGACTTCCATAGCTCTGCTTCTTTGACGGCTTCGATCAGGTTCTTGAAAGCTACACGCCCCCACGGATAATTCTCAAACTCCTCTTCATCCATCACTAATCTGGCCAGGTTGACAGGAGTGTGCGAGGTGTTTTTCCGAGCAGCAATGAAGCCAGTGTAGATGGCCAAGTAACCAAGCCTAAGTTTGTCCTCACTCGGCCAGTCTGTTGCCCATTCGCATGCACGAATGATCTCCACTTGACTCGGACCAAGCTCAACATCTACTCCGAGCTTCTCCCAGAATGCTCTCATCTCTAGAGTAACCTTGCACTTGGGGTCATCAATATCTTCCACATAGTCGCAGTTGAGGCCGGTGAGATGCTCAAACTCATGGAGGGAAAATCTAATTGGGCTATCCGCAACCGCAACCCAGATCTCATACTTCTTCTTGCACTCTAACTGATATGAGAGCATCGTGTGGACCAACTTCGAAGACCACGAAGTCGAGGTCGTGAAACTTGCAGAAGACACCAACTCGCGAGTCGCATAGTGTTTCCCACTCGGCATCACTCAGTAGTTTTTTCACGGCAGCAAATAGCTTTTTGTCGTTGCTGCCGTAGGAGATGCTCTTTTGGGCTTCCGGTTCAGCCCCTCTTGTGTATAACCTCCTTGGAAAGGTAGGCTTCTTCATTCTGCAACGAACATAAAAGGAAAATCAAAGAAGGCAAAAACGAAGGCAAAAACGAAGGTCTACTACGAAGGTCTACTCTAAACCCTAAACGAAATCTACCGAATCACGAAGAAGAAAGACATATATGAGTTGTAGAGGTTATGTTATAGATTGTTGTACCTCTCGACGACGACGACAGTTCTAAGCGCTTATCGCAAAGCACCAGGAACGATATCTTGGACGAGATCTAACTACAAAAACGACACATGAATTCGGCGGTGAGGTTATTTGTGGTTATACAAAGCGAAAATGGTAAGAAAGAGGAGTGAGTGACGGAGTTACTACCGGGAAATGGGATCGATGTGGAGCGCTCCGATTCTGTTAGACAACGGCGACGAGTTCACCAGACGGCGGACCAAATATGAACAATAAAACGGTTAGATGACTGAGCGGAGATAGATTAACGACACTAGGGGTATAGGGCGAGGTATAGGGCGGAGATATTACCGGCGTAATCAAACAGAGGCGGAGCAAACGGCGTCGGAAACGGAATAGCGGGTCGGAAAAGGAATAGCGGCGGAGCAAACGGCGTCGGACACGGAAATCGCCTGAAATCGCCTCTGGAGAGCGCCGACTCGCAATGTTCTAACAAAACCTAGAAATTAACTGCTCAGGGTTAAAACCGCTTTATATACGTCGGTTCGATTAACTGGTTTCGTTATATCGGTTTGAACCAAGAAATTAGCCGGTTATTTCAATTAATATCGGTTCAGCCGTTCAATTTACGGTTCTACGCAAACAATTGAGTCGGTTATTTCCGGCTTAGGTATACCGTTACGGTCTACCACGAAATTACCGAAACGTCGTTTCAATCTCAGCCGTCGCTTTGAAACTTCGGGATTCCCGCTAGGTTAAAACGGTTGGTAGACCTCCACTTCGGTCTACGCGATCCGTCTACTTGTTAGGTCTACTTTACCCTAAACCCTAAATCGAATAATTTAGATACAATTTTGCAACGATTTGCTTGCCATATTGTCAATTTACAGTGTATATCACAAATAAACAAACATTGAATCGTAAAACCAACCAAAAACAATTCTTCATCTAAAATTTTTCAAAACCCTACAACTCTCCCCATTAA